GGCTTGTTTCACTGGACAAAATCTTGAGATAGCTAAATGATCGCCTTGGCAATTACAACATTTCAGAATTTCACTTGAACAATCTTTGTATGAATGATTGCCTGAACATTTAGAACAGACCTGTTCATTCCGACACACTTTGGCACTATGTCTAAATTTAAGGCATCTGAAACACTGCATCAAAGGTGGTACATATTGGAATACCTTATATCTCCAATTATCTAAATATACAAAATCTGGAAGAACAGTACTCGAAAAGGTCACACTTATTATGGACATTGGGACTATATTTCCGCCTACTTTTTTTGTGAAACGTCTAACAGCAATGATTTCTGAATCTGATATTAATTTGTCGAAGAGTTCAGTGTTACTCGTTTCTGTAGGAATGAATCTTATTTTCCCCACACGCTCCACTGAAGATGCCGGAATGTAAGCTTTCATGTTATTTTCTTTAAGGCAATTATGGTTTATAAAATCATTGGCAGCCACTGCCTGTTTAAATATAAGCATTATTTTATTAGCATTAATGCGCCTGTTCTCTTTGATGCCCTTCACCGACTTAAATATTTTTGATAAAAGTAAAGGATTTTTGTTACCAATTTTATCTTCTTTACTGATACCTTCGATGTAGACAGGAAACTCGTCATTAAGAGAGTTATCAGGATAACTACGACGGTACCCAGGTTTGAGAAAAGGTTTATAAATGTCCGAATCTGATTGTCCGTCGTCCCCTTGATATCTGCGTTTTTTCGCCTCGTTTCTTTTTCCCTCATCATCGCCGTCACTTTCTGACGACATTTTATAAACTTTTAATATTTACAACTATTAAATAATTTTTTTTGTAAAAAAATTTTCAATTTGCCGCCTTCCTATTTCCCGCCAAAAAAGGAAGTCTTTAACGCTACTCATACTAGTGTGTTGCCACTGCATTAATCGATGATGAATTAAAAAAAACTCAATTATATATAGAGCCGTAATTTTTTATATCAACGCCGCCATACTTGCAAATTTTACCCGCGAAAGCTTATGTCAATTCGTGTCAAATTAAATCATTTATGGTAATCTGTGTGGTGGATGTGACCTCGCTCTGTGTTTGTACTTACCTCTTTAGTTTTTTTTTTGTCACAAGTTCCTATTACTTTTTACTACACGTATACCCACATAATCATAATATTTTTTTCAACTCATACTTTATAAGTAAATACTTATTAGTACGGAGATGTATGGAAATGGTAGTGCAAGGTAGAGGGGGAAGAGGTCGACCGAAGAAGACATGGATGGAGTGTGTGAATGATGATATGAGAGAGAGAGGAGTGAGTGTTGAGATGACGGCTGATAGAAGAGAATGGAAGAGAAAAATTAGCTGTGCCGACCCCACCTAGTGGGATAAGGTGGAGAAAAAGAAGAGACTTATTAGTACGCATTGTACGTACAAACAAAATTCTAATAAAATACAGATGGCGTTTTTTTTATTTATTGCTTAGATGGGTGGACGAGCTCACAGCCCACCTTGTGTTAAGTGGTTACTGGAGCTCATGGACATCTACAACGTAAATGCGCCACCCACCTTGAGATATAAGTTCTAAGATCTCAGTATAGTTACAACGGCTGCCCTACCCTTCAAACCGAAACGCATTACTGCTTCACGGCAGAAATAGGCAGGGCGGTGGTACCTACCCGCGCGGATTCACAAGAGGTCCTACCACCAGTAATAAATTTTCAAATGTACTTTGTTCTTGTTGTTCGACAAAAAAAACCTTTATCCGTCGTAGAAAAACAGGACACGATACAATTTGAAAATAACACAAGATGGGTTATTCGGTATTAGAGAAACACTTTTAATTGCCTAGAAAAATGAAATAAATCATTGTTAGGCAATTATTCAAAAAAAATTAAACAACATTTGTCGCATAAAATACATATTAGTAAACTTAAAAGTAACTAAAATATTACCTTAATATATTACATTGATTTAACACATGGTTTATGATTTATTTTACACATGAATCCAGTTATATTAGATAAATCGATGAAAATTAGTTCATTATTTCGATTCAATCGTGTCTTCTTGTTTGAAGAGTATAGTAGCTGCTAATCTAACACAATAGGAATAAATCCTTTGTCTAAAGGTACGTGGAACATTCACGGTAACATACATATGAAGTATATGGTATAGGCTAAACTGCATAGGATAGTGACCTATCCGTTCTAATTAAAAATATTCTCACTCCCGGATGAAGCTCACCAACTCTAGCAAGAGTTGTTAAATATCCGGTTTGAGTGAAGGGAAGTAAAATAGGCATAATTAAATTGTTGCTGATGTTGGTATAGTCGCTTTGAGCGGGTGTTTCATCTCTAGCTTCAGAGCTGGATTATGGAATCCATACATCTTAGGATATTAGGATGTGTTCTATAACAAGTTTACCGTACCGTATAATTTTTCGAAATATAAGAATACTTATAAAAATGGCATTTTTTTTAACTCAACTTGAAACTCCAATACCACAAAACTATGACTCTGAGAACACCTAGCCACCATCTTGCTACGTGCTACGTCGCTTACTATTCCTGCTATTTACAAAATAAAAATACTTATATCCAAAAATGTAACCAATAAATTTTACTATAAGTTCTGACTAATTGTGAGTTTAGTACAAAAAAAAACCTCCCAAAGCTGTTGGTTGTTATAGCCCAACATCATCCAACACGTGTGGTAATTGGGCTACGACCCGCCCGTAGCACCGCGCATTCGTAGCTCTCGCGTAGACCCGCGGCTCAGACTTAAACACAGTTTGTATTTTATGTACTTTAATGTGTGGGACTGACTGTAATTTGTGGTTAGATAAGAGCTGATTTTTAAAGAACGATCAGCATATTATCTGGAAATAGTGTTCGCGTAGTCATCAAAACGCAAGCATTACCACCGAGACCGCAAGATTTTGAGAAATATTTATCTTGCATTTTCTCTATAGTTTTGTAATTCTCATTAATTTATTACGAATACATTTGAAACTATTCTGTCAGCAGTAGCTGGTAGTTTTATGACAAGTAACTACAAATTTTATAACTCTACAGTGCAACCAATGTCGGCATTTATTCCATGACACATAAATTTCAACTCAAAAATTTTGTATTACTTAAAAGCCTTTACTTTCCGTTTGAATCGTTTGGAAAGTGCATCAACGGCAACGCTAATTTCAAGATCTTACGGCATCAAGAGATTACGGGTTCTCGCTGCAGTGCGGGGCCCGGGCGGTGCGGGGCGCGCGGGGCAGTCGGTGAGGTGCGGGGGTGCGGGGGGCGAGGGACGCGACCCGGTCACGACTCGCGCCCAGTGCGGCCGCCGCGCTCCGCCGGCGCGCATCGCGCCCTCTCTGTTACACATATAACCTCAACACCGCAAATCGGCACTCAGTTTACACCTTCTCCATCGTTCTTTTATCGCATGTGGGCCGCTGCGGGAAAACCGTTGTCTTCGTGCACTAGTGTGCTCTCGAAAAATGATAGTCGAGATACAGGAGGTATGTCAACGCTTTATGTCGAACTTATCACAGGAAGACTTCAGTTCCGTTGACGGCGTCGTAATGGGTTTTATGTCTCTACGTGTGTCGGTGCTCGCGCTATGCCACAGTTTTTATTGAGTGTTTGTTATGGCTTTGAGTTCACGATGATTTCAAATGAAGTCTTGAGATTTTTGTACAGTCTAATATTCATGTTTCGAGAATATAGTATAAAATGTTGTGATATTGGTATTATCAAGGCAGCGAGTGGGTCCCTGTTTAGATTAAAGATCGTGCAGGACGATGTCAGTGGGTCAACGCNTGCTCGCGCTATGCCACAGTTTTTATTGAGTGTTTGTTATGGCTTTGAGTTCACGATGATTTCAAATGAAGTCTTGAGATTTTTGTACAGTCTAATATTCATGTTTCGAGAATATAGTATAAAATGTTGTGATATTGGTATTATCAAGGCAGCGAGTGGGTCCCTGTTTAGATTAAAGATCGTGCAGGACGATGTCAGTGGGTCAACGCACAGTGCGTGTGGGGCGGGGCGAGTGTCAGGGCATCGCGGCGCGAGAGGGAGCGAGGGGCGCGTGTCAACGGGGCGCGGGGCGCTCCGAGGTCGCTCGGGCGTTGCACCGTTGCAGCCGGTGCAAGTGCTACGAACGGGCTACTACACCGTAGCTACTCTACGCCGTAGCTCATCTGGGCCAAAATGATGTGTAGTTCATATCCCCGGTCTGGGATATTATGTTAAAACTCATTAATTTCATTATTAAAGTTCTGATTAAGACAGTGAATAATTTAATCATCATCAGAGTCATTTAGAAGTATATAACTAAGTTTTGTTTTTCAATTAATTTGAGATTATTTTACTACAGAACTCATCTTATTTAAAATTTGTTACGTTGAAGTTTTCCTACTGTACCTTGTATGAAAATACTAAAATATTTTAATGCTTTCGTGTAAATTTTTAGGAGGTTAGAGGAAAGAGGCCTTTCAAGATATGGGACAGTTCGCGAAACGTGAGGAAGGGACTGGTAGTCACTAGTTTTGAGGAATTAATACACAGAGGTACGTACATACATCGGACCTTTGGAATGGGAGTGGCTTATACCAAAATTCTTGTTTATTGGTAAACGCCAAAAATGTAATTGAAGAATTGTAATTTTTCAGTTTTGATTATAATACTTTAAGCCTTAAAGCGCATATCTTAAAGATTAAAGTATTTGCTTGATTTAAAAGAGACGGAAAGTGTACTTTGTCCTTTTCTAACTAAAATTATTTATTAATTAAATTTTCATCAAACTGATAGAATACATGTTTATAAGTCGTTCAGAGTACAAAACTAATTATTTTTTTAGTTAAGCCATTCCAATTCTAAATATACAATATGTTTACTGCTTTTTTTTTTTATTGCTTAGATGGATGGAGCTCACAGCCCACCTGGTGTTAAGTGGTTACTGGAGCCCATAGACATCTACAACGTAAATGCGCCACCCACCTCGTGATATAAGTTCTAAGGTCTCAGTATAGTTACAACGGCAAAACCATAATCTTAATTTTAATCGAACGTGCATCGTCTCAACCTTATAAGTACTACTAAAAGTGTTACTTGAATTATTTGTATATGTTTAAGCATTTGATGCAACTTGTCCGGTCATCGTTCTCGTCGAACCCGTCGCTTGCGACGAAGGACTCGACGAGTAAATTAATCTACAGACACAGCCCACTGAGTTTCTCGCCGGATCTTCTCAGTGGGTCGCGTTTCCGATCCGGTGGTAGATTCTGTGATGCACGGCTTTTGCTAGGGTTCGTGCTAGCAACGTCGTCAGGCTTGAGCCCCGTGAGCTCACCTACTAGTTAAGGTTACGCTGAAATAGCCTCTCAAGGCTATCAACTTAGGTAGGGAAAAAAAGCAACTTAAAAAAGATGTGAATGCAACGTTATTTATTATTTTATTTTTCAAATTTTTATATCAAAATAAATTATGAGCTTCGACCGCCAGAATGTATGTATGTGTGTTGATGTCCACTTCCCATCATTTAACGCAGCACAGCGTACACAAAATGTTTCATTAAAATCGGCCTAGTGGCACTGCGGATATTCAAACGACCAAACATACAGTATACACCCATAGACACAGCCCACTGAGTTTCTCGCCGGATCTTCTCAGTGGGTAGCGATTCCGATCCGGTGGTTGATTCAGCGAAGCACTGCTCTTGCTAGGGCCAGTCTTGGCAAATTACTCAGGTTGAGCCCGTGAGCTCACCTGCCTGTCCGAACATAGCTAGAATAACCTATTAGCCTACCAGCGAATCGGTAGGGGAAAAAAACCAGTATACAAACCGTGTTGGTATGTTCCTCCCTGCGTATTCCCTGCTCCTACTTTCCTATCATTTTTTTTTATTGCTTAGATCGGTGGACGAGCTCTACAGACCACCTGGTGTTAAGCGGTTACTGGAGCCCATAGACATCTACAACGTAAGTGCGCCACCCACCTCGAGATATAAGTTCTAAGGTCTCAGTATAGTTACAACGGCTACCCCACCCTTCGAACCGAAACGCATTACTGCTTCACGGCAGAAATAGGCAGGGCGGTGGTACCTACCCACGCGGACTCACAAAAGGTCCTACCACCAGTGAAACCGGAACAGTTTAAAAACCATAATCTTAATTTTAATCAAACGTGCATCGTTTCAACATTGTAAGTACTACTAAAAGTGTTAGTTGAATTATTTGTATATATGTTTAAGCATTTGATGCAAGTTGTCCGGTCATCGTTCTCGTCGAACCCGTCGCTTGCGACGAAGGGCTCGATGAGTAAATTAACCTAGACACAGCCCACTGAGTTTCTCGCCGGATCTTCTCAGTGGGTCGCGTTTCCGATCCGGTGGTAGGTTTTGTGAAGCACGGCTCTTGCTAGGGTTCGTGTTAGCAACGTCGTCAGGTTTGAGCCCCGTGAGCTCACCTACTAGTTAAGGTTACGCTGAAATAGCCTCTCAAGGCTATCAACTTAGGTAGGGAAAAAAAGCAACTTAAAAAAGATGTGAATGCAACGTTATTTATTATTTTATTTTATTTTTCTAAATTTTATATCAAAATAAATTACGAGCTTCGACCGCCAGAATGTATGCATGTGTGTTGATGTCCACTTCCCATCATTTAACGCAGCACAGCGTACACAGAATGTTTCATTGAAATCGGCCTAGAGGCTCTGCGGATATTCAAACGAACAAACATACAGCACAGACACAGCCCACTCAGTTTCTCGCCGGATCTTCTCAGTGAGTTGCGATTCCGATTCGGCGGTAGAGACAGCGAAGCACTGTCCTTGTTAGGGCTAGTGTTAGCAAATTCTCTCAGGTTGAGCCCGTGAGCTCACCTACCCGTCCGGGCGTAGCTGGAATAGCCTCTGAGGCTACCAGCGAATAGGTAGGGGGAAAAAACCAGTATACAAACCCTGTTGGGTATGTTCCTTCCTATGTATTCCCTGCTCCTACTTTCCTATCATTTTTTCATATATTTTTTATTGCTTAGATGGGTGGACGAGCTCATAAGCCCACCTGGTGTTAAGCGGTTACTGGAGCTCATAGACATCTACAACGTAAATGCGCCACCCACCTTGAGATATATGTTCTAAGGTCTCAGTATGGTCACAACGGCTGCCCCACCCTTCAAACCGAAACGCATTACTGCTTCTCGGCAGAAATAGGCAGGGTGGTGGTAGATACCCATGCGGACTCACAAGAGGTCCTACCACCAGTAGGTAAATTTACGCAGTCAGAGTATTCTCACCTTATTATCGTATTTAACTGTTCCTAAAACTTCTAAAATGAGCAATGTTTATCGGGCCCGGTGGAGTTCTTGTTTAAAGAGAACTGAAAAGAATCCTCACTAGTAAGCATTCACTTGAGTATGCTCCTGCAGTTATTAATGTCCATGATAGATATGTCATCCAATTACAATCTTTTAATACCGGTTCAAACCGATTTAGTTTATAGAATAAATAATTAATTTAGGTTTATTAAAAAAAAAAGGACAAAAATTTATTTTTTTAATTGAATGATGATTATACAATGGATAAGCGAATCAATGGATTGATTCATAATTTTGGTTTACGAAATAGAATTGATCCACTGCAGTAGTCTGTGTACTGCTTCTGCGTGACGATACTTCGTATCTCGATATCGAGTACACATGTTCGGAAGATACAGAAGTAGCTCGCACTAACATATATTTGGACAGATATTTTACCAAACTGCACCAAACGCGCTTTAATTTTCCAGAAAATTCTTGTAGCTTCTGTGCCTTTCTTCAATTCCAGGATCAGTTTCTAATGTATTCATAATAGGTACACATACGTAGCATCATCATCTCAGCCTGTCCATTGTCCACTGCTGAACATAGGCCTCTCCAAGTGATCTCCAGTGCGGCCGGTCCGTTGCCACCTGCATCCAACGAGACCCAGCGGTTCTTACCAGGTCGTCGGTCCATCTCGTAGATGGCCGTCTCACGGCATGTACATACGTAGCATGCTTACTACAAAAGTTGTAGCACTTAGTATCTTGGTTCGCCGTTATAATATAAAGTTTAAATTTCCCGATTTTTTTTATTTCTGTACTCACCGAACATAAATTCCCTACTGGTATCCCAGAATTTCATAGGATATCTTTGAACTTAAAAAAATCGTAGTATTTATGGACACTAATAAATAGATTAGTAGGTATCTTCCATAGCGCTGCTTAAGCTTAAAGGGTTTTCTTTTAAATCACCCGTCCGTATCGGTTTACGAAAATAACCTTAATATAACCGAAATAACTAGTCAATAAGTCACTGTCGAGTGAGACTCCTGGAACGAGCAAGAGTTAACAACTTAAAACGCGTCAATGAAATTAATGGCTCCAATGCACCTCTGAACTGTTGATAAACTGGACCGCGTGCCCAGTTTGTCTTTCAATCTCGTCGGAAGCACTGGTGCTTGCGCGTCGCTGCTTTAACACTAAATTACAGAAACTTCATAGAAAAAACAAGACGTAACTTATTTTTAAGTTTTAAAAATTAATTTTGTTATTTCTTCAATTAATAGGTAAAGAGAAATTATCGGTAGCTGCGAGTGAGCCAGTGAGGTTAGTGCTAGAGAGCGACGGAACTCAGGTGGAAGACGGCGACTACTGGAGGACCTTACCGCCTAACACTGTCCTACTTCTGCTGCGGCAAGGGGAGCGCTGGTACCCCACAGGCGTCGATGTCATCAAGGCTGGTAAGTCTTCACATTTGATCCCGCTCTCTTGTGCAATATAAATGATATTTAAAATTCTTCCAAATAAATTAATTAACATATAAATAAATTTATTATTCCTCCGAATAGCAGTTCAACCTATTAAGTCTGAAAGCAGGTCAACTGTATTTTCCCTGTGAACTGGAATATTCATAGACTCCAGACACTAAAAATAGTCAGTCGGCGGCTGGTCGATACGAGGGATCCGAGCGTGGATATCTCGGTCAAAGGCTCCCTACATTTTTGCGATGCAAATTTATTTTGGACGCAACTACAATTTAGTTTCTTCATCAAATTTCCAGCGATATCAGCCATCCCGAAGATAGTATGCGAGACGATCCACGCGCTGGAACTGCACGATGAGACGCCTTCATGGAAGATCATGGACAACAAGGGGCGCGTCACGGTGGTGCTGCACTGGGACCAGCGGCCTGCTGCCTCGCCGGCCGCGCGCTCTCCTTCCCGCCAGGCCAAGCCTGACCGGCGACCCTCGCTCGTGATCCAAACGTCGTTAGATCGGCCGCCGCCCCCGCCCCCGCACATCACCGTCGTGAACCACGACGAGCCGGGCCCCGCCCCGCGCCGCCTGTCGCGCGCGTCCGGCTCCCTCGAGCACGTGCACACGGCCGAGTGTCGCGCCGCCCCCACCTCACCGGCACGTCCGCCCCCCGACGAGTGCGACTTCCATTGCTGCGCGCTGCACGAGGAAGGACGCCGTATCGCTGTGCATAAAAGCGTTGCCACCTCGCCCATCCAAGACGCACAGCCACGAGCGTCACCCCAAGGCCGACCCAAAGGACACGTGCGCTTTTTGGACGCGGAATCTGCTCGAAGAGGAGATCGAGATTCTTCGGAAAGCGAAACCGAAAACACACTCGTCGAGGACGAAGCCGTCACGTCCGAAAAATTTCTCTTGCTCATCGACCAACTCAGCGTAGACCAGAAGCGGCATCTCACCATCAAAGACATCGGCATAATCCTCGAGCGGCTCAGTTCGAAGATCCTGGACGTGGAGAGGCTGGACCGCGAGTCTGAGTCGGACGACTGCTACAACTGGACGATAAAAGCGACAATCAGGGGTGACGCTCTACGGGAGCTGGGAGTCATATACAACGGCAACTACTATGCGATCAGCGAGCATCCTGGCTACCGGGAGGAGAACGAGGAGGCCGGAGACGAGGGCGAAGAGGAGGAGGAGGAAGACCGGCTCTGATCGGGTCTGTGCGGCGCCGGCGTGCCCGCCGCCCTGCGCATGGCGCTGTGCCGCATGGCCGCGCGCTCGCCGTCGCCGCACTGCGCCCGCCAGAGGACCGGTCGACCACTAAAGACTTACTACGAAATTGATCGTGAGCCCGCCTCGCGCCAGGCTGCGACCTAGTTAATAAGTAGCGAAATTATTATAGGTGAAACTGACTTCCTCTCGGTCTGCGAAGACTCGGGGTCGCACCGGCATCGCCCTGCACTTGTATCACACCCGAGTCACGAGAACACGACAGCACTGTCTAATCATCGAGATGTTCAATCTTAGAAACTTATATTAAAAATAATATTAAAGTTAGTCGAACGGAATGCGTTTTAGCGGCGAGTCGCGATCGCCCTACCAATCTATCACAGATGTCAATTCCAAATCACTATTATAGTTTCATCCAAGCATAGAAAAGCAAGATAAACTGTTAGACTGTGTCGAACAAAACTGATTTCTTAGTTTAGACGTTTTCTTAATGTTCGAAAACGACAAACTGCATATTTCCAAACGCTTAACTAACAATCACTAATAAAAAATAAATCGATTCAGAAGCAAAGGGGAAAATGGTACATAACCGTTTTATCTTTACTTATTCATAAATAGACTTACTGTGTCACTTCGTGGCCCTGTCGCGACCCTGGTCGCCGGGCCTGGTACTGAGGTCTGCATCGCGACCGCCGCCGTGCTCAGAGCGCCGCGTGTCTATCGGAGTAAGACTCGCAAACAACCGAACATCGGCCGGCAGCTCTGCACAGTTTTGCATGCGGATGAATTTGCTCATTGTTTCCATAAATTCACGGTAGAATTATGAAGAAAGGTTTCGTGACGTCAAATAGCAAGTATACACGTTCCTTCGCGAGTCAGACTTGTCTCGGATGAGTAACTGAGAGAACGCGTAACGTAAAATATTTGTAATAGATGATATGAAAATTATATAAAATAATAATTCAATGTTATAAAAGAGGTTGTATCTAATGCCGCGGTCTTATTGCTCCGCGGCTCAGTCGTCACTGAGTCGTCACCGTGTCGTCGCTGTGTCGTCACCGTGGCGAACGCGACGCAATATAGAATTAGGTAAGTTCTTGTACTTATTAGATCTATGATATTGTAGTTAAAGTACGTATTTATAATGTTTTTTTAATTTTTGTATAGTACGAAATCGTGAAGGATACACGAAATTAAATGTATTATATTAATAATAATGGAAGATTTAATAAGTTTTACATGCCCCGGCGAGGGTTTCTTAATTGTATAGTTAAGATTATTGTGACGCGATTTGAATCTAACTTGACGGAGCGTTTTGATGTCTTTTTGATTTCGGTACTTATTTAATTTCAAATTGTTTGATGTATGTCTGTACAGTTCNAAATCGTGAAGGATACACGAAATTAAATGTATTATATTAATAATAATGGAAGATTTAATAAGTTTTACATGCCCCGGCGAGGGTTTCTTAATTGTATAGTTAAGATTATTGTGACGCGATTTGAATCTAACTTGACGGAGCGTTTTGATGTCTTTTTGATTTCGGTACTTATTTAATTTCAAATTGTTTGATGTATGTCTGTACAGTTCGTAAGCTATCCTATAATTTTAAAATTAATTTATGATCGGCTCGTTTTGCTCTTAATTAATTCCGGTTCGTGATTCCGAGATAACAGCTTCCTCCGCTGTGATGAGAATAAAACAGTGCGTTAAGGTCCGCATTGTTTGTGCTCTATCAATGTACAGTAGTATTTTGGAAACGAAAATATATAAAAGTATATGGCTCAAGAACGTTAGTGACAGCGTATCGATTAAAAATAATAATTTAAATCAAGATGAATTTCTTTATGTGTTCACCGGCGAGCCCACAGATGGAAACAAAATAGATCAATAGGTTCCAAAGAATTGTATTACGAACGTAACATTTAGCAAAGACTGTCCGAAACATGAGGGGATATTCTAAAGACATACGTGCTTTAATTAACTTGACGCTACGTGAATTTTAGTAAATTCAAGAGTCTGTTTATTGATTGCTTTCTACGTCGTCCGTGATCACGAAAACTGATATAGTATTCGAAGATATCACGGTAAACGCATTTAAGATCAACTTTCCCGACACCAGTTTTTAGTTTTCGGATTTCTCCGAAATATATGCTTGTACTTATTGTCTTTCATTATAAATAAATGCTCAATGAAATACATTATCGTACCCCTTATTGATCGAACAGATTACATTGCAATGTTTTATTACTGTGTGTTATGATGTAAATTTAGTATCATTTGTATATTAATCTACATCTAAATGCCTATGTTCTGAATCGGAATCCATCATGTGTAATTATCAAATTGTATAATATTTTTAATAAATTTTCGCTTTTGACGAGCCGGCTTGCTTGAAGTCATGAGAACCAGATTGATCTAGAGTTATTATCAATGCCCGTTTGTATGGTACGTGTAGTAGCAATGTTCATTAAGATGAATTGTTCAACAACAAACAGAAAATAAAGTGCTCAGATTGAAGTCGTTGTGGCGGCATCTGTCAAATATCTTGCGTTTGTGTGATGGCTACCCGCCACATCGTAATATGTGCAACTTGGATTAACGATGAAACTCACCTCTGGATTCTATTTAAAAACAAAAGAATCTGCTTCAGTCAAGATATTTCATCATTAACTAAATACAACATAGTTTGAACCTTTTAATTAGCAGCTTAAATCATAATTTATAACTTAGGTCCTTCTGGTTGTCACGGCAGATGTTCGATTTTGATGTTTTTGATGTAAAAAAAAACCTTAAATACCTAAGTGTAGTTATTTTTTTATTCGTTTTCGGAAAAGTTATTTGTCCTAATTCATAATGTTTCTTGAAAAACTTCGAATCGAAGTGAAGAAAAGTGTTAGTACGTTATTTATTTCGAGACTGTCGCTAATAAGATTTAGAGACGCGAGCGGCACGAGGCGAGGTGAAAAGTGAGGTTATTTTTTTTTCATTTCTCACGATAATTTTCAAATATCAAATGAACGCTTTTAATTGGATTAAAATGATAACAAGTTATTTACTTGGGAGCTACTTCACCTGATAATGATCAGAAAAAAAATCTTTAATTGAATATGAGTTTCATAGACAATTTAGTCTTTTTCTAATTTTAGTAAACGACACAAGACTTTTGTTACCCAAAAGCAATTTCGATTTTTTTGTTCCGTATTCATTTCGACATCAAAGCGACAATCCTATGATTATATTAATATTGTTTTCTTGGTATTGTATATACCTTAAGGATTATTACCCGTGTTTGACATTGCTTTTGGAAGCATTTCATCATATTACCAATTTTGTCTATACAGGCAAAGATAATATTTTCTAGATTTCCGCCTTTCGAACTAAATGATTGTGTTGTATCATATTTTTTATAAACCTCATCTCGCCGGAATATTAAAAGTTTTTCTCGAATAAAAATTGTGAAGTGGCTGAGTTTTACGGAAGGTAGGGGAGACCGGGGCAAGATGAGATAGCTAAGACAAAACTCGCTGTACAAAGACAATTATACTCTTTAATTAAATTCTTTAAGAAAATAAGTAACGCTTATACATTTGTTTCTTAAAATTAATAATTTTATCAAGCAAAATCACAGAAGTTTTTTGACAAATAATGATTAACGATAATGTGGCGAATTTCCCGTCTTGCCCCATGGACGGGGTAAGATGGGAAATGCTACGGGGCAAAAGGAGTACGTATTTTAATCGGGCAGACAGCGTTCACAAATGTGTGCCTCGTCGACTTCTTCATCTACTTCGACACAGGAATCGTGTGCCCAACCATGGCAAATACTGCAGATAGCCCAACTCTCGGTTGACTCTTAGTATAAGTAACCACAATAGATGCAGGCCCAGTCACCGTCCTCCAATTAAGATGAACTATATTCCGATTCGATTTTTTGGCGAGTCTTTTAGCTTGATGCTTGTTTTCAGTTCTTTTTATCTTCTTATTTCCAACTTTGTGTATTCGTTTTTTACGCCAATCTTCTCCTGTCATGTCGGTTTCTTCATTAAGTGGGCTATCTATATGATTTCGCTGAGCCAACTGATAAACTATTACACGAAGTTATTTTTCGGTTAACCGTGCTTCCTGCATACTTAGTAGTTACCGGAATCAGTGTCGTCATCCACAGTATCACGAGATTTTCTTACACGGCGGCGGAACATCATATGTAGCAGAGGCTCGAGGAAGCCCCATCCTGTTATTAAGAACCCATAAGACCCAGAACTTCAGGGTCCCATTTGCCACGATCTGTTTTTCGTTTATAGTTCCAAACCATTGTATCTGAGAAAAAAACTTTGTGAGGAAAGCAACGATATATCTTGCTTATGTAGAAGTTATAACAATATGTACTTATACTTTTTTTTATACCACTAAGTCAGCAAAGAAGCTTACAGTTCGCCTGATGAAAAGCGGTTACCGTAGCCTATGGACGCTTGCTTAACCAGGTTGCAATACTATCGATAGGTAAGTGGGTACACAGAAGAAATTATTTAAACCACAAGGAAGGGGCAAAACGGGATAGTATTCCGTTATGCCCCGATCATTGTGCCCCGACCCACATGTATTCAAATAAGTTGAAGCAATTCTAATCTTAAATCTTACCGGCGCAAAAATCTAATCTGAATTTAAAGTGTTATGGTACTACAACACGCTGAGGATTAAAACATTATATTAATTCAAGTACTTACATGTCTGCACATCAGTTTGTTAACCAAAAACCGGATAAAAACACTTGCAAAATCAGTTTTTTTCCTATACAACGCAAAAACGAGATCCAATACGTTCGCTTTGCTCGGACGCACTTGCGCAGTCTGAATTTCGTGCAAATGGCGCCGTTACCGGTCCGAACACGATTACCATTCATGGACAAAAGCTTATTTCCCGTCCTGCCCCGAACTTCATCTTGCCCCGGTCTCCCCTACATGAAGATAAAGTTTCAAAAGGTCGCATGTCTGTCAGAATTATCGTATTAAAGTAAACTTGTGTATCGTCATGTTGACTGATTTGTTTCTTGATTAATTATAATTTGTGCCAAATTATATTTAAGAAAAAAAATACATGATCCTGTTAATATATCGAATTTATAATTAGTTGTTCCAGAAAATCAATAACAATAACTATAACTAGCCTTAAAATTCACGACTTGTAATTTCACAATTACCCAATGGTTTAGTTGACTTTGAAAGTAACTCATTTAAAAAACAAATCGCATTACTACAAAAAAAGAAACAGGTTATTTGTTAGCTTAGAGTATTTGACAATAGATGTGGGTATTAATTTGTGAACCACTTTACAATAATTCAATCAATTGAATGAAACACCATTGTGAATTTTCATATTATTAATTAAAATATTGTTCATAATATCACGGTTACGCACATTTGATTATAGGGACAAGAAATTGTTTTAAATGTTGTTTTTTTTTTAATTAAGAAAATCGTTTAGGGACGGATTGAAGTTTAGATGTTCATTTTGAAGCTTTCGTGGCCTAACGGGCAAGGCGCCGGGCTTATTCAGCAAAGCCGCAGTTCTAATTCTGCAGCTTTCAAGACGTAGCTTTTTTTAACGCTGGGAAACTTTACGGATACCTGGCCACGGGCGAAAAACCGGGCCAGGTATGTCCGACTCCGGCGCCTCCACAGAACAAGAGGGAGTAGCCGGGAACCGAAGTCCTCGTCCTCTTCCAATTGATCCTAAGAGACTACGCTGCTACCTAATACACGGTCACGAATGACTCGCACAATAAAGCGATGACGTAACCAAATCGAACTCACATATTTATGAATTCGGTATATAGGACCTACATAAATCGCAGCTCTTCTGATGTTAAGCAGTCAGTGTTTGTAGACCTCATAGGCGCTGGTTCGAACAGTATCGCATTCATAAATTTTGTATGGATAGTTCGTGACACGTATTATTGTGTGTGATATTGTTATCAATGTCGGTAGCTTTTTTTCTTCACGGAAGCAGGAAGCTTGATATGAAGCTTAAATTAAATTCAAGCCAATTTGTTAAAACACCTCAATAATAGAGATGAAGAACTTGATCGGAATGTAATTTCATATCTTTTCATTTGTCTGAACAATGCCGCAAGGACTCAAAGCTTCAAGTAGATATTAGAAGACAATTAGACTTTTTGTTCATTATTTTTATCCGCATTTTGTTGTAATAGAACGAGAAGACGAGTTCGGTTTATCCTGGCCATAAAAAAACACATTTGACGGCTTAGCAGCAGATACAGAGCTCGTGAAGACTTACAATAGGTTCGACCATCACGTGATTTCATTAATTGTGAAGGTTGGATCTCAATTTTAGTATAACAATACCATTGATATGTGGATCTATTTCTGAAAGTCTCTGGTACTTAATAAAGCACACAAGACACGCCCACTCGTCTACAGCACAGAAAGTGTAACAGCAACTCAAAGAGGCCATGGTCACATACGCATTTCATATGAACAATAGCCAGAAGCATTATATTCACGTTGACTATAGGGAGTTCTTAAATCAGAGGTTATAAAATTAATATACGTAATAGCAATGTAGATACAAGTATCACATGAAACATTACCATAAATAGTTAAGGCCTATTCAATAATTAAAGTACAACAAAATTTCATTGCTGCATTAACATATTCTGAATTCGTGCATGTTTTTATTTAATATACGGAAAAATATACAACTTATTATATAGCAAAATATATTCATAGTTATAATGTTTTCATAAAAAAAGCGGGTATAGTTTAATTTTAAAATAACGGGGCTGATGATAATTTTGACATGTGAAGATTATTACATACTAACTTCTTTCAACCAATAAAATCAAAAGAATGTTTTAAAATGCTAAATACTCAAAATACCCCAAAATATAAATTAAATAGTAATGTTATAAGCGGATACTTCGTGCCGGTGGCAGATTTTCTCTCCTATTTTAATTAAATTCAAATAAATTGAAGGCTGTGCGTTTTATGATCTCTGAATATTTTTTTTTCGTTAGTAATATTCGTCATTGTTAAATAAAAGAGTAGGTACATAATATTTTTTATGTACGGAAAGCTGTTTAGTTAGTTCCTTAAAAATGTACACGATTTATAAAAATAAATGTAAAATACAAGTTCTGTTTTTTTACCGAAGTAAATTGAAAAGTAAGTTAACTTATTAATAGATTTATCTACTATACTATTTAGTCTGCCATGAACCATAGATCACTCAGGTTTTTCTATTCACAAAAAAAAAGAAGTAGTAAAACGAATATTTGCATTCAATATTGAAAATACATGATCAGGAACAGAATAGGATATATTAAAATATCGCCACAACTGCATTTAACATTTTACACAACATAATTTGGTTTAATTTATTATATAAATAAATATACAGACGTCAGAAACCGAAAGAAACGCGAGTCGTTCCGGAACAGTAGAAAGAATTGCTTGGATATTAATAATGTGAGCTGATGTTTCAAACTTTATTTTTATACGTGTCGATTGTGTGAAACCAATGAACCAGTTTGTGTTAACGATAACGGCGTACCGGAAACTTCACTGCCACTAATTTAAAAATAAAAATATTGGAAACGATATTAGTTTTATTTTGCTTCGTCGTACCACAACCCCTCAACCTTGAGCCGCACGCCGTAGAATACTGAATCATCATAAGCCTATAGCAGTCCACTGCTGGACATAGATCTCTCAAATTTCTTGCCACTGAATACTGAATAGTGACTCTTAAATGGTTGCATTCAGAATTATGAATAGCGTGTAATCATAGCTCCAAGCGACATTTTGAACAGCATTTTTTTTAAACCTACCCATGCTGATAGCCTTGAGAGGCAATATCAGCGTCACCCTAGCGTGTAGGGGAGTTCTCGGGGCTCAAACCGGAGGTGCTGCTAACACTGGCCCTAGCAAGATCAGTGCTTCGCAGAATCTACCACCGGTTCGAAAATGCGACCCACTGAGAAGATCCGGCGAGAAAATCAATGGTCCACAATCAACAACCATTAATCAACCACTTAACACCAGGTGGGCCGTGAGCTCGTCCACCCACCTAAGCAATAAAAAAACAGGTACCTAAAAGCAACCTTAATGTTTCGGGAGGATCCGTAATGACGTGTTTGGGGCGACGTCGGCTGTCCACAGGATCGGGAATATGTTGAACAGCACGAAGGTATAAGCGTCAACCAAAAAATGTCTTATAAGACTGAATAAAAATGTAAATTTACAAGTAACATACCATTGACAAACGTACAAACATACAGTTCATCGTAGGTTTTTTTTTAATTTTGACATGATGCTTATTTCTATCGTTAAGTTATCATGCATTCTAGTTTGAAGGCTTCGATCTCATGTCATGAAGGTGGGTGGCAAAACAAATGGTCCTGATGGTTATTGGCTCCGGTAACTTCTTGACATCGGATGGGCCGTGAGCATGCTCTAATCTACCTGTATTTTTTGTTATTGATTCAGATTAGTTTGTAGGTATTATTGTAGGTCACCTGATGGACAATGGTCGTTTTCGCTCACCGACGTCAGTAATGCTAGGGCCACAGCAAAACCACTATCTACTAAGCTTAAATTATTGCTGATGCCACACCCTATAAAACTATGCCCGCTTACTATGTGTAATACTTGTTGTCATCGAACAAAAAAGGAACAACAATAATTAACACTTGTATAACCTCAAAAAATAAGAAAACGTTGGAAAGAAGCGCTTCTGTAATTTGTCTTTATAAAAAAAACATTCAATAAACGATCTAAAGTAACCTATTACAATATGGATTACAAAAAAAGAAGTACAAAAAAAAAATAGACACACATCAAAAATGAGTTGGAAAAAAAAACTAGGATTGATTGCAAGTTTGGGCCCTAGCTAGAGATCTTTTCTCGGCCATTTTCATCTTGTCCAGAACGTCCTGCATTTCCGGCCAGGGCTCGTAGCGCTGGTTGACGAGCATGACCTTGTGGACGGAAGGATTCCGAAGGTCCATAGTTCTGGATATATTGTCGCGATTGTGCGTTGAGTAGACCACATCCATCTGAATGTTTATTTAACTTGTTGGCATATCTTGAGTCTCACCTGATGTTTAACGGTTCCCCGAACCCACCAAGACTAGAATAACCGGTTGTCTCCCCATCGGGACAGAACGGTGGTACCAACGTATGCAGACGCATGATATCCCATCAGGACTCAAGATGAGAGCTTTAATCATTTACAGCTCTTCATAAGACAGGCATACATACTGTGGCATGATTATTTCGCGGCAGAAATAGGAAGAACGACGGTAGCAAGCCCTTTTACAACCAGTAAAAGTTTTTAACAAGTTAAAAATCCAATTTCAAAAATACTAGTCAAGTAGACAAGCTCATGCGTCGTCTGGTGTTAACTTATTACCGTAGTGCACAGAAATTTTAACGCTGCCTGCCGAAATATAAGGTTGAAGTGTCGATTTAAACGCATAGCTACTTTGCAATAAAAATGAGCAGGGCGGTGGTACCCTACCGACAGATAAGTACTGGCCTTTTTCAGCCGTGACGCAGTAATGCGTTTCGGGTTGAAGGGTGGGGTAGCCGTTGTAACTAAACTTGAGACTTTAGAACTTACAACTCAAGGTGGGTGGCGCATATACGTTGTAGATGTCTATGGGTTCCAGTAACCACTTAATACCAGGTGGGCTGTGAGCTCGTCCACTCATCTAAGCAATAAAAAATAAATGAATAAAAAACCTATTATTCCCTACGAACCTACGATCTTAGAACTCATATCTCAAGGTGGGTGACGACATTTACGTTGTAGATGTATATGAGCTCCGGTAATACCAGGTGGGCTGTGAGCTCGTCCGCCCATCTGTGCAATAAAATAAATAAATAAAGAAGTTAATAATTACTTACCTTGTTCGTTAAGGACCAAGCTATACCCAAAAACAATAAAGTTATACTGAACGTCGATGTGAACACCAGCGGTATGATCTCCCAGTAAACCCTCATAGCGTAGGTCAGCTTCAGTTTCCTTGGCAATGGAATCTTATACTGGTTCGGAGGCAATAGATCCATACGTCTGACTCCAAAAACTCGAGGGGTAACTTTTCTTATTACAAGCACATTTGGGTGTATGGAAGCAGCAGCGCGCCATAACTTAGATATCATTTCTTTTCTTTTACTCTATTTGGAAGTCCAGTATATTTTTATAGCAAATATATAAAATGACAGTTTGCGATTTCAAAGAGTATTGTATATGTAGGTATAAACTTTTTTACATTTTGTCCTAGACTTTCCTTGAAAATGGAATATGTAAATTTTTTTTTTTAACATAAACCAGCCCGCAAATATTTACCTAAATAAAATGAATAATTGTTCAATAAATTAAACATTTACTGAAACTGGCCATTTAACATTACATTATGAATGAGTCATAGATAACGTCAAATAATGTCAAACTAAATTCAAAAGTCATTGGTAAAAGCCGTAGCTACATAAAAATTAAAACAATAAGCATAATTTATATATTTTCGGTGTATTTTATGTTCAAGAAACATGGAAGAGCCATGTCAAAAATTTAGGTTTGTGATTACCTGAATGATTATTGTGAAAAGGTGAGTTTTATCCTACAAGCTTGTTAAATTAGATAATTTAAACAGTCTTCTAGCTTATAGCCCTCTTCTGTTTCTTTCTATTGTTTGAAGCTGTTTATCAATGGAAAAGACAGTGCGCGCGCTATCTTTATGATGCACCCACCTTTATGAATAGAGCCATTGAGGTTGTTTTAGAAAAAACGTAAAATATAATTAAATTAAATAAATATATATTTTTTTTTTATTGCTTAGATATGTGGACGAGCTCACAGCCCACCTGGTGTTAAGTGGTTACTGGAACCCATAGACATCTACGACGTAAATGCGCCACCCAACTTGAGATATAAGTTCTAAGGTCTCAAGTACAGTTACAATGGCTGCCCCACCCTTCAAACCCTATTCCGGCCCTTATTCCACGCACTGCGATTTTTAAATGGAATGTACTGGTATTAGGTTTTTATTGTAAACCCTTACGGGTATGCACCGACATTGCGCCTATTTCTGGCACGGAGCAATCAATACTTTGTTTGGAAGGCGGGTCATTGGTCATACAATACAATTGAGACATCAAGCTCACATCACATAGTTTGTGTGTGGCGACATTCACGTTGTGATAGCAACGTGTCGTAGCCACTCAATACTAGATGAGCCATGAACTCTGCTTATCGTATAGGCTTATTGTATAATACTCAATGATTTTTACATATCTCTCCTCATATTCTTTATATCGTCTTTTTATATATAAAATATAATGGATAATACCTATATATTGTTATTATAGTTTATTGTATACTACTAGTAATCTTATTTAATTCAAATTTTGTTTTCTATCTCTATCATACTGAAAGCACTGTATCAGCGACGTTTGGTGATGACCTTGCGCACTCCACGCCGCCGTATCTCGCCACGTACCAAGCACAGGTACCGCGTCATAAGGAATTTCTTTCGACGTGCATTGGGTTAGTTATGTTCAGGTTCTTTTACTGATCCAAGCTACTTTTACATTTACATAGCACATTGGATGATTTGGTATCGAAATGGCGAACAATAATTTCGATAACACAATAACTTCAGACCCGAACCCAGTCTTTTAGTAGAGTACCGAATGAATATCTTATATATATTTATACCTTTAAACGAGCAATTCTTGTTTATATATAATCTGAATCACGGAAACGGCTCCAACGATTTTCATAAAATTTAGTATACAGGGGATTTCGGGGGCGATAAATCGATCTAGCTACGATTTATTTTCAGATAATGTTGTTTTATTCGTGTTTTCAATAATCAACTCTTCCCGACATCTATTGGCGAATAATAATACTATTTTTCTTAATTGAGGGCAACTAACCGCTTTAAAGACACAACAANTCTCGGAAACGGCTCCAACGATTTTCATAAAATTTAGTATACAGGGGATTTCGGGGGCGATAAATCGATCTAGCTACGATTTATTTTCAGATAATGTTGTTTTATTCGTGTTTTCAATAATCAACTCTTCCCGACATCTATTGGCGAATAATAATACTATTTTTCTTAATTGAGGGCAACTAACCGCTTTAAAGACACAACAAGATGACGTTATCAAAAAAACCGAGCAAAGCTCATAATCTAGTGTTCTTTCTTCATCATAAATATCTGAGAAAACCTTTTCTGTGTTCAAGTACTCCGAAGGCTTTTTCATTTACGAGTATAACAAAAGACTTGGTTAATTAAATATATTATGGCCTCAGTACTACTGGTGAACGTTAAATACCACTAGGCTATCATGAAATTAAAATTTAAATCGTAATAATTCATACCCATTATTTTAGGTACTTCATCACAACCATCCATAAAGATAAGCTCCAGTATCGCGATCAACGTCACCGACTTGAGACATAGATTGGGTGGCATCCAAAATCAATTGAATGAAGCGACCAGACATTGCCAAGATATTAGCTACTTAGAGAATATCTCAAAGCCTTCTAGTAACGTGACTGAGCTCAAACAAGTACCTTCATCTTCAAAACATCAGATAGAACAAAGTGTACAGGGACAATATAACGAAAGCGAAGCTAAAGTACTCTACAAAACATCGGAGAATAACTTTCCGAGTTCAGATCCAAGTGATCAGACGCCCAAAAGTCAGGATCATGATGACAATAACCGTTGCACTGAAGTGTCGCGTGTAGATAGCAAAACATCGCGCACGAAGAAAAAAAAGAATAAATTAAAGTATACAGTAGTGCCTGATGAATCAGTTTTACGAAGTCATAAAACGAAATCTGCCCTCGAAAACGTTGTGGCAACTAATTCTACTGATAGCTACGAGTCGACTGCCGGTCACAGGATGGCCCAACGTGCACACGCGGGAGACTGCAACCGTCAACACCATAGAGCAAATATAGACCACGCTTACAAAGGCAGATCAGAATCCTTGCATGAACGAAAAGAGAAAGGACATCATAGACAAAAAATCATGAATAACAACCGTGACTTGGATAATGAATTTATAGCAGATATAATTAGGAGACAATACAAACCTGTTAAATTGTTTGGCAGAAAAGAATCGGATTTCAGCCAACTATCCGCGCCTGTGTGCCGAGACCAAGAATATTCATATAACAATTATTTTGGTGACTGCAGTGAGCTGTGCTCGTGTTGCTACGATTCAAACAGATCTAAATACAAAAGACATATCGACTTGTCTGACATGAGAAGTATTTGCGACACAAGATTGTACAGTTCCAATAAAGCTAAAATCAAAACTCGCAGGAGATATATGGAAGCTCAAAATGATTCCGAACTCTACGACTTGATACCGGTAAAAGAGAAATCTAGCCCCAAATCGAGGAGGAAGTTTGCTGAAGATAACATCAGGTATCATTATTATAAAGAAGTACCTCCGTCGCCTAGAACGCATAGACCTCAATTAAATCTTAAGGCGCAACATTACGAAGATTACTTTTATCATCACCAAAGAAAATCTAGATCACCAAACAGACACGAGAGAAATGTAAAAGAAATTTTTGAAAGTGATCTTTCTTCTGAAACGCCACAGGCTATAGAGAGTGGCCGTCGTCAAATGAAAACTACAAATATGGCTAATGCGCCAGAACACTCTAGGAACGAAAGTGGAACATTAAATAGCCGACCAAATACATACATAGAGGATCAAACATGTCACGAAACACATTTAAACAAAACACAAGACACCGACATGTCCACAGACAAAACGGACAGAGCATTATGCGAAATTAAGGATATCTTACAGAGTTTTCTGCAAGAAATCAAAAAAGAAGCTACGGTATCGCAATGCGAGAAGTCGGACGTCACAAGTAAAGCAGCCGGCAATGTGCCTAATAATATACAACTAAATAGCACTAACGCCAGTATGCTACCAAACAGCGGGCCAAGCTTCAACTACAGCAATCAAGCAAACATCCCTCCGTACATTCCGGCTTTTACCAATCCGTGCTGCTACCCAATACTGCCGGTGTGCCCAATGAATTGCATACAGAATGGATACGTCGTGCCGTCGCCAAGTTACACATGCGCTAACTGCACTAAAGATGAAAAACCAAAAATTTCAAATAGCAAAGTTTGCAGTTCTGAAACGGAAGAGCTTATTAAAGAAATATATAAGCATGTACTGGAGACACCTGGTAGTAGAAAAAAGGAGACATCAAGAGACGAAAACAAAAGAATTCTGACGTCCAGAAGTGTTGGAGGTAGTATGCGCACCTCTAAGCGCGACGTCAAAATCGGGACGCCTAAATTGAAGTGTTATTCAAAGAGTTGCGAAGCTATTACGCCGAGAATGGCAGGCAACTATTACGATGGAACGTACGCGAGTTATTCAGACACATTGCTAGAAAGATTGAGTATAGAACCGACGCCAAGCGAAACAGTTTCAGAAACTGATTTTACAATGGAATCTATGTCCACTGAAAAGGTATTATTACATTTACTTCATTTTATCTTACTAGTTCCACTACATCACTTTTCTCTATCCTCCATCTAAGCACATGTGGTGGACCATATCGCAGGATCGCATATGCATATATTTTACTTCTGGCAATCATGAGTTCTCGTGACCATATTTCATATTACGTTCGAAATTTATCTATCAAAATGTTATTAAGCGATTCAAAATTTATTGTTTAATTTGTGATTGTAGGACATATTACGAGTATGAGGCTGCAGGGGTAGGGATTACCATGATGTATGTATTGCATCATATCATTTAAAAAATTAAAAGTATTCTGCGTTAATCTAGGTTACAAACTTTTCGTTCCGTTTCCGTTCAGGCATTTTTGCGTGATTGAGGAACATACATACTTTTAAATTGACAATATTAGTATAGATTAAACTAGGAAATCATACTTCTTTATGGCGATTTTCGAACCCAAACATTGATTTAACTATCATCGCAAATGTAACACGTCTACTAATAAGCTTATTTTTAAAATACAGGGTAAACGTAATAAATTCGCGAAAGTACTACGATCGTTCGGACTCTTCAGAAAGAAAAAAGACGTTATAGAGGAACTGAGCGAGAGTGAAAGTACTGTGGAAGTGGATGTCAAACCGAAGTCACCGCCTTTCAGACAAAACATCACTAACTACGCAATGTACGAGCAGGAATACCACCACCGACCTCCGATTCCTCCGCATCCTTATCACGAGTATCCAGAATACCGACCGCCTTTTCAACAAAACGTACCACCAACACAAGATCCATATCACCCTCACTCTTATTCGCATATGCCATACGATCCCACCTACCCTCCGCATCCTCAATACCTAAGACCAGGAATGCCAATGCCACGAAGTCGGTCGTTCGATCATCACGTACCTAATGTGCCGCTCTGCCTAAAAGAGATCGAAGTTAAAAGCACAGCGACGCAGAGCGAAAGGAAAATGTCATTCTTCGAGAGAATGAAGACCAAAATGCAAATGGAACAAGCGCGCAGAGACGAATATCAAAGGAACTGTTCAACTCAGACCAAACAAAATTCAACCGAAAATCAAACAAAACCGGGTTTGTTTAACTGGAAGAATGTCCAACCGAAGCCTCTCAATAAAGATCCGCTTGCGTTTTCCTACTTGAAACAGAAGCAACTAGCTGAAGGAGATGTAAAGATGAGAAATGCACTACTCAAGAAGTTATTTTACAAAAGAAATCCATTTTCTCCAAGGAACTTGATAGTGAGGACTCTGCTCGGTAAAGACAAGTCGAGTTACGGGGAACCGCCAGCTATATACCGGCCAAAGTTGTTCTTGTGAAATGTTTTCACCGACCTGTGGTGTTTAAGAAACAAAAAATAATATTGTTTTGGTTTAATGTTTTTAATAAATATGTTGAATCTATTACGATTTTAACTTATTGTTATATACATACTTACATAGGTATGTTTGGTTCAATCTCTTTACTATTTTGGATCGATGTATCTATCAAATGCTGCATGATCAAAATCCCCGCTTAAATTAGGATGATAATAATTTCTAGTAAGTACTCATAAAATAAATTACGCTAAAATATTAAGCTTGAATTCGTTTCTTTGGTTTTCGAAGCACGATTCACCCAGTCCTTGTGGACTGGGTGAATCGTGACAGAGGACGCCTCACTTTCCGGCTCACACAGGTGCTCACTGGGCATGGTTGCTTCGGTGAGTTCCTGCACCGGATCGGAGCCGAGCCGACGGCAGAGTGCCACCATTGTGGTTGCGACTTGGACACGGCGGAGCACACGCTCGTTGCTTGCCCCGCAAAGGAGGGGTGGCGCCGTGTTCTCGTCGCAAAAATAGGAAACGACTTGTCGTTGCCGAGTGTTGTGGCATCGATGTGGCCGGCTATCCTCGACCCACGCTGGTTCTGACCCAGCGGGGTATTCCGTAGGATAACCCATTCTAACCGGCGCCATCTAGGCGGGCTCCGGATAGCCTGCCGGCCGAGAGGGCTGGTGGTCGTGGCGCCGACGACCGCTGGTCCGGCGTCCCGAGGTGGGGGGTGATGGGAGAGATGTGCTCGGCACTAAGCGCTTCACTTTCCCCCTTTGCCTTTTCATGAGTTCTGTCTCATGCGAGGTTCGTTCGAGGCAAAATGTTTAATTAGGAAACACAACCACAACACAACACAACCACTCTCCTATAAAATACATCCGGAATTACCTATTTTTCGTGCGCAAAAAATCATTGACTTATCGTAAATTCAAAATACATACAATATATACTCTTCTATTTACAAACCTTAAATCTGATATTCACTATATGTCACAAGTTTTGACGTTTTATCATAGAATTTACCATTAACTTACGATAAATAATCTTGACATCGTCAAAATTTGGGCACATTGCTTTAAAATTATTTGAACAATGAAATTTTTAGTTTAGGCAATATATGGTACAGAAGTTTTTTTGGAAAACAAATTTTATACGATTACCCGATAAATACTAACTCTATGGGATACAAAATAGTAATTAGTGTATATAATACTTACAATTTACACTTATAGTACGGTAAGTTCAGGCCTTAAGTATTTTTGTAACTATTGATACGACTTACCAGCCACTAAGAATAAACGGGACTATGACGACTACATCAAAGTGACTACTACATCATACCCAGCATAATCTCGGCATAAGATGAGCTAATTCGAGGTCAGAAAATCTTATAATAATATTGGAGTGGCCAATCAGGACACATACTCCTCATCAACCAGCTCTTGCTACTGAAACTACATTCCTTTACCTTTTCAGTACCTAATGTCAGTGTTATATCAATTACACTATCCTTTAAAAATTCTTCCTCCGCCACTCCCCACTGTCACACGTATTGAAAATCCGCGCGACTTGTCACTATTAAGCTACTTATTTCTGCAGCAAAGCCACCACGTATTTCGGTCCGAATTAGGGTTATAGTGCAACTAGATGTACTCGTTCGCTTCGCTGGGTATTTAAAATTAACATTATTATGTCTCACCCCCACAAAGATTCTCATCATTAACGCCCCCGCAACTGGTGTAGGGAGTCCAACACTCATATAAATATTAGCCTATCCAAAGTACATGTATTTTCTACATGGATACCAAGTTTTAAGTAAATCCGATGCATGGTTCAGTAGTTATAGCGGAACACCCGTAAAAACCACTTTAGATTTATATATTAGTATAGATATAGATATATTAGGTTTATAATGCAGTTCAATGTCAAGGTAAGTACCAAGTATCGGTTTGTAACGTTTGTGTATTTCCGTATCCGCTTAGCGACAAACGGACCGCGAGCGCCGACAAATCGTCTGCTTATTAAAATAAAAAAAAGCATTTCATGTATTATTTTATGCGAAATTGCTTTTAAATTAATGAATTAATTTACCGGTTGCCTTTTTCAGTATAACATCAAAATGGTAGACGAAAATGAGTTGAAAACAGAGTTGAAAACCGAATTGAACAAGTGCAGGAAACGGTTTAAGGGAGTGGAAAATTTTCTTCGGCGAGTCGCTTTTAATTTAGGTCCGTGGTGCTCAAATTTTATTTCATATTTAATAATATTCTATGTCAGTAATTTTACTAGCCGGTAGTACACGTCTTCGCTCTTTGTACACACGTGATTATCTGTATTATGAGCCACGAAAAATCAAAAAAGACTATAAAATATTTTGGATTCAAATCCCAAAGGTTAAAATTAGGTGACAGAGATTGAGAATTGAAGATGTTATACATGTATTATTAGATAACTTCCACACAGTGCTATATTGAATTTTTTGATAAAATCATGTCATCTCCTTTCATCATCAAAGCACCGCATTACTAGTTGTACGCAGTGGTTCCCGGTGAGAAGGCGGCTCTGGAATCTATTTCCTGATATGTTAAAATAATAAAAAAACTTATTTTTTTCTCAATGGGATATCCTCATTATTTCTATTTCAATTAAAGTCGAAAATTATCATAATTCGTTAAATTTGTTAAAATTGAACATATTATAATGAATTTTAAGGTAACACGCCATCACAAACGGAAGTTAAAATTATTTCGTGTATACCAATTGATGTAACGGACCTACAACAGAAAATTATTCAACTCGAACGGCAACTAGAAGATGTTAGAAACGCAAAACAAAATTTCAAAGAAGATACAGTTAGTGTAACAACGGCTAGGAGCACTAAAAGTGCAAAAGATAATGGAAATGAAAATAAAAGAAGAAATACAAAAGAAGACATTAAGAATGTGAATGGAGAAATGGTAGAAGTTAAAGATAAATTAAGGAAGAGTTCCAAAGGCGAAAATAATGCTAAAGATTCGAATTTACCTCCGAACGCTACATCTGTCCATACTGCATTTTGCAGACAAAATTTTTCAAGGTTACATGGCACAACTGATTCCACTGGAAGTGAACTCCCAGAGGATTCTCTCACATCACGATTTAATGGCTCATCATCCTTTCAAAAATACTCAACTGCATCTTCTATGTTCCCTACAACTTCAGCTATACCCAACGGATACAAATTGAAAGACAATTCTAAAATGACAGGAGAACATTGGTCACCGAAAGATCTAAGGAATTTATTTTCCAAAATGAAAAAACCGCGCAAAAATAAAACCCATTTTGTTTATTATGCCCAAACTGATCGTACGCCTTTTAATAATTACGAGATGACACCTGACTCTTTATCTAATTATCACGAAGTTTTAGGTCATCACTATTTGTCAGAAGTTATTAAAAAGCAGTACCAACCGGTTCCTGTTAAAGATTATATGTCTGACGGAAGTAAATATACGTCACCAATATGCAGGGATGAATATCTGAGTCCTGATTCCTGTCCTTACGAAACTGATATTTGCTCTTGTTTCCAAGGCATGTTTTATAATGTTGATAACTACTTATTAGACAATGATATGGAGCCAACACAGTTGAAGGTTAATTATAGTAATATCTACAACGACTCTAGTCTTTACGATGTAATCCCTGTTAAAGAAAAACAATTTAACACTTTTGCTAATAACAGTCCAAAAGAAAAGAAGTCTGAAATCGTAATGAAATGTTGGCCTGAAACCGTTCGAGTCAAACCTCATCCTCAACATNATAACTACTTATTAGACAATGATATGGAGCCAACACAGTTGAAGGTTAATTATAGTAATATCTACAACGACTCTAGTCTTTACGATGTAATCCCTGTTAAAGAAAAACAATTTAACACTTTTGCTAATAACAGTCCAAAAGAAAAGAAGTCTGAAATCGTAATGAAATGTTGGCCTGAAACCGTTCGAGTCAAACCTCATCCTCAACATGTTATTGTAAATTATCATACTGAAGCTCGTTGTAAAGAAAATCACATAAATACTAGATCTCGCAGATCAAACAATCTTATTAGGCAAAGGCATAAACGTAACAAAAAACAATTTAGAGAACAAAAAACCGGAATGTCATCTAATAGTTACAGCGTTGATTTGAGTCAAGTCTACACAAAAATTATACCTAAAACAAAAAACGCGCAAACAAGTGGAATTATAAAACAACCTTTACTTCAGCATTCTAAGTGTTTGAATGCACCTATAAATAATGTCCAGCCACAGGTTTTGACAAAAATAATTGGACAAGAAAATAAAACACAAGTGACTTTGGGCCAAATTAAAAATATTTTACAGACCGTACTGACGGAAGTCAGAGAAAGTACCATGAAAAATGTTGAAGAAAAAACCAAAAAGGATGCCACGGTTCAAAAAGGATCATCTCAATCAAACATGCGAGAAGGATCTAGTCTCTTAAATAGTTTTACATACAGTCCTTTTAATATGAGTCCGTATCCGCCGACCTGTTCAAGGCAAATGGCTTCTAACTTATGCTGCTACCCTGGACACTCACCCATGCACAACTATCCATTAATCATACAAACCCCAGGTCGCCATCTTTGCAGTAGTTGCTTCAAAAATTCACATTACAAGCCCACTGGAAAGACTATGCCAACTAACAGTGATAAATTGAAAGAACAACGTTACAAGGAAACTGATAAACTCATTAGGGAGATATATAAATCAGTCGCTTTAGATATACCAACTAAAGACACATCATTGAGTGAATACAATATCGCGTCATCGAATAATGAAAAAGAAGCTGATTTAAAAATAATAAAGATTGAAGACAAAAAAATTGTGGACGTAGTTTCGGAGATTTTCCGCAATAGAAACATTAACACTGACACCTCAGAATCAAACGCAGTAAGCACCACCGTTCACGACGATTCCGTTGGCAGAAATAGTAAATTAAGCACTATTCATTCAAATAATACTCAGACGGATTTTCCCAAAGAAGATAAAAATATTCAATTGTCAATGGACACCGGATCTGATACCGCTGTAGAATCCAATCCTAAGACTGTGGATAAAGGAGATAATAAGAGAATATTTCGTTCAGGAGATGATTGTGATGAAGTTTCTAGTAGTGAAACAGACAGTGATACTGTGGTTCCGATGCAAAAAACTAAGGTAAGATTTATTAAGGATTTTTTGAATCATCTTGACGGGAATAATCTGAATAGAGATTTGTTACCAATCTACCTTTATTTGTAGGAGGAAAATGTGTAAGTATATAATAACTGAAAATACTTTTACGGCATAAAAATTAAATAAAAAATGAATTAAGCATCGCGAGATTGAATCGTAAACGTAGTATATTTGAAGTCGTCGTGGCCTAAAGCATCGCCCGGTGCATTAGTAGGCCGTTTTCCAATTTTAATTGGAAAACTACCATTAAGTAGTGGTTAATTACAGAGCATAATGCGACTCAGTGACGCACAATGCCGAATTATGCTGAAGCTTAGTTGAGCATTATGCCGCATAATGCGCTCTTGTGCTGTAATTGGAAAACGGCCGTATGTAGCGATACACCGGTGGTCGAATCCGCAGACGGATACCAATTTTTCTAATGCAATACATCCTTAACAAATGTTCACGATTGATTTCCGCAGTGAAGGAATTATATCATGTAATAAAAATAAAACCCGAAAAATCAGATCAGATCGGCACGGGTAGAGTACTTCTGCTCTGCTTATTTCTACCGTGAAGCAATAATGTGTTTCTATTTAAATGGTGGGGCAACCGTTATACTGTAAAAACTGTGGCGTTATAACTCGTGTCTCAAGGTGGGTGGCAGCAATTACGCTGTAGACGTAAAAGGGCTCCAGTAAAAATAAAATCAAAAAAATATAATTACAGGTAAAGAAAAAGACTGGTATCTTTAGTAAAATGATGAACATGTTCAACAAGAAAAAAACAGACGATAAGATCAAAGCTCAAAGTGAAACAGAATCAAGCGATTCAGACGATTATCAAACTGTATATAGTCACAAAGACGAAAAACCAAGGCGCACACAAAGACGTGTAATCCAAATTTCAAAACAACCACATTCGAAAATAGTACGACCGAAGCGTTCTAGAAACTTCGCTGAAAATAAAAACAAACGAAAGCCTTATATGGAACAAGAGTACCGCAGGCGGTGGAACGAAAAAATTATGTTTGAAAACGAAAAAATAAGACACTCGTCCGAACAGCCATTTTGGTGGGAAACTACGAAACGACCTAAATACGAGCCTATTTATCGTCAAAACGTCGAGGCTAGAAGCGTTTTTGTTGAGCCTGTCATAAGTCCGAGACATTTTGGGGCACCTCACAGATTTACCACATATACAACTCCGAACGCAATAAATTGTAAACCATTTAGGCCGTATGCTGCAGACTACTTTAATATCCCCACTCGGCAACATACTCAGCAACATCCGTTTCGTAGCATAACGAGATTTAATGATGGTATTGTGAGAACTCCATACGTATCCACGAATAATAGAGATTTAACGAAACCGAATTTTGATCAATCGGAGAAAATCAAACCTGGCGTGGGTTTGAAAAAGTATTATGAGGAAAGGAAACCTTCGAAAGGGTTGTCGTGGTTGAAAAAATATAATATGGGGATTCGCTGCGGTGATCAATGGAAGAAATTCATTCTTGAAAGTTGAATATGAAGTAAGACAAAATGTGTTGTTATCGTAAAAATTGGTCGTGTTGTACATGTTGAGATTTGTGAAAAAATACAGTGTTCGTTTAAAATAAATGAAAAGGATTTGAAACTTTTCTTTTATTTCTTCTTTAGGACGACGACAAAGGAAAGATTTTTCACCGAACGGGTAAAATTGCTCAGTGGATCGACGACGGACCAAATGTTATTGTTCGGAACTCATGCAAACTTATCTCGAAAATGTCGTTAGTGAGGTTCAGGCATTTATCAAATATCTCGTGTTCTATCGTAAATATCAACCAACCAACTCTTCCGTTCTCTAAGCTATAGAATTTCGGAAGTTTAAATTTAATAGGTATATTGTAGAAAGACTCTGAGAGGGATTAATATCTTATTGTGGAAATTAACGTTAACACTTAAGAAACTTTAGCATTGGCAACATGGCATTAACATCATTCAACTAGCAACACTGCGGATCGCTGTGGACTAAACGTGCGTGTCATTGTAGGATCTAGCGAATCTTATGTTCAACCCTTTCCCTTCATCAACGTTTGCTGTTGGATTCGGAAGTGGCATTGAAGCACATACTAAATCCATCAACGTACTCTGAGTAGTATAAATCAGGTGCTTAATTAATTTTTTTTAAAAATAAAACCAATAAAATTTGCGAGAGCTCTCGTTTATTGAATCAGTAACAATGCTCAAATAGTACACATAGCACTTCGTAGTGGATTAAGTTCTGTTTTATTTAAAAATCAACAGACTAAAGTTACATTGTTACGGTTTTTACAAAAGTTTGTCTTGTCTGCTCTGCGTATAACGGAGATCTTCAATCACGAATCTGAAAATTTTGAAACATTATTTATCGCCATGACGTGTCTTTGACATGTAGCGGGGGGGGGAGTGAAGTCAGACGCCGCCCTCCTGACTTGGCTTGTACATGTCGTGACTGGCAAGGTCACGACTCCTCCTGATCCACTAACGGTGCTTTTAGGTACCTTAAGCACCGGCCATCGTTATCGACGAACCCGTCGCTTGCGACGAACGGCTCGGCGAGTAAATTAACCCACAGCCACAGTCCACTGAGTTTCTCGCCGGATCTTCTCAGTGGGTCGCGTTTCCGATCCGGTGGTAGATTCTGCGAAGCATGGTTCTTGCTAGGGTTTGTGTTAGCAACGTCATCAGGTTTGAGCCCCGTGAGCTCACCTACTAGTTAAGGTTCCGCTGATATAGCCTCTCAAGGCTATGAGCTTAGGTAGGAAAAAAAACCGGCAACGAGTTCGGTGCGCAACATTCCGTAGTTCAGCTGCGTACGGACTCACTGGTAGAAGAGCAGGGGCAGCGGCGCGGTGCTGAGGTGCCACACGGCGTGCGCGTCCCACGCGCGGCGGACCGGCGGGAAGTCCAGCAGCTCCAGCGGCAGCACGACCGCGGAGCACGTCACGAACCACAGCATGCGCGACGAGTAGCGGGAGCCTCTCGCGCTCAGGTACCCCGCGTACACCAGCCAGATAAACGAACCCACCGCGCCTGTACCGGTTACAGTGTGCTTAGTGCGGGTTTTTTTACGTTCTCGACAGCGTAAAAGTTAACTCACAATTGTAGGCAGGTGGGACAGCGCCCCTAGCGGCAAACGTAGGCAAACGTTCCAACTCCATACAAATATGAGCTAACTTTTACGCTATCGAGAACGTTAAAAAACTCGCACTAAGCACACAGATCATCAGAACTGATAACGGTACCCAGGCACGGTCGCAGTACAAGTAGTTGTTTTTTTTTATAGCTTAGATAGGTGGACGAGCTCACAGCCCACCTGGTGCTAAGTGGTTACTGGAGCCCATAGACATCTACAAAGTAAATGCGCCACCCACCTTGAGATATAAGTTCTAAGGTCTCAGTATAGTTACAACGGCTGCCTCACCCTTCAAACCGAAACGCATTACTGCTTCACGGCAGAAATAGGCAGGGTGGTGGTACCTACCGCTACGGACTTTGGAACCTCTGGGTCTGCGGAGGGACTTCGGTTCCCTCTGTATTTTGTACCGTATGTTCCATGGAGAGTGCTCTGAGGAATTGTTCGAGATGATACCGGCATCTCGTTTTTACCATCGCACCGCCCGCCACCGGAGTAGAGTTCATCCATACTACCTGGAGCCACTGCGGTCATCCACAGTGCGTTTACAGAGGTCTTTTTTCCACGTACCATCCGGCTATGGAATGAGCTCCCCTCCACGGTGTTTCCCGAGCGCTATGACATGTCCTTCTTCAAACGAGGCTTGTGCAGAGTATTAAGCGGTAGGCAGCGGCTTGGCTCTGCCCCTGGCATTGCTTAAGTCCATGGGCGACGGTAACCACTCACCATCAGGTGGGCCGTATAATCGTCTGCCTACAAGGGCAATAAAAAAAAATTTGAGAACTACCGAAGATAACGTTGACGGTCATGTTGTAGTCGTAGTCAACCACCCCGGTGGCCAGCAGCCGCACGTGCGTCGCGAAGTACAGCAACGAGCCCGTCAGCAGCGTCGCTACGATCTTCTTCTGACTATGCAATATTCTACAAAGACAAATTGTTGCCAATTGTGCCGGCTGAAGTTACCTTATCATGCATGTCTAGTAGTTGCAATGTATCGAGCCATCATGAAGTAAGACAGTCGCACATTACTCGTCAACCAATACAGTCGCATTATATCTATACTAATAATATATAAATCTACAGTGGTTTTTAAGGATGTTCCGTTATAACTACTAAACCGTGCATCCGATTGACTTGAAACTTGGTATCCATGTAGAAAATACATGTACCTACTTAATGGATAGGCTAATATTTGTATGAGTGTTTGACTCCCTACACCAGTTGCGGAGGCGTTAATGATGAGAATCTTTGTGGGGGTGAGAAATAATAATGTTAATTTTAAATGCCCAGCGAAGCGGACGGGTACAGCTAATATTGTATAAGAACCTCGTAAATCAGTGTTCGGCAAGTGTACCGTATCGAATAATAAATAAATAGCGTATATGTTAACTTTTATTAAATGAACTTACTCTGACATGCAAGATAATAATTACCAAAAGCAAAAATACGCTAAACTAATCTTACGATTTCATGGGGAATTAATCTCAGGACTCACTTAGCGTTTAGGGTTCATTAGAATTCATAAGCGCGAATAGCAACGCTGTCGGAAGAGAGAGGGAGAAAAGACTAAGATGATGACAGGGTCTTCGAATAAAGTGAATTAAAAGGTTCAGGAACTATGGGATGAGAGAGATAGAGCTCTTTTCCTTTTATTTTGTATTCAGATCGCTTTGATTATAACTACCTCACAACAGCAGCAACGTACAGCCCCATGACCATGGACAGGGCGCACGTGTAGTCCATGAACTCTGTGAACGGAGTATCCCTTGTGTGGAACACCATAGACCATACCCACGCGTTCATGCACACCTGTTAGGACATATTTTATGGAGATAGACTAGTCGACATTTTATCGGGTGATATTTTGTTCTAGATTCTGTAAGCAGAAGGAATTTTACAAGAAAAAAGATGGTTTTTTTATAATTGATGGCTTACTGGTGGCCCTGAGGCCTATCCAGTTTCATAAGGACAGGTGGGCGAGCAAGGGCTCAGTGAGAAGGGGCGAGATTTGCTAACAGCTACCCGAGCGCCTCCAAGGGAGACCCAACAACTCAAGAGTAGCTATTTCGCGAATGAATCTACTACCGGATTGATAGAACGAACGTAAATTCCCCTGTAAAGGTCCCTCTCCTCTTGGACTATATGTATGTTGAGACCAATACTTTAAAAAAAAGCATTTTGTTAGAAATACAGTCAAAACCGTTTACTGCGACATCGTTTAATACAACATGCCGGTTATAATAACCAAAAACAAAGGTCCCGGCTGAATGCCATATGACCGCCTTATTAAAAATATTGCTTTCTACGACATTGGTAATAACGACATACCTCATAAAACGACCACATTTAACTAATATTTCGGAGAATTAGATCGGTTAGAACGACCGGCTAAGCTGTATTGTAAACAATTTGAATAGGTATCCACATTTGTCTTCAATGGCTTTTAAAATCAGGAAAGAAAACAATAGGATTTAGTTTAGTGTAGGGTCTTTTCTAATTCTTAGAATCAAAACACGTGCATGCGGTAGTCAAAGCCCACTTCTTCATATCTCTTCAGTTAGTTTGTTACTTATCTATACACAAGACGCACCAAAACTTTGTGGAGTTATTCGTGAAACTTTCAAAATCTCGCAAAGATAAAGAAAACAAATTAATATTGAAGAAAAATCGCGTATTATGTAAATATATTTTTCCAATAATTCCCTATCGATTTGTTTGTACTTGCACGATACACATTAAACATCACCGGTTGTTACGACTATCGGTTTTTACGACTGAATATGAGCAGTCCCTTCGATGTCGTTATAACAGATTTTGACTGTAGATGTTTTGCTTGTCTGTCTATGAAAACTTTTTCACTGTAATCTATCTAATATATAAATCTACAGTGGTTTTTACGGATGTTCCGTTATAACTACTGAACCATGCATCCGATTGACTTGAAACTTGGTATACATTTACAAAATACTTAACGAATAGGCTAATATTTATATTAGTGTTGGACTCCCTAATAATAATGACAATAAATAATAATGTTAATTTAAATGCCCAGCGAAGCGGGCGAGTACGGCTAGTCTTTATATATAAACGTGTCTTCAAAAGACTTTATACTTACAAGAGCAAATAAATGCCACAGTAACACCATAGGTCTCGATTTGATTGAAAACTCCGTCCTTAATTTGGAATACATGTATGCGTTTGCTAACAAATTGAGTAGAGATGCAAATACCGATGCGGGCTCTTGCATACCCATAATCCGTTTGAATGGCCACTGAAAATAACTGACTATTCACCCCACTACTGTGAAGCCAAAGCAGAGGCATAATTTTATCAGTATGTTATTTATTTAAGAAGGTTTGACTGGATGGATTGAAGATGGCTGACTGCATGGATTAACTGGTCATCTATATGGGATTAATGTCAACGTAAATTCTACTGTGTCCCTGAGCTACACTTGCATTGCAGGCGATGCTCGACTTCTGCGAGTCCACCATCTCGCAGAAGGAGGCGGCGGAACGGGAGAGGGAGAACTCTTCCTCCCTCTCGGCGCCGTGCCGCCGCCGTCGAGCAGGGGGTCGGAGGAGGGCGTTTGTCCAGCTCCGGCCCCTATGAGGAGGCAGTCTCCTCCCGGTGATGGTCACGGGGCGACCTAAGGGGTTGAGACTGCGCCGCACGCTACCGTCACTCTAGCGCGCTGGCACCAGGAGGATGGGACGACGCGTCGGCGGCTGCGGACTGCTATGCGATCCGCATTTTCGTCGTCGCTGTCGTCGCCGAACATACTGTGGAAGAGCAACCCGGTCGGCGGTGTATCGCGTTCCGACCCGGCAGGCTGGTTCTGGCCCAGCGGGGTATCCCGGAACACCAGCGGCATCGCCCGGGCGGCCTGGTTAGGCCGCCGTACCGCGGAGACCGACGTCGTTGGTCGTCGACTATCGCCTCGACGACCCGTCGGTCGGGCGTCCTCGGGGTGGCGCCGCGTGTCTGGTTGTAGTGTTGACCGCGGGAACCCTCCTACTCTGACCGGGTTTTGACCCCGGACGGAGATCGGACGTCGGGTGTAAGAGTGCAGGGGAGTCGTTTAGTGGGTGGGCCCTAAATTCCTTGGGCCCGCGGTCTGCTCTCAACACCTGCAGATCGTTGAGTCTCACATACCCCGCGCGCCCCCTAGGCGCGGGGACCTCGTAGGAGGTTCGGCCCTCGGCCCGGAAAAAAAAAAAAAAAAAAAAGGGTGGCACATTTACGTTGTAGATGTTTATGGGCTCCAGTCACCACTTAACACCAGGTGGGCTATGAGCTGGTCCACCCATTTAAGCAANGCCCGGAAAAAAAAAAAAAAAAAAAAGGGTGGCACATTTACGTTGTAGATGTTTATGGGCTCCAGTCACCACTTAACACCAGGTGGGCTATGAGCTGGTCCACCCATTTAAGCAATAAAAAAAAATGCGTACTATTTTACTGAGAAAGTATTAAATAACAAAACCTGTAATATAAAATTTAACTGCATGGACTACATTCCTTTTACATGACCAACAAAAGTGTAATAAACAAAAAATAATTGCTTCCACTTAATTATATTTTAATGGATTACAAGCTAATAAATATTAACTGACCTTGCCATGAAACTTGACTACTTGCCGACCAGCATTCTCTAATTTCTTTACAGCAGACCACATGCAATGATACTTGCACTCGTCTATGCATCGCCAACTGAAGAGCCTACACCAGAAATCCTGTTGTATTGTTGTATTCTGTCTGAACAAAAGGCCATCTAAAAGAATCATGCATAGATGTATATTGACAATTTGAAGATGTTCATTATTTAGCTTTGAACATATATCTAATACATATTTTGTACTTCATAAAGATAATTCAGGATAATTGATAACTAGGAGCAATATATAGATTAAGTAAGCTATGGGAGCAATGAAACATGAAATTTTGTGGTTTTTAGGTGTTGCTGGTATAAATCACAAATTTTGGCAATTAGTCACCATTTTCTTTAAGCATTGAAAAAGTTCAATATGCAAACTAGCCCATAGACATGAGCCATTGAGTTTCTCTCCAGATCTTCTCAGCAGGTTGCAAATACAATCAGCAAAGCACTGCTCTTTTTACTGCTAGTATTTGCAGGTTCTCTCAGCTTGAGCCCTGTAAGCTTGCCTACCCAATTTTTATTTGTCTTATTTTTTTATTGCCCTTGTAGGCAGATGGGCATACGGCCCACCTGAAGGAGAGTGATTATCGCCACCCACAGACTTCAACAATGCCAGGGGCAGAGCCAAGACACTGCCTACCATAAAGCTCCTAGAGTATTAACTCCTTACGTTACCAATATTAATGAATGTAATGAATCTATTATTTATGTAGTTTTAAGCAATAATTAGCAAGAAAATGCAGAAGATCAGGAAAAGTGGAGATATCTCGATTTGGAAGCCTGATTGGGTTACTAAACCAGAAGTGTAAGTAAATAAGTATGCTTGGATTTCACAAGATCGTAGGAATGAAGACTACAAAATAAAATATTCCAATATCACAATAAAGTATTACCAGTCAGTGGTAATACCTGGACATGCCTGTGCATTCATTGCTGGACACAGGCCTCTCCCAAGGTTCACTAAAATGACCGGTCCTGCCCTGCCTGCATCCAGCTGACAGTAATTCACGTGCATTCATCCTGCAGAATGTTCATCAAAAGGCTACATGAACTTGCATAGCAATTTTTTTCTTCGTCTGATAACAATATTGTCAAGAGTGCTTCTGGTTCAAGCACTTACTTTCATCACAATTCCTCGATATGCATCGTTTGAGACAATCTTTATATATGTACAAGCGATCGCCTTCGCTCGCCGATAACTGACTCAATTTACAACTTAAAATAAATACTGTAACTAAAGTTATTTTTAAGGATCCCATTATTAGAATCAATTCTTTAGACTAATATTCTCAAAGACTACTTTCGAAAAAATTTGGCTTATTATCTTTTTTTTTTTTTTTTTTTTTTTTTTTGNAGAAGATCGGGAAAAGTGGAGAGATCTCGATTTGGAAGATAGATTGGGTTACTAAACCAAAGTGTAGGTAAATAAGTATGCTTGGATTCCACAAGATCGCAGGAATGAAGACTACAAAATAAAATATTACAATATAAGCAGAATGATAATGATTCTATCTGTTCGCAAAGTATTACCAGTCAGTGGTAATATCTGGCCATGCCTGTGCATCCATTGCTGGACACAGGCCTCTCCCAAGGTTCACCAAAATGACCGGTCCTGCCCTGCCTACATCCAGCAGACAGTAATTTACGTGCATTCATCCTGCAAAATGTTCATCAAAAGGCTACATGAAACCCGGCATAGCAATTTTTTTCTTTGTCTGATAACAATATTGTCAAGAGTGCTTCTGGTTCAAGCACTTACTTTCATCACAGTTCCTCGATATGCATCGTTTGAGACAATCTTTATATATGTACAAGCGATCGCCTTCGCTCGCCGATAACAGACTCAATTTGCAACTTAAAATTAATACTGTAACTAAAGTTATTTTTAATAATGGGATCCCCATTATTAGAATCAATTCTTCAGACTAATATTCTCAGACTAATTTCGAAAAAATTTGGCTTAATATCATAATTAAGTGTAGTAACTATGTAGGTACGTTTAACGTTAATATCAGTATAATCAAATATAGTCACAATAAGTGTATACCGTATAATGGGGCGATTAGGGACAAATTCCAACTTTATGAGCAATTTTAAGGTAGTTGTTGATGTATATAATGCTATATCAGGATCAAAATGATTGAGTCTTGGGGGCATCTTTGTTGTCTAATTTAAAATTATGCAACTAGCATTCCAGTTTGAGCAAAAAATGCAAAAATAGGTGTAATCCCTATTTACCCGAAAATTGCGGTTAATTGGGACGAAATGAGAAATTTGCTAGGGTTGGCACTACTTTTATTTTTATATATAGTTTTAATTTATTTATTTATTTAGTTGCACCAACAAAGTGATCATCAATAAAAAAAATTGAAAAACTGACAAAAGTACATGGCAGACATCACCTCAATTATAGGTGCAATCGACAGTGCTGATATTTCTATCTGGGTTAAGAGATTAGGTGTGTCGGTTATTCCATGGATTAATCAGATGAATACCCCCACTCTGAACAAATATTAAATATTTTATTATGTATTACTTAGACATTTTTGTCCACCTTGAGATTTCATTGATCTTGTTACATGTCTCTGCAAAATCGACTTACTTATATTAAATTGCTTATCTATTTCAACTAAAGACTTATTCCCAATTTCGCTTCGAATAAACCAGATTTTTACCAACAAATTTAAAAAATATTGTTATAACTACATAGACAACCCTACAAACCTGTACCTATTTATACTTAGGTCGTTTCCATTTCACGTATTCTCATCCCAATTGACCCCTTTTTCGTTGTTATTTGTACCTAAGACGTCCCCAATATCCCCAAAAACAACAGATTTTTACATGTATTTTTATTTAATCAAATACATTAAAACCAATAACAACTGAGACTTACCTTTAATATATATGCTGGTTCAAACACTAAATAACGTTTATAAATCATAGTCGTCTTCTATTATTATCAAATAAATAAAAGAGAGCAAAGTTTCTAGCACTAAAATAATTACCACCACAGGAAGTTAATTTGAAGCGCGATTTTTTATAAGTTAGCAGTTATTATCATGCATATTCAGAGTTGTTTTGTGAACTTTCAACATTCTACTATTAAACTACAAAAAATGGAAGATTTTGCAACGAATATAAAACTTATATTGAGCGTCGAAAGATTTTCCCGGTTTTTTCCCGATTCGCCTTTCAATCCCTAATCGCCCCATTTTACCGGTAATGGTAATGTTTACGTAGGTATGGTATCAATGAACTTTTTTTAAAGGGATTATATGACCTGGTAACTAAGACTTTTAGGTCAAGTCTTATTTTAATTTTAATGATAACTTTTTATGAAAAAAAAGTCCACTAAAAAAGTCTCAGATAATGACCACCATTTTACTGAGATTGTATTCATACCATATCATCTCATTTCATTTCATTTCACTTCATATTATCATTTTTTATAAAAATAAGAATATAAATTAAAATAACACTTGACCTAAAGGTCTTAGTTACCAGGTCACAAAATCCCATAAAAAAAATAAGTTCATTGGTTATTTTGGAATTTGGTTAGATGTTTTAAATTTTGAAAATACAAATAGTCTAGGTACTGATATTTAGCTTACAATCAATCGATGCTTTAGATTGGAAGTGAGAAAATGGTGCTCATATTTAGATCTCTGTTTTGTAAAGAATTAAAAAAACCACGCGATTATCTACGGTCCAAATTTATCGATTCTGTTAGACTTCATGTAAAAGGTGGAACTGGAGGCACCGGCCTTCCCAAACTGGGGGGTTTGGGAGGACAAGGAGGATGCGTTTACTGTGTTGGAACAGAAACTGCGACCCTACGTCGTATCATGAGTAAATTCAGAGGTAAAACAATCACCGCCGGTCATGGGGAAGATAGTCGTAAAACGAAAATTATTGGTACTCCGGGTGAGGATATCAAACTCGAAGTGCCTCTGGGTGTGACCGTGTATAGAGAAGATGGCACAGTCCTGGGCTCTATCGATAAAGAGGACCAAACTGTAATTATTGCGAGAGGAGGGCCAGGAGGAACTCCACAAAACAACTTCCTAGGACATTTTGGTCAAACTCATCATATACGTTTAGACCTAAAATTGATTGCTGATATTGGTCTTGTTGGTTTTCCTAATGCTGGCAAAAGTTCCTTACTAAAAGCTATTTCAAGAGCCAAGCCCCGAATAGCTAATTATCCATTCACAACCATAAAACCAAACAAAGGTGTCATGGTATATGCAGATAAACGTCAGATATCTATTGCGGACTTGCCAGGACTGATTGAAGGTGCTCATGTGAACATTGGATTGGGTCACACATTTTTAAAACATGTAGAAAGAACTAAATTGCTACTCTTTATAGCTGATGTGAAAGGTTTTCAGTTGAGCCCTAAACATCCAAATCGTTCATGCTTAGAAACAGTTCTGCTGTTAAATAAGGAACTGGAATTATACAATAAGGAGTTTTTAAATAAACCAGCAATACTTGCCATTAATAAAATGGATCTCCCTGGCTCTGAAGAAACATTACACAGGATAAAAGAGTCATACAATAATAAGGATAATATTTTAAACTCCATTCCTGAGGAGATAAGACCTGAGAGATTGATTGAATTTGATGATATTATTGGCATTTCAGCACTAGAAAGAGGAGAAAGTATAGAACAGTTGAAACAATTATTAAGAAGAAGGTTGGATCAATTTGCAGATGAGAATGACCCTGATATTGTAGAACCAAGCAAGTTACTTAGAAAACACACTAGTATGTTAAGAGAAAGAGGACCTAGAGTTACTTAGAATTGTTAATAAATACAGTTATACAATACAGATATGTTTATATGAATGTATAAAACTTTTATTTTGAAGTGACATCATTGTACATGCTATGGTTGTAAGATGTACCCTCCTCCAAGTTATAGTCCCGATTTTGTGGGACACCCGTCGGAGCACCATGGCGTCTGAGGAATGTAGATCTTCACGACGATTTAAACCTAGAACCGATACATATCTGAAGACAGTGTCAGAAATAAAATGGCGCAGCACATCAACCCTCTTATCGTGACCGCATTGTTACATAACTGACCTAGACATTAGAACATTAAACAGCTACAGTTGCCCTAAAACATGTCATTTCGGATGTTTTTGATGCACTCTCGGTGTTGGGCATTGGGCAATGTGACAAAGACAAACTATGTGCAACATAACCTACTGAGTTTCTGGCCGAATTTTCTCAGTGGGTCACGATGTCAATCTAGTGGTGATTCTATGAAGCACTATTGCTAGGGCTGATGTGTTTTTTTATATTGCCTAGATGTGTGGACGGACTCACGGTCCACTTGGTGTGGTTATCACTAACCTGTTATTAATCACCTCGAGATTTGAGTTCGAAGTCCGTTTTATAGTACAACGGCTTCATCAACCTTCAAAGGCAAATTTAAGAAATAGAACAGTTTTAATTATCACATTTTTTTATCAAAATTTTAAGAAAGATTAAATGAAACTCCCATTTTCATACTTTTGTAAAATATTTTTATTATGATTAATGTCTACATGTTTGTCTTTCTAATCTATATTTTACATCACCAATGGACAAGGAATTTGCTTGTTCCTTTAATTTTATCACAGTAACTTAAGGACGATTACCTGTAACCTAGGATATTTTTCAAACTTTTTGTTAAATGTTGCAGTGTTCTGAAATAGGACAATTACTTGCTGTCTCATATTAAATATTCTATTGAAATTAGAAAACATTTGTTTGAAGTTTTTAAAAAAGATTTGTAACAAATCATTACTGATTAAGTCAACATGATATTAAAATAAAAATCTGCCTAACTGTCCACATATACAACTGAATACATAAACAAAATTAAGATAGTTAAAGGAATGTCTTACTTATTGATTGATATTTACATCACGGCCCTACTTAATAATACTTATGAAACAATGCAAAATGTGAAAAGCTGCTTTTATTTTTTTTACGGTACCTAATAATTACAACAATAGAGATGCAAACGTTTTAAAATCTGATGGTATAAAAACTTGTTTTAATTGACTTTTCTGATGACTTCATTATTAGCTTGCCAGTGCATACTCTGGTAGTTTTCCAATTACAGAGCTTATTGCGACTCAGTGACGCACAATGCCAAATTATGCTGAAGCTTAATTGGAACGTGAATTAGTTTTCAAATGCAATGGCAGAGTGCGCTAAGTTTGCACAGTTTTAATTAACATTAATTATTTCTAAGAAACTACGACAAAACGAAAGCCTTACAATTTTTTTCAACATTAAATAATATTACTAATGTTAATATAAACAAAATTTCGATCAATGCCAACTTAAAGAAAAAACACTTGTAAATTTTCTGTCACTGAGTCGGTATCGATTGCGAGTATCACGCGAGAGCAGTACTTTTGAGAGTGCTCGATTGTGCTTAGAGTTGCTGTAGTTGGAACATTCAACGTTGAGCATTATGCCGCATAATGCGCTCTTGTGCTGTCATTGGAAAACTACCACGGTGTCGAACTTGAGCTATCGCATGCCGACAGGATTGCTCAATGTTAGATTCTAATTACATAAATATATTCCAAAATTAAGTACAATTTTCGTTTGAATACATATTGTGTGTTTGAAACTGATTTTTAAACACTGCAACATTTAGACCAATTGATAAATCACCCTTTCCAATATTTAATTAAATAATAATGAACAATAAACTTGAACATAAACGAGTGTTACAGAAAAGCGCATTCTAGCTAAATTTAATTGAAGCGTGTGAATTTTACCTACATTTTGAATTGAAGTTATCAAAGTGAGAAACTTTTTAATTTTCAGATAGACATTTACAGACATCTCTAAGCGTACATGATTACTTGATCCATTTGAAATCTCTCCTCACCTTGTATAACATGTTGTAATTTGTTTTAATGTAACGTCCACTGTATAAAATTATTTAAAAAAATAACTTTTCTTAACAGCTACCCAATCATATACTTCGAACCGCAATGACACTTAGTTATAGAATTTGTGTCAGTTTATTTCTATTATTAAATTTCGCGTTTATGTGACTCAACAATCATATGCTTTTGGAATATACAATAATATTCGTGTAATTTTCGTTATTCGATTAGTAACGCAAATTCTAAAAAATGAACACTTTTAACGAGATTACAAAAAAAAAATCTTTAACATCTTCGGCTAGGGCATTTCTCGGTAAGGACTCGGTGGAAATATCAAATTTTAAAACGGTAAAATATTTTTAAATCCATAATAATGCAAACAACATTAAACTTTATTAAAAATATGAAACTACAGGTATTTCGTTGTAAGATATACAATAATAAAAAAACACTATACTACGTAATCGTTGGATTTGACGTACCTTGTGACGTAAAAATCACTTGTTATCCACAGGTAATAACAGTTTATGCTAATCTCACTTAATTAAATTATTAAGTAAATATATTAGTGTAATGTGGAAAAATATAAAACCTTACGTGATAAAAATATGTCTATGGTCACTTAGTGAATAATACAGATGTTCAAGAGACAAAAGCTTGCAACACCAGTAGCAAAGACTAGAAAAAATAGCTCTTAGAAACTAAATAACTATCGATGTCACATTGAATAGCATGGTTAGGTGAAAGAATGCTGGCAATACAGAATTTAACCTTAAAAATACAGCAGTATATTTTGACCTAACAAATATCATTAGATTATTATAGAGAATATGCACGATTGAAATTTTGGGGGCCCGATTTATTAATCGTTACAATAGTAAGCAACATGATATTATAACGTTAGTTTTGTACATGGCACAACAATGGAACCAAAGTTAAATATATGCATTTTAAATTGCTTGTGTGTAAAAACTACTAAGATTATTAAAGCCACTTTTACGATGCAATCTTCTGTTGATTTAATTCAATATAAAAGACATCTGTATCATTATGTTAACAAAACAACTTTATATTATTTTCGTGAAAAGAGGATGGAATATTATTGATAATTTTGGATTATGCTAAATGGTTTATAAAATCGTGGGATTCCCTAAAAAGATTACTAAGATTCACAGTTTCAAGACTTTTAAATCTCTGGTGTGAAAAGAAACTACATTTCCGTTTCTTTGGGGATTTTGTTAAGAGACAAACAAACAAAACGTTATACAAAACAATCTATGGTAATCTTTGAGGTACTTTATTCACAAGACCGTTTCAAAACTTCCAAACTACTTAATCCTTAATTTCATTAACAATGTTTCAGTTTTATTGCAGGTTCGAAGATTTATTGAATTTGTTCCGTTGCCCGAAAACACTTCCTAGGTCGGCATCAGTGTGCTCAGTGCGAGTTGTTTAACGTTCTCGATAGCGTAAAAGTTAACTCATATTTGTATGAAATGGGATCGTTTGCCTACGCTTGGCGCTAGGGGCGCTGTTCCAACTGCATACAAAATTGGGCTAACTTTTACGCTATCGAGAACGTTAAAAAACTCGCACTAAGCACACAGATGCCGACCTAGTCAAGCAGTGCACATTACCTAGGCCTATCTAAAACTTAAATTCGACTTTATACTAACGACCGCTCGGTTGGTAATTGATCGTTCGGATCTGCGTTTCAGTCTTCGTACCGTTCTTCTGCTTCGGTGGNATACTAACGACCGCTCGGTTGGTAATTGATCGTTCGGATCTGCGTTTCAGTCTTCGTACCGTTCTTCTGCTTCGGTGGCCGTCTCTGCCGGGGGCAACGACCTCGCGCGGCGCTCCCCCTCGGGGGGCTCCGAGGCGGGGCTGGGGGTCGGGGCCGAAGCGGGGGGAGGCGGAGGCAGCTGGGGATCAACAGATTCTGTTGGACGAGAGGGACAAACGTTATTTTTGTAACCAACTATAATAACTATAATTAATTTATTTATTTAGTTTTCTTACAAATTAACAGTATAACCAAAACATTTGTAAGATATTAATAATACTAGCGGTCGCCCGGTAGTCGAAACTCGACTATAATTATTAATTTAAATTATAAGTTTGAACATTATTATGGTTCTATTCTTTACTTCTATTATATAATCAATAATCACAGATTTCGCCAAGGCTACACCATAGACAAATAATATTAAAGAAAAACAATATTAATCTATTCTCAACTTGACCTCAGACTTTAACAATAAACAAAATAGTAAGTATGCGTGTGTGTGTGTGTGTGTGTCAAATAAATGTTAGTGTGCGTAATGTTTTCTTTATTGGTTTAATGTATTTTTTATGCATTATTTTAAAAAATATGAGCATTATGCATTCCTTCTCTATATCTTCTATAAGTGTGGGAAATTTCATACTCCTCTGTCCGCGCAATTTTCGTAAAAAGGGATACAAAGTTTTTGCTTCACGTATATAGATTAGCTTAAGTAACTTCTAACAACAGCTATAAATCGCTGCAAACCATCACGGAATATATCCATTTCCGGAGCATAGGCTAGCAAGCCATTGAGTAGCGAGACAGCACGATGTGTCGGAGAGTTAGCGGTGTGCTGCGTACGCGCGTGCGTGGTTGTATAGGCCGCGCCAATAAAGAAACGAATCGAAAATGGCGTCTATGTACCTGCACTGATAGATGGTAGCGTCAACAAATAAAAAGATATAAAGAAAAAGTTGCTTATTGTAAAAAAATATAAAAAATCCAAATGAAAATGTACTTTACTCTACTTTGGTGCCCTGGCAAAAAGGGGGGGTGTAAAATAAACAACAAAATAACCACGAAATAACGAACAAATGCAACAAATACCGAAGGAATTTGAGAGAAAACAGAGCGCGTCTGAGGACAAATTCAGAATTGATATTTTTTTTGCATGCAGTACGCGCAGTGTGCGACTAAAGACAGCAATAGTTTAGAGTGAGAGCGCATGATCGCCGCCGCCATTTTAGATTCGTTTCTTTATTGGCGCGGCATATAGTTGAATATGCAATTTCGAAAAGGGCACATCACTGAAAATGTAAAAAGTTTAGGAAATAAAAAAAACTGATTATTTTCTAATGCAGTGTAAAATTTAAAATATTAACTTTTGAGATATATTTTAGTGTTAATTTTAGCAATTGAAAATTACTGTAGTTATTATAAAATGGGTGTAGGTAAGCCTCAAAACTACGTGTATATGAAAAAACGTATTTGACAGAATGGCGACATATGCCCTTTTCGACATTGCATATAGAGTTGTTTTCGCGAGGTACCTGCGGGCGGCGCGGGGTTGAGGCGGTTGTCGTGCGCGGGCCGCTGCTTCTTGGCGGCGGGGTCGTCGCGCGGCTCCTCCACCTGCGCCGGACACTCCAGGTGCACCAGGTGGAACACCTGCCGACGCACATATCTCATTACAATACTAATTATTATTTAAAACATGCACACATGGTCGGCACTTAGTTACTGGTGGCAGGACCTCTTGTGAGTCCGCACGGGTAGGTACCACCACCCCGCCTATTTCTGCCGTGAAGCAGTAATGCGTTTCGGTTTGAAGGGTGGGGCAGCCGTTGTAACTATACTGAGAGCTTAGAACTTATATCTCAAGATGGGTGGCATATTTACGTTGTAGATATCTATGGGCTCCAGTAACCACTTAACAACAGGTGGGCTGTGAGCTCGTCCACCCATCTAAGCAATAAAAAAAAATTAAAAAAGGCAGCGACTTGGCTCTGCCCCTGATATTGCTAAGTCCATGAACGACGGTAACCACTCACCATTAGGTGAGTGGGTATGCTCGTCTGCCTACAAGGGCAATAAAAACAAAGCATACTGCGCGACACCTGTCCTACATTGATACTCATTCGCCAAAAACTATTCCTGAAGCTATATTAGCGAAGACATGAGATACAATAAATAAAATCACCAATGTGCGTTTTTATTTCTAAAAACCTAAATAAAGTATGGAAAAAATGGTTTATTTTTATTGATGAAGGTGGACTGATTGAGCGTGGACAAATTCATGACCCACCTGGTCTTAAGTGGTTGCTAGAGTTCATAGAGATCAATAACGTAAATGCCACCATCTATCTTGAGCCATGAGTTCTAAGCCTCAATTGTGTAGTCTAACAATAGCCCCACCCTTCAAACCGAAACGCATTGCTGCTTAACGGCAGAAATATGAAGTTTGGTGGTAATTACCCGCGCGGACTCACAGCACGCCCTACCTCCACTATAAAGTTTCTCTCTCATTGGTCACTACCTTACGGACCGTGAGTCTGCCAACTTACACTGATAAATTATGAAATGTAAGAAACATATTTTAGTTGTGCCATACACCCACCTCATTAACGGAGTTATTGGTGCCGACGATCCTGATGATGGAGACCGGCCTCGGCGTGAAGTATATGACCTGCCAGGACCTGCAGGCGTCTCTGGTCCTATCGCAGACCGTCTCCCAGTCCCAGTAGTTGAGGGAGGTCTCGACGTAGTACGAGTAGTGCCGGTAGTCGCAGTCCCACAGCAGGAGGCGGATGGACGAGAGGATGTAGGGCTGCGCCAGCTGCACCACGATGGCGCCGGAACCGAGCTGGTGGCACGTGTAGCCCTGCTCCCAGTCGTAGTGCTCGATGTCGCCGTTCAGCAGCACGTTGCGGGAGCGGCTGTGGACACACCGCCCTATACAGTGCGCGACCCACCAGTCCAAGCAGACCCTTCAGCTCATTGCAACCATTGAGGAATATCGCAGTTACTGCCGCAGCTCAACAGAAACAGGAGTGAGAGACGTTATGAAACTGGTGGGTATGGCGGCCTTTGTCCTTGCGAAACGTACTTTTTAATACCAATACCCGGTCATCTTTCTCGTCGAACCCATCGCTTAAATTAACCCACAGATACAGGCTACTGAGTTTCTGACTGGATCTTCTCAGTGGGTCGCGTTTCCGATCTGGTGGTAAATTCTGCGAAGCACTACTCTTGCTGGGTTTAGTGTTAGCAACGTCGTCAGGTTTGAACCCCGTGAACTCACCTACTTGTCAGGGTTACTCTGAAAAGTCCTCTCAAGGCAACGGCAGAAAAAAACCTAACAATCGAAATATTCAAATATCATGAACAGCCTTTATTATGTCTCATGAACTGAACCCCGTCGTCGCAGGAGGCAAATAGTAAGTAGTGGTTACCTGATCCCTTCGATGACGACAGCGGAGTGCTCGACGGTGGCCACGTTGTGTGTCGGCTTGACGAGCCCGTTACACAGGGGAGGCACGCGCGCCGTGTGCATGGCCTCCAGCGCCACCGCGTGGAACACCTGCGAACGTACCGGCACACCCGGCCACTGAGACACTTACTGTGGATGCGTTCCACTAAGCGTTCACAACGTAAACTCAAGTGGAATAGATTATACAACGTTTTGAGCATGGAGGTAAATAATACAAACGCTGAGTTAATAAAAAGATTTAAGAGGATAGGTTTATAATCTATAAGCCTTGAACATAATCTTAATTAATTATTGTTTAAATCGATTTATATTGAAAAAAATTATATATTTTTTTTTATTTAATACTAGTGGTGTATTTCATTAATTTATGTTCAAATGTAATTAAAATGTATTTTCCGGCGGCACTTGGATATTTGGTAGGAGGTCGTAATAATGCTCCAGATAGTATCTCTTTCCGCATGAAATAACGTAAGCTTAACGGTCGCCATTTTTGATGCTTTGAGTTTTAAAAACGCCGCTAATTTTCTCAACGATCACTTCGACCCACCATTTTAGATGGGTCGCCGTGAGCTTCGCGTGAGCGTAAGTCATGACGTCATAAGTGACGTTTTCGCCGCGACCACAACGGCCGCGGTCGTTATGTGGAACGACTAAAGGAGCATTTTGATCGTTGTGGGCGCTTAGTGGAACGCACCCTGTATGCGCACGAGTCCATGTCCATCGGGGCCAGAGGTGACGCGCGGGGGGCGGGGGGCAGCTCGCCTCATTTGTCTGACTTCGAGTGTTGTCCTTGACGGTTGTGACGCGAGCTTATCGATACCGAAAATTTACGCTAACGCTATTGTGTTATTTCATTGTGAATAAACCATTACTACTCCGCTTCCAACAAGTTCATACAGAAAAAACCTACTGAAAAAAATACTGATTCCGACTCTGGTCTGTCGGTTGTCTTTTCATCTGATAGTAATTGAATTGGAATTTAAAAAATATTTTTCTCTATTAGAACTAAATAAGTAATTACTTATCAGATTTATTTTATTTCACAATTTGCAAAATTACCTTAAGTTATAATAAACCAAATTGACAGTTGTTCACTAAATCGGTAGCTATTATCGATATTACCATAATTAATTAGGTCACAGCACTATGTACCGCATTCCTCAGGATGAACATGAACTCGGGGACTTTTTGGCGGGAACGCGAGGAGCGAACTTGTGTAATTTTGTTTTATTTTGTCTATTTAGTGTTTCTTCATATTTAAATGTGTAAAAACGGTGGTTTATTAACTGTTTAGTGTGTAGTAGTATCTGTGAAAGTGCAGAAATGTGGAAAAATGAAATAAAGCCGCTGGACGTAACTTTTCGGGATCCTACAAAAAGTAACCACTGAAAAAATCTCAGTAAATGACCACCATTTTACTGAGATTATATTTCATCCCACATATCTCATTTCGTTTCACTTCATTTCACACCATATTATCATTTTTCATAAAAATAAAATTAAAAATTAAAATAAGACGTGACCTAAAGGTCTTAGTTACCAGGTCATAAAATCCTTTTAAATAAAAAGACATGAACTCGCGCGCCTATAGTACAAGCCCGGTACCTTGTTGACGGTGTTGCTGGTCCCGACGATCTTGATGTACTGGACGACTCTGGGCTCGAAGTACAGGTTCTGCCACGAGCGACAGAAGTAGTTACTGTGGTCGATCACTCGGACCCAGTCCTTCTGATCCAACGACACCTCGATGTAGTACGCGTACGACCTGCTCAAGTCGGCTGGGTCACGCACTGGCGCCACTACCACTTTCGACCTTCGGCCTCAGAAATTATCGATAGTCGTAACAGCCATTTTAAAACGGGATCCATTTAATTCGAGTAGTGTCTGTTTGGTATACGTTGATATCGAGGGTCGAAAGGTTATTTGGGTTAAGCGTAATTTATCTTTGTAATTAAAGGTGGTATTATCATTTGGTTATTACGTACCATCTATTTGGTACTACTACTATATTACTATTTGATATTACTATCAACAGTTCAATGTTTTTACTTGAACTTCAATAAGTTTACTCCATTCAAATAGCTGAAGAAGTTTTTTATGATATATTTTCCAAAATTTTAAGCTTTAAATGGCTCTCTGAAAAATTGCCGTTTAAACTAAATAGCCTTTCACCCCTCGATATATACTGTCTATTTCAAATTATTTGTAAAGTTAAAATATTCATGGGCGATTTATTTTAAAACTGTTGAGCATTCAAAGTAGAATTAAATGGACTTTTATTGATGAGTTTGAGTGGGTTTGCACCTGTTGTCGCGGTCCCAGAGCAGCAGGCGCAGATGGTTGATGATGAGCGTGGTGTGCAGACGCACGACGATGCCGCGCGGCTCTGCGTCGCCGGCGTCGCAGATGGCGTGTCGCGTGTAGCCGCGCTCCATGTCGTAGCCCTCCGTGTCGCCGTCCAGCAGCGCGGCGCGCATGTCGCCCGCCAGCACGCGCGCGCCGCGCTTCGCCGTCGCCACGTTCTCCTCCGGTACTGTGCATGGCATCGCATTTATTAATACGTCAAGCAAAAACTTTGTATCCCTTTTCACGAAAATTGCGCGGACGGAGGAGCATGAAATTTTACACACTTATAGAGAATATAGAGAAGAAGTGCACAATGCTAATATTTTTTTTAAATAATGCATAAAAGACACAGTAAATCAATAAAGAAAAAATGTGTGCGTGTACTAGTGTACACACGTAAGAAGTGAAACTTGTTTATGGCCTTATTTTTCGAAAAATGATCTACATGCAACTTTCTAGAAATTGGTTAAATAAAGTTAAATTAGATAAAGTTTAAACAAAAGGATTTTATTATCATAGACATGAATACAAATAATACAATTATTTCACTTTACCTTTTTGCTACTAAGNGCACAATGCTAATATTTTTTTTAAATAATGCATAAAAGATACATTAAATCAATAAAGAAAACATTACACACACTACATACCATGTATTTGACGCACACACGCATGCATACTATTTATTGTCAAACTTTTGTTCTTGACGTCTGTTGTCAAATTGAGAATAGATTAAATATTGTTTGTCTTTGTTAATATTTTTTATAATGTAATCTTGGCGAAATCCGTGATTAGAGAAGTATAAAATACAATCATAATAGTGTACAAACTTACAATTCCAATTAATTATAGTCGAATTTCGACTACTGCGGGACCTCTAGTAACATAATTAATAGGTGTAATCTCGTATGTCCACCTAATAAGGCGGGCCACCCAGAAACATAGGCGTCTTCATAATTGTAAGCTAGGATTAAGATGATTATTAAACATGGAATACACGCAAGAAGACGTTTTCTTTTAACACCTCCCAAAGTACAACTGTACTAAAACACCCGTCTCCGTCAACCGCCCTCAATTTATACACAACTACCTACTAACCGTCCGCTTCGCTGGGCATTTAAAATTAACATTATTATTTCTCACCGCCACAAACATTCTCATCATTAACGCCCCTGCAACTGGTGTAGAGAGTCCAACACTCATATAAAAAGTGTACAATTTCCAAAAATATTCGAAATTGAGTTAATATGCGGAATCATTTGGTATCACCGGTACTTTTCTCATAAATACTGTCAAAAGAACGTAGTTTAGTTTTAGTTTTTTTTTAGTTTACCTATATTTTGACTACTATTAATAAAATTAATACATAATTTCATCTTACTTTAAAAGACAGATAATGTCCTACTGCTCCTACGTCCTAATACTCCTACGTCCGCGTGATTTTCGTGAAAAGGGGTACAAAGTTTTTACTCCGCTTATTAATGTATAGATTCTGTTTCCACTCACGCAGCAACCCGCGGTGCGGCAGATCCGTGCTCTTGGTCTGAGTCTTCTCCTGTATGGCGTCGAGCAGCATGTCCGGAGTGACCAACGAGAACGGCCGGACCACCGTCAGCAACTCCTCCAGGCTCATCAGGGTCAGGCGGACGCACTTGAGGATCTTTTCCTATTGAGATAACACGAGTTAGGGAGTCAAATCGTGCATAATGAAATTAACAAATGAGCCCGTCATCGCAAAAGTGGCCTAACCCACAATTTTTCATAGTCATGCTTATAATTATCTATATTGCAATTTATTTAAAATATAATAAATTTTGATGCAAAACCGGCCTATCCATAGTTTCACCCATAGGTAACAGATGGCTTTGTAAACATTATTTTTGCGCGTATTGTTTTTTTGCCTACTCAAATTCTAAATTGTAACTTAAATTTCTAAATTTCTATATTTCTCTTCTCTGTTCACTTTCTACCTATATGTTATTTTGATTGTGGAAATTGTTTTGATTGTGATTGTGGTTTTGTGGTTTTGATTGTGATTGTGGTTTTGTGGTTTTTTGTGGTTTTGATTGTGATTTTGATTGTGGAATATTTGGTTACTGTTTTAGCTATTTTTTTAAATATTATATGTTTGTATTGTACTATTTGTTTCCCAAATAAATAAATTCAAATTCACGAAAACTTAAACCTATACCTAATAACTATGGTAAGCTTAGGTCAATTTTGCGTTGACGCTCTCAAATGAAGCCGACGACAGAATGTTAATTCCTGAAATGGCTTTAGTATTCCCAAATTATTTTTATCCAGATTGTGTCTTTTGCTGTAGTCGTCCATCGTCAGCAACTAATGCTGACCGTCAGTAAAACGGCGTGCTGATCTACTCTGTGGATAGATTGATTAGTAGCATAAAGTACTCACGACCTGAGGCTGGCCGGCCTCCGACTTCACCCACGACTGGTTTGCGTTGAACCAGTTGCACACCGCCTTGAAGATGTCCACCTCGCGTGCGAAGAACGAGTCGCGTTCCAGCAGACCTTGTAACGCTTCCTGGATCAAATGTCGATTGTTATTTTATGATAGTGAATATTGTATGTGAACGTAAAGACTTAAAATATTAACAATTAGCGTATCCCCTTCACACTACACTGTGATTAACTCTAATTATAAGAAAAACACTTTTTTTTTAAACTACCCGCATTCTTTTTTTAAGGCGATGTCGTACCTGTATTAATTAATGCAAGTGGCAAACAATTTCAATATTTACTTTAATGTTAATAGTGCAATAAATTAATAAAATAAATGTAAAATTGTTTGCCCCAGACATTTAGTTCTTGTTTAAAAACGATACGCATGTTTTTGTGGCTAGTTTTCATTGAGTGTTATACCAGTTTGGAATCTTGGGGGGATGTGTAAATTTTTTAAAAACCTTCCCATGGTATCGTCCATACTTTTTTTACGCCACGATAGGTGAAAGTAGAGTAAAAGTAAAAATCTTTCAATATTTTTAGAGAAACAAGAATTATTTTGATTGATTTTTGTGTAAAAATTACAGGCATACTGGGATTTTCAAGGGTAGTGGTGGTAGCAGCGGTAGCGGTGCAACTTAAGTTGTCGATATAAAAAAAACAAAAGAAATATTTGAAAAACTATGGTCATTGTAGTTTTAAGAGGCATCAATTTACAAAGGGTCTCAATTTCTTCAGTAACTTTAAAAAATATTGAGATTTTTCTTTTTTATTGAGCAGGTCCACACTCGGGTGGACGCTTATCATTGAATTTTGGAACACATTGTATACATTTGCAAATGACTCACAACGGACAGCTGAAGGAATGTCTCGTGCTCCAACACTTCTGACGCGTTCTTGTCCAAAAAGTTATAGCAGTAGTCCATCAGCGCGTCGAGCCCGTACAGCCTGCCAAGAAACCACGTGGTGCATTGCGTGCGCGCTATCTGTCTATGGACACTTCAACTACAAACTAAGGAATAAGTCCTGTCAGTGCAACTTACTGACACATTTTTCAACATGTATTTTTTTTTCTATTTTTTTACATGTAGTAGTACATTACTACCGTTGTCGTACGAGCAGTTTCAATTACAAAAACGACTCGCGAATTATTATAATTTTTTTATATTCATGATAGTAATAATTTTCGTTTTTTATACTACAACACTTTTCATACAACCCCTAACGAGCGTTGTCCGTTCGAAATGCAGACCACGCGTTTATTTAATCGCTACGACACCAGAAGTACTCCCGCGAAATTGTGTGCTTAGTGTGAGCTGTTTAAAGTTCTCGATAACGTAAAAGTTAACTCAACTTTGAATGCAGTTGGAACGTTTGCCTACGTTTGCCGCTAGGGGCGCTGTTCCAACTGCATACAAATTTGAGTTAACTTTTACGCTATCGAGAACGTTAAAAAATTCGCACTTAGCACATAGGGCGCTTGCCGTACTCGTCTGGATAACGCGTAAGAAAAAATATACAAGTTTCAAGTCACTGAGAAAGTGTTGCAATTAGTTTGAGCACTACCTCGCGGCGTCGAGCACGGAGCAGACGTTCCTCAAGGCCAGCACCTGCCGCAGGTAATCAGATATGGCCGCCTCCAGCTCTTGGAAATTGAACTGATGGGCCAGCCCGAGCATGTCCAGCACCGTGTCCTCTCTCAGCATGGAGAGGCCCATGTGACCTGGGAAGTGGCCTGTTTAATTAATTTTGACCGACTTCAAAAAGTTCAATTGTTTCCTAATGCAAAGATAATGTCTTGATCTTCTCAATGAGTCGCAATTCCAATCAGGTGGTAGTTGTAAAAAGCACTGCTCTTGCAAGGGCTAGTGTTAGCAAATTATCTCAAGTCGAGCCCTTGAGCTCCCTTACCCGTCCGGGCGTAGCTGGAATAGCCCCTTAGGCTAATAGCAAATAGGTATGGAAATAGAAAAAGAATATATTTCATATAATTTCAAAATTTCACAATTTTACGTAGTTTTTTTATTCAATCTTAAAGGTGGGTATGCAAGTCGTACTAGTGCTAAATGATCACTATCACCACTGAAAGCTAGCCATGCCAACGATTCCAACGATACCAACGCTACAACCAGACTACTGTCCACTAAGCACTTTTTGAAGTTTTAAAGAAGTAGATATAACAATCGGGGAATACTTTGTAAAGATGAGTAGACTCTAGAGCTGACCGGTATGTATCTATAGATAAATGTGACGTGTGGTTACTTGTATTAAGAATGAAGGTCGAACTCTCCTCCGACCGGTGGTGCAAATGTTTAAAGGTATGACAGGATCTTCTTGAATAATCCCCACAGAATATACAGTACAAAACAAAGAAAATCAACGTCTCTCCGTGATGAGACTTAAGGTTCCAGTTTCTAAAAAAATATAAGTACCTGAATAAACATATCGGAGCAGAGCCTTGAAAGCTTGCAGCGGCGCCTGCAGTTCAACTTCGGCCTGATGAAAAAATATAGTTTTCTCATTCAATCAATTATATCAGGGGTTCCCTAACTTATTTTGTCTACTGCCCACTTTGAGGATAAATTATTTTTTAGCATCCCTATTTTTTCACGTACTTAAAAATCACTATAGCCAGTGCTCCCAGATAAAATTACAAATCGCTTCCCAAGCTTCTACACACCGCCCCTATTTTTTTTCTGGGTCTCTTACCGCCTCCCTTTATGCTTGCAACGCCCACAAGAGGGTGTTATCGCCCACTTTGGGAAAGGCTAAATTATATCAATCTTGATACGTTAAAAATACTGAAACCAGAAGATCCGCTATTACGATTGAAACGTTCTCCAGGTGTTCATTGCTGGACATAGGCCTCTCTGAAGATTTAAAATAATGACCGGTCACCCGCTGCCCGGGACCTTCAAGGGGTCATCGGCTCACTTTGAAGGAGTCGTCCATACAGTGCGCCTCACGGTTCACGGTTCACCCCTCAACAGGAATGAAAAACAAGGGCACAGGTAAAGTCACTAAATTTATATTTTCAGCATCGGGTAAACATTTCTATATGTTTCAGTGTTAGTGTCATATTTTTTCTTCTCTAATCTCAATGGTTTAAAAGTCACAAAAGTTAGCTGAGATTTACGACTCATTCGATTCATGAAAACATACAACAAACCTGATTTGCCTCCCTCATGCCTCCATAAAGCAGAGCTCTGAAGTAATCACTGCTAGCTGCCAGAATCACTTTGTGGGCCGGTATCCTTTGACCTTCCACGATGAGGGTTACGTCGGAATACTCTGATGAGAGGCATAGCGAGCCAATGTGCTCTGAAAGGTGACCTGCGAAAAAGATAAATGTTATTTTTTTACAATGTCATGCGTTAATGACAGTTGTACAAATATACAGAAAATAATTATATGCACGCGAATTTTTTTATCTGAAAACAAATTCGAATTTCTCTCTAAGACACTGCAAGTAGTCCTCTTGTCTTAAATGTTTTCAATTCTGTCTCATCATCGTCATTCTCCTGCCCTTCTCCCAGTCACCAGGGATCGGCGCAACATGTTTTCTCCTTCGATACTCCTCTATCATATACCATTTCTTTGCTCACTTTCTCCTCTTACACATATCGTCTTTCACTCAATCGATCCATTTTTTCTTAGGTCTACCACTTCCTCTAAAGTCTGACCAAAGCCAATACAACCTAGCCCCAAGGTCAACAAAAGCATTCCCAAGGTGGGTTGACATCAGGCAGGCAGCTGGTCATAAAAAAATTGCCTAAACTTAGAGTAGGTAACACGTTTTCAATTCTGTCAGATGGCGTTAATCTTTGGGACACACGAGGCTGATTGACAAAACTATTCAGAAATACATACTGTAGAACAGTAACATGACTTTTCAGATGGAATGAACATGAATCATCTACGCTGTCTTTAGAAGAATTCCTTGGAGAAGCTACCTAGATTTACAACTGTAAAAATACTAGATGCTAAACCAGTTTTGTTTGAAATACTGTTGAGTCTCGTTCAATCAGGTTGAGATGTTTTAGGATAAAGTTGCTTATACTGATTTACTTCTAAAACTCGAAACCATGTTTAATTTACAAATATGCATTTACTTCTCGTATTTTATGAAGTAAATGTCACTAAACTTAAAAAAATGCAGAGCAACTGAAAACAATCTTTGTATATTATCATGTCAGGCCCGCCGCTGATTTTTTGTCACCGTGACTTATTGTTACTATCACCTGTTGTCACCCACGATGCGCTCACTGAATCTGTTCTTGGGTAAGAAATCGCGTTCATTTTTGTAATGGACTTCAACGAGGTTGCCGTGATTTGTGCTCTTGAAATACGTAGAAGAATAATGAAACGGAAAAGACGCTACTGGGTGCATCCTATATACATGGAAAGATTATTTAAAGGAAAAATCTACACTATATATTCTGAATTACGTCAATATCCACCTAAGTTATTTAATTATCTGCGTATGTCTATAAACTCTTTCGATGAGTTGCTGTCTTTGGTAGGACCTATGATTATTATGTTAATGGTAACTTGAGGTAAGTAACAAAAAAGACATCAATTACTTATTTAAACAAAAAATCTTTATTAATCAGTGGCATAAAAATTTGCAATGTCACAATTATCTACAGAGTAATTTGACACCTATGATTACACAGTTTCGTTAGACCGTGGGGGAGACATATTATCATAAAAATATTTAGTAGATTTAGAGGTTGCAGAGGAATTGAAACATTGCTGTGAAAATACACGAGGCGGTGGTGGTGATGCTGGTTGGGCTGGGGATATTATTTGTTGGGAAATTATACGAGGTTGTTGTGGTTGCGTAAGAATGTATGTTGCAGCAGTAGAATTATAATTATTATAGTTACTAGAAGATTGGGTATAATATTTTAGGGTATTCAAAATCGCAATCTGTGCATAAATTTTATGATCTGCTGGAATTGACTTTAATAAAGATAACGCGAATTGTCTGGGTCTGGTAGTGTCCCGATGTCTTGGTGGTTGGTTTTATCTCTTAATATTTCTAATAAAGATTCTTCGTAACTTTTATTCTTCTTCTTTTCTTGTTTTGGTCATGTTATTGCTGGTGTAGAAGAATCGCTCTCACTAATTGCTTCTTCGTCAAGCAATGTCACGTTACTTGAGGTTATTCTCCCTGGCTCCATAAAAGGTACCAAAAACAGTAACTTATCAAAGTACACGTATCGTTTTCATTTAGGTTCAGGTTGCCCTGATTTTACGTCTTTTTGACAACGAAGCTCCCTCGAAAAACATACTCTTAAATTTTTCCAACGACGTTGTATCACTTTAACTGTAAAAAATAACATTCTTTTATTTACAGGTATTTAGCAACTGGTGCAAGTCTCAATACAATATCTTTGAATATCTAATTGGAGCCACAACGCTTCGTAATATTGTAAATTCAACGTGCCAATCTATATGGGAAGCATTGCAATCTCTGTACATGGCAGAAAAAAATTAAGAAGACTGATCAGTTGATTGTTGATCAGTTTTACGAGCGTACTAACTATCCTAATATTATCGGCGCCGCCGATGCTAAACATGTTAAAATAACGAATCCAAAGCACAGTGGATCTGATTATTTTAACTATAAAAAATATTTCTCTATGGTTTTAATGGTTTGGATACACGCAGATTATAAATTCATCTACATTGACATTGGATCACAAGGAAGCGCAAGCGACTCGACGATTTTGACGTATGCAAGCGTAGTGTTCGCTCACGCGGCCCGCACTAACTTGAAACCCCTTCAAGTTATTCAACCTCGATTTTGCAGGATATCGGTAGCACCATGGTTCCTAAGGAGCGTGGATCCCCATAATGACCTGGAGCTTGACTCAGTCAGTAGGTATCTACAGTCAGCATCATTGCGCCACTTTGAGAAGGCGGAACGACATGAGAACCCTCTGGTCGAACCCGCTGGAAATTACATACCTGATCCTGTAGACCGAATGGTAATAATTGCGCCCTAATTTAATCTAATAATTATAAATAAGTAATGTAGTAAAGTATAATAAACACTAATAAATTACCTGCATTTTCTTCTTGTTCCTGTGAAAAACTTCTTGTTGGAAACAAGTGTAATACTATTTCATCCCATAATCTTCTTTTTAAAATTATACCGGTATTTTGCTTTAATTTTTTTGCATATAATGCAGGACTCTTTTCTACCTCCTCTATTAATAATTCATTGTCAATGTCTTCCTCTTGCAAAGAAGACGACATCTTTAAAAACAAAACACAGCCACACTTTTTTAAATAGAATACTTCTACTGCAAATGCGCAGCACTGACCGAGTGACAAAAAGTCACCAGTGAGCAGACTCCCATAGTAATACACAGGGCGAGTGACAGTCACGTCATTCCGGTGTTGCCTGCCGCTACAACTATTAGTCACAGTATTATCATGTCACCATAATGAGCACCCCGTGTTTAGTTTTCATTGCACTTGACTAAGTGACCAAAAGTCACAATCAGCGGCAGGCCTAACAATGCTGTATCCAGACAATTTTTTGTAATATATTTTATTACAAAAAAAATAAGATATATAGATCTATAGATATACAGATAGAAGATATATAGATACAGTAAGGATAAGTGTTAGTTTTGTACTCACTAATGTGCTCGATGTCACCAACCCTGGCATTAGGAGCATTATTCACCGACATATACTGATGTTGGCTGCTCATGGTTCATCACACACGTACTGCTTCCAAAAATACGACAGGATTTATATTCTGCTAACAAAAATGTTTTGTTTTGCTATCACATCACAAAGTCAATTCATACTACCCAGAAATACTGCATTCAGTCTATTTTTTCTCCTTTTTTGCCACTTATCCTTTGGCTCTCAAATGAACTCTCCCCTACAGTTATTCCTTAGTGTTTCTCTTCAACCATTCTTTCAAAAGAGACTTAAGCTATAACAATTCAGTTATTATGCTCTTAATAACCACTCAACTGTAAGCACTTTTAATTTATATAAATATATCGCTATAATTATAGGGTGATAATATTTTCACAGTAAAAAACAACTGAACTTTTCAAAAGTAGAACCATGTTTGATTTATTCTAAATATCTGGGATGTACCTTCTATATATTAAATTTCATATAAATTTAAGAATAAACAATTGGAGGCAGTGTCCTTGTTTACGTATAAACAATTCAAAACAATGTATTAATATTGTGATATGTACGTACCTAACAAAGATTGTACAATGACACGATTTATCATGGGAAAAAATACCGTAATTTTTTAATGTATACGTTCAGACTTCTCTTCGTTGAAATAAAATCCACATTTAACTTGGTAAAACAATAAGTATTTATCGTGTTATTATTAATAAGCTTTAACTAATCGTCAGTCAGTTAGAAAAATCTACCGTCTATTTATTGTGAAATGTGTTTCAGACCATTAAATAACTATGTATAATCTATACTTGACAGCTGACACCGTCACCGACCGAACATTCCTGTCGACAATTTGGATACCGTACCTACCTACTTTCTATTTTGCTTTGAAGGCCTGAATACTCGTCACCAGGCCTTAAAATCTTCAAAAAATTAAGATCTCCTGAATTGTTTTCCTTTAGCGAATTATTCGTTTATATCATTTTAATTGAAAGAACTCTTATGGTTTTACGAATTTTACGGTTTACTCTGGAGTTTTATTGTGATTATATTATTTTAGACATGTCGAATACTAATACCGTAACTAACTGTAAATCCTCAAAGTAGTTTTAATTAAGTCTATTAAATAAATATTTTACCGTATGAAAATAAGTCAAATGGAATGAAATGAAATGGAATTAATTTATCGGAAATTCATTCTGACATGCGATTGGATGAATGAAACAAGATGAAATGAAGTGAAATTAATAATTTTCAGTTAAAATGCTGACAATCTTTTGAGACTTAACTGGACTAGACTTTTTTTTTGTCTAAACAAGAATGTATGTCTGTTATGTATGTATGTTAAGCTTGCTTTGATGGAGCAGCTCTATTACTAAACTAATGCTCCATTGGTAAACCATGCCCGATGTACATACATACATGTGATACATGACGCTGTAAGGTATCGTCCAAACACACGTAACTACATAAGACTGAAGTCGTCGTGGCTTAAAGGATAAGGCGTCCGCTGTATTCGTATCTATCGATGCAACGGTGTTCGTATCATAGGCGGGTACCAATTTTTCTAATGAAACGCGTACTTAGCAAATGTTCACGATTGATTTCCACGGTGAAGGAATAACATCGTGTAATAAAATTATAATTGTAGCAAAATTATAATTTGCGTAATTATTGGTGGTCTCTTGTGAGTCCGGACGGGTAGGTACCGCCACACCACCTTTTTCTGCCGAGAAGCAGTAATGTGTTTCGCTTTGAAGGGTGGGGCAGCCGTTGTAACTATACTGAGACCTTAGAACTCATATCTCAAGGTGAGTGGCGGCTTCTACCTAAGCTGATAGCCCTAGCGGCTATTTCAGCGTAACCCTAACTTTAGTAGGTGAGCTCACGGGGCTCAAACCTGACGATGTTGCTAACACGAACCCTAGCAAGAGTCGTGCTTCGCAGAATCTACCACCGGATCGGAAACGCGACCCACTGAGAAGATCCGGCGAGAAACTCAGTGGGCTGTGTCTGAGAGTTAATTTACTCGTCGAGCCCTTCGTCGCAAGCGACGGGTTCGACGAGAACGGTGACCGGTGCTTGAAGTACCTAAAAGCACCGTTAGTGGATCGGGAGGACGTGGCGGCATTTACGTTGTAGATATCTATGGGCTCCAGTAACCTTTTAACACCAGGTGGGCTGTGAGCTCGTCCACCCATGTAAGCAATAAAAAAATATCTATCGGCTGATACCTTGGGGTTAGTTTAACTAAAATGTCATGTTCAATGTGCAGCCAATCTCCAATGATAAATTTGCTAAATATATTATACACAATTTAGAAATTTATTAAACTAGAAATATTTCATACAACAATACATAAAGCCTTCTTTTGACTGTTATCACTTCATAAGTAAGTATAATAATTCAATCGAACATAGTAATTGCCAAAGGTACCTATGTACTGTGAGCAAATCATTAATTATTATGCATTGACGAAAGTAACCTAATTCAAATATTAAAACATCTCTTGTGCGCTAGTTTGAAAATTTTGTATTTATTAAATATTTTAATTTCACACGATGTATTCTGATACATTAATTCTGATTAAATAACAGCATTTATTTCTAAACAAAGTCAGATCTTTTACCTTACTCTTTTCAAATTATTCAATTTCTGCGTATTAAAAATTAAGTTAGGTAATTAAAGTCATTTAAAGTTCTTATTTTAAACTACTGTACTTATCGTAACTGTAATCTATTTATGTTGTTATTAGCATTTCTTTCTCCTTAACGTAAATATATTTTCGATTAATAATAATACTAATATGATGCGAAGTTTCCCATCCATAGATTATACACTTAAGCAAAGATGGGAATTAAATATTATTGTTAGATAGGACTCCACATTCACTCTTAACGGCAAAAAAGATCAAGAAGGCAGACTATTGGACAAAATTCACAGTTTCATTTTTTCGCTATAGAATTGGAATTAAATTTGATTTTATAATAATTATAACAATGTAAGAGGTCTATTTTCAAAGATCTGCGTACAATACTAAAACTTCTTTTGTCATGATAATGAAATGTTCTATGCTTAATATGTTGTCGAAGTAGCTTACTTTCTCTGGAATGATACCTATAAGAAATAAAAGTCAGATTTTTTACATAATTTGAACTAATTTCTTTTTTGAGAAATTTAAAATTAGATTTCTTCGAGTATTTTGGCTACATTGCAGTTCTTTTATAATTATAAAACCTCGTTAAATTTGCTTTTTTCATTTATGTTTAAAACTCGTTGATGTACCAATTTTTATTGAAAGCAGCGGATATCAGCGGGAAATATATCCGTATCCTCGAAACTTTATTTCCGGTTATAAAAATGTAATTTTGATATCAATACAATAAATCCATTTTCCTTGTTTTATTATTACATAGTTATTACTAAATTTACAATTGTAAGAAGGTTGTGTGTAAGTACTTATTAACACTAATTATTGAAATTTTGTTCCATACTATTCAATTAATTTTTAAGCATTACCTTTGAATTTGTTTTTTTTAAGATATATATATATATATATGATGCAGACAAGATGTTATGTGCTTTAATTAATTGTATGCATGTATACAATTGTTTGTTTATTAAACTAAATATATTATGTAGTAACAATCTCATCGAGATTTCATTGAGAAAAGTAGAATTTACTAAATTGTACGTAATCAAGTTTGAGTCTGGTACTTTAAACTTGGCATAATTTGACTTGTTCAGGTTTACTAAATGACAAATAAATATTTTACAAAGTTACAAGTTGACTTTTAGCTGAATAATCGGGCGCGAAAGCTTCGTCACGAAAATAACTTGTTGTGATTGGTCGTAATAAAATTTTATACCAACATAACGAATTCATGGTACATTTTCGCAATGTTGTCAAATTTATTACCAGTTGTGCTGGGCAGGTAAATATCGTTGCTGTGTTAAATGCAATACATTTTCTTAAATGGTTTTAAAAACTCAGCTTTATTGTGATGTCCTTATAATGAAATTGTGAATTACGCGGGCTCGGGTAGACAGCAAGATATGTAAGTAATAAATTATGGTTTGAGTTTTTCGTACAGTTTCTGATAGGAGGTTGCAGCTCTGTAAAAGTAGCTGCACAATTGATACCAGTGCGACTCAAAAATAAAAATGTATTTTTCACTAATTAAATTATATAGAAATAGAAATGAAAATTAAATTTATTTTAAATCGTAGCAACAATGTAGATTTTCCCAAAAAGTTTTTCGTCACAAGGACATCTTACGCACTCTTGGTGCGTCTTGGATGATTTTTCACTTCGCGATATTTTATTTTTAAATGCATTACAGGTCATCATTAGTTTATTGTAAAAGGTAACCGAGTGGCTGTAATGTCCTCGTTATCGTTCTCGGCAACGAGAAATGGATGCACAGCAGTGCAAATCACTTCAAAAGTTTGACGATCCGAAAACGGAAATTTTGAAAAAAAGATTATTAAATTCGGTGAACACGTCGATCGAGCCGAGCATAAATCAGAATAATCCTCAGCATAATGTGCTACTAAACGCATTACGTGTGAGTTTTAAACTAGTTTATCAATATTTAATAAAGTGCATAATATGTAATGGTATATTTTTTATATTTAAGTTTGATTTCAGGCACCAATATCGAGCAGTATGATCGTGTCCTCGATGCAAGCGCCGCAGAGCTCTATGCCTTTAACACACAATTTAGTCACACATNCAGAATAATTCTCAGCATAATGTGCTACTAAACGCATTACGTGTGAGTTTTAAACTAGTTTATCAATATTTAATAAAGTGCATAATATGTAATGGTATATTTTTTATATTTAAGTTTGATTTCAGGCACCAATATCGAGCAGTATGATCGTGTCCTCGATGCAAGCGCCGCAGAGCTCTATGCCTTTAACACACAATTTAGTCACACATTCTTTGGCTCCAGTTAAAATTCACACAAATAACTCTCCTTATCCTCTGCAGTTATCCACTGTTCACGTACCAGTGCAGATTCCTGGCTCTACATCAAATATCAATGTTCCTGTGCAGTTGTCTACAACTTCTAGTACAGTTCCTTTGCAAATAGGACCTACTGGTCTCCCAATACAAGTTTCTGGAACAACTAATGTTCCCGTTCAACTTCCAGCTGGTGAAACAATCAATGTTCCATTGCAGCTTCCAACTGGAAGTCAGAACATTCAGCTGACTGGCTCAACATTGCCTTCTATGCCTTTGTTGCAAAACAATCAATCTATACAAAGTTCTATAATTCACGTCCATATGGGATCTAATCAAAGGCAGTCAAATATGGATTCAGGTACTGATCTAACAGTGACCGCTTCTTCTCAAGTTCAGATGCCAGACTCAACAGGTGTTCAAGTGAAAATGAATACCACAACAGGATCTCAAGTGCACATAGCACCCAATCCTGGTATAGTCCAAATCCCCAACACTACAAATAGTTCAATACAACTTAGAAATTCTGCTAGGCCAATGCCACATGTTGTGTACATTCAAACACCAAATGGCTTAAAGCCTGTGACAAGTACCGACATGATAAGTCAGGCGAGCACCAGTGGAAATCCACCACAAATCATTGTAAGAAGACCAGTAAGTAGATTAAGTAAATAACCTATTAAAATTATATTTGAATATGCTAGTCATATTTCACACATTTATACAATCCTGAAGATTGTTGTCGTTTACAATAATTGTTAATGCAAACTAAAACATTTCTAAACGATTAGAATGGAGGAATAATTCTAGCAAACATTCATCAGAATAATTTGGGAGATCATCAAAATCTCTTGTCAGCTTTGTTTTATTGCATAAGTGCGTGAATGGACTAGCCTTGTGTTAGTTTTTTATTGGAGACCACAGACACCACAATGTGATAGTAATCATCATCAACCACCCTACAACATGATGTTTAAGTCTCACATGTACTGAATGAAGGCAGTCTTATTCTGGAATCTATGACTGCTTTGGCAAATGGCAAAGTTTGGTAGGGTGGTGGATTGTTAATTGAAATAAAACAAAAAATCAAATAGTAAAAAACAAATATTTTTAATTGTACTTTTATGCTAATTCTCACTTTGCATATTTAATATAATCAAATTGTTAATATTATGGAGCAATACTACCGTCACTAACTATTATTAAAATAAGGACCGACATTATTAATGACAGTCTTTTGAAAGAAAAAAAGGGTGGACGAGCTCACAGCCCACCTGGTGTTAAGTGGTTACTGGAGCCCATAGACATCCACAACGTAAATGCGCCACCCACCTTGAGATACAAGTTCTAAGGTCTCAAGTATAGTTACAACGGCTGCCCCACCCTTCAAACCGAAACACATTACTGCTTCATGGCAGAAATAAGCAGGATGGTGGTACCCAACCGCTCGGCATAAGCCCCATATTTTTTATTGAAGCATGTATTTTATTAATATTCTAGAAAAAATTAACCCCAATTTTCTCAATATCATAGTAAAAATATTCAGGCAATGATTTGCATTAAGTAATCATAATTTTTTATATAAAATTTTTTTCTTTGTTCATTTTTTATTATGTTGATGAATGAACTCACAGCTCACCTCTTACTGGGATCTATAGACATCATAATGTGACCACAATCCCACCTTGAGCCATGGGGTCTGAAATGCAATTATATAGTAAAATATTTATCCTATTCTTCAAACTGGAATGCATGACTGCTTTACTCCAGGAATTGGCAGGGTGGTCGTAACCACCTGTGCGGACACATAATATACTCTACCACCAGCAAATCTACAAAAAAACATCTTCGTTATACTTTACTTTATCATAAATTGAATATTCAGCCTGTATTTATTTAATTGACTTATATCTATGTGATGGAATAATTATCAATTCTATTTTCAGCAAATTAAAGACTATTAATTATTACCATACATATCAAGGACCCATGAATACAATAATGTTTATTACTTTTGCTTTGAATTATTAATGTTTTTCTTTTTTGTTTAAGCAGAGTTTTGGCTAGATATTTCTCAATAGATTTGAATAAACCTTGATTGATAGAAACCGCTATATTAATTTTATTACGACACGTGCCATTCTTTATATATAACGGCTCCGTTTTTACAACTTAAAACGGATTGATTTATATATTATTTAATGTTGCAGGTAACAAACAATTCAAACATACATTTGATATCCAACGTAAATAACAAGCCAAACTTGGCCCCTAAAGCATCAAATCAGAATAAATCTTCAATACTGGCTCCAGTAAATGCCAGTCAGCCTATTGTTATACAAAAACCTAAAAATGAAAAAATGATCGTACCAGTCAGCATAGCGCCAAACATACCTAGCAAACAGGCCATCGCTTATTTGGGTTCTGTGAAAAAATCGAACCAAAAACCAGTCAATGAAAATCAGTCCATCTTAATATCGAATAACCAGACAAATGCCAACAATTCAAACCAAAAATTATTTTTGACGCCGATGCCGAAAATTCCGAATACAAAATTTATTTTACCAGTTACTTTACCTGCGACTATGGCTTCTAAGGGACCCATCATTAATCTCCAGATAGCTAACGGGCAAATACAGAATGATCCCCAAGGCAACATCACTGTTATGCGCGATACTATAGATGCCACAGAAATGCCTCCACTTCAGCCTTTAGGCAAATCTAGTTCTATGAATGGCAAAGATAATGCCATACCTCTAAGTCCCAAGGGAGAAAAGCCTTTCGCGATATCCATTCCTGGATCTAGGGCGGAACCTACTGGCGAACAAGGCGAATATTGTCTGTCTATACCGGAGACGAATGCATCCCTTAATGACGATATTTATACTGTTTCAATAACAGATGAAGACGGAGCGCACAGAGAAAAATCCTTCACATTGGCCATACCAGAAAAAGGAAAAAGCTTATTAAACAGAAATATTATTGATAGGAATGATCTTGCTCCTGTAACTGTTGCAGCTCCTGCTATTTTGAGACGTTCGAATTCTGATAATAGCGATCGAAAAACCTCCAACGCCAATCTGAAGAGACGTATATCACTTTGCACTGACAACATGTCTAGTAAAAATGTGCTTTTAAATTTGTCCTTACAAAAACCAATTACGAAATCTGAGGATGAAACAGAAAATAATGATGATCACCGTGTACCTTCATTGTTCTGTGATGAGAAACTAGAAAAAGATCTGGACACCAAGAATATGGGAGATTCAGATAGTGATGAATACAAAGTAAAAATTGAGACCCTGAAAAGAAATTCCGAAGGATACTATGAAAAGCTTGAGGAATATGTCGATCCTCCGAGAATTAAACAAGAGAATGAGATGTTAGAAGAGGATCCACCTGGACTAATTTGGAATAACGGCATAGCTACCCTACAAGGCAGCAACTTACAATTTCGCGCCAACGAATTCGGCATCATTGATTTAATAAGTGTTTTGAACCATGAGGAAAGTAATGGTACTTGTTCTAAATATCAATCGCCAATGAAAAGGCAACAGGATAAGAAACCTAATTCTCCTGAGGACATGTTCTGCTGTGATGGCTGTGGTTGTCACGGAATGGCGGCAGATTTTATTACTCCGAACTTTTGTAGTGTTACTTGCCAGAATGAAGTCCAAAAGGTACTGCAAAAGAAAAGGGATCGTGAGCGAACTGAACTGCTCCGCAAACGAAATAAAATAAAAAAGTTACTTATGAAGAAACAGTTGTCTGATTCGGATATTCCAGCTGACGGTAAAGACGACAAAGTGCCGTTGAAACATTACGATTCTATGCCATCTACGAACCTGTCGGAATCATCTCTGCTAAAGATGTCGGACGAGGCTGTCGAAAACGAAAAATACCCTTGGATGTGTGGAAAGAACGGGTTCTCATGGATGCGTTACTTAGAAGTGTGTAAGGCAAAGGCCGCACCCGTGAAATTATTCAAAAATCCATTCCCATTAAACAAGAACGGTTTCAGAGTAGGTATGAGAATGGAAGCTATAGATCCTCAGCACCCGTCGTCGTTCTGTGTGGTGTCCGTGGCGGAGGTCCAAGGCTACAGAATGAGATTACATTTTGACGAATATCCTGATGTTTACGATTTCTGGGTGAATGCCGATTCTATAAACATATTCCCGCCGGGCTGGTGCGACAAGAACGGACGTCCTTTGAAGCCGCCTGCCACCTACACGTCCACTGCGTTCTCGTGGCCACTCTACTTGAAGCAGATACGAGCTGTTGCAGCACCACGGCAGCTTTTCCAGCATGTCACCAACTCTGTAAATATTCTTTTTTTATATAATGTTAAAATAGAGTTATGTTTAGATTGTCTTTACTGAAACTTATGGATACTAACTTCAGCCCTGAGCTGCTGATGGTAAGTGGTTACCGTCGCTTTTAGTCCTCAGCATTGTCAGGGACACAACTCTGGTAACAAAGTCATATTTTGTGGCAAAAAAGATTTATTCAAATGTGCTGTACGAATCGAGAACTAAGCAGGTCTAAATCCTACTCTAGTCAAGGTCTGTTCTCTGTTCAGTACCTTTTCAGTTACTGTTATCTGTAAACTACTAAAGGGCGTTATTGTTTGTCATATACTTTCTGATCAGTTTTAGCTGCTCCTAAGAAACTTGTAGATCTGCTTGGACTATTATGTTATAAGCACCTTCAAATGGGTACAGTTATACAGTCACACAGTTAGATGTATCATTGTACAGTCCTACTAGTGTCCCATTTGTTTTTTTATTTATTTCTTAGAGTGGAAGAGAACCCACCTTGTATTAACCAGCTACTAATGCATATAGAAATGATGTGAATGCTGACACCTAAGTGAGACTATATATTTACTAATACTGTCCTATCCTTTAAACTAGTCACGCTGCTTTATTGGAGCTTATCTCAGCAGGCTTATAATACGAACTTTCAACAGTATAATAACTAATCCAAAAAACCTTGATGCTATCAAACAGATCTTCAAACCAAACTGCTTCCGTATCGGCATGAAGTTGGAAGCCGAAGACAGGAAGAATGATCTAGTCTGCGTTGCAACAGTTGCTGACACCTTGGACCATCGGATACTTGTCAACTTTGACAGCTGGGATGAGATGTACGACTACTGGGTGGAGCTAAACTCCCCATACATACACCCCGTGGGCTGGGCTGAGCTGAATGGAGTGTCCCTTACGCCACCTAATTGTGAGTAGCCAGTGACATACTATTTTGTTAGGCAACCTGCTATTAGTAATATAGGGTATTCTCTAAAAAGTTACATCATAATAAATAAAATGCTACTTTAAATATGTAGCTAATTTGTAACAAATTAAAGTAATTTTGTATTTCAATAGCCCTAAATGCTGATGTACTTAAATCATGTTACGATATTCATTTCTGAATGAGTGGTAGATATTGATAGTGGTCCTTAGGTTTTCACATGTTACACATGTCACATTTGTTAAAAGATAATTTTATTTTTAATTATGTGCTCATTTCATTAAAATTCCAACATAAGCTTGAAGTCGTCGTGGCCTAAAGGATAAGACGTCCGATGCATTCGATGCATCGGTGTTCGAATCCCGCAGGCGGGTACCAATTTTTCAAATGAAATACTTACTTAACAAATGTTCAAGTTTAACTTCCACTGTGAAGGAATAACATCGTGTAATAAAAATGAAACCCGCCAATTATAATTTGTGTAATTACTGGTGGTAGGACCTCTTGTGAGTCCGCACGGGTAGGTACCACCACCCTGCCTATTTCTGTCGTGAAACAGTAATGCGTTTCAGTTTGAAGAGTGGGGTAGCCGTTGTAACTATACTTATATCTCTTTGAACTTATATCTCAAGGTAAGTGGCGCATTAACGTTGTAGATGTCTTAGATGTCTATGGGCTCCAGTAACCACAACACCAGGTGGGCTGTGAGCTCGTCCACCCATCTTGACCAGAGAGCTTTGTACGAACTACTGATTTGCTGCTTTCGTCATGTTATTATTTTTCATCGACAGTTCAGTTTATCGAATGTTACAAAAACCAAGCGACGTTAATGTCGCGAAGGCATATTTAGTAACGCAATAAACCTATACGGAGCTAAGCACTCCGCATTCGGAGTGGATTGAATTTCGTTACGGACCACCCCCAACTGACGTGTTGTCTAAATTCTAAGATTTCTTGCAAGTTTAGCTTAGTAAGTTTTCAATTTCTGGGGTTAATGTTGCAAGTGGATCAGTATTGAAATCATTTGACAAGTAAAGCGAAATCTTCTAAAATTTTACGAATCTTCTATGGGGCGAAACCGCGCTTCACATCTTATGTCATCATCATAAAGTCAAGCTATACAAAGTTTGACCTCACGTAAGACACTGCTCCCATCTCTCGGTCACCCTACATCAAGCCAGTCAAACTACATCAAAGTAGTGGCGATAGAAAAAACAACGTCTTAATTGAATATGCAATTTCGAAAAGGGCACATCTCTAAAAATGTAAAATATTCAGGAAATGAAAAAACTGATTATTTTCTAAAGCAGTTTAAAATTTAAAATATTAACTTTTGAGATATATTTTAGTGTTAGTTAGCAATTGAAAATTACTGGAATTATTATAAAATGGGTGTAGGTAAGCCTCAAAAGTACATTTATATGAAAAAACTTATTTGACAAAATATGCGACATGTGCCCTTTTCGAAATTGCATATTGAATTGGAATCTTTCCTACAAACTTTACTTTTCCTGACGAAGGCAGACTGTTATGCGGTCTTTTATCCGGTCTCCGCGGTGGAAATTCATTCTCCTTCATGTTGAAGGCGCGGAATATCGACATAATATGCACATAAAATTAAGATATAAAAAACAAATTCTAAATACAAATTATCTTACTGCAATACTTATTTCGTAACAATCATACATGATTGTCAATAGATAACGCAGCTCTGCATTATTATATTACAAAATTATAATTTCCAATTTTTATTTATAATAGTGAATTATTTAGAGTATTTTATTATTTATTATACACCTAGTGTTCATATCCTATTTTACTAGAGTTATTACTTTCTGATGTTAAATGATAACCGGAGCCCATTGATGGCGCAATCTGAAAGCAGTGTCATAGCTTGAGATATCAAAGATACACACATTTTTATAAGCTTAGATCTACTTCTGGAGGCATCNCAATTTTTATTTATAATAGTGAATTATTTAGAGTATTTTATTATTTATTATACACCTAGTGTTCATATCCTATTTTACTAGAGTTATTACTTTCTGATGTTAAATGATAACCGGAGCCCATTGATGGCGCAATCTGAAAGCAGTGTCATAGCTTGAGATATCAAAGATACACACATTTTTATAAGCTTAGATCTACTTCTGGAGGCATCCTCTGAAAACCTATATAGGAGTAAAAATTCAATAGGAACGTCTCAGATTTTATTTCCTTTTTATAACGGCCATTACTGTTTGTCCGCTCATCCATATTATTATGCCGTATTTGACTCGAAGACTACCTCTCCATGCATACCCAGCGCCAATTAAAACTTGGAAACCGTTGCCGTCGAGGTTGAAAAATAAATTATACAATATTTTCATTTAAACTACTAATCGATATTCGATCATACCCGATATTCGTGTATACGTCTATTATTGTAACACAGAATTATTCCTAAATATGTTATTGCACAAAACAAACAAACCACTAAATTAACAGGATAACGACACCTCGTATTTATCTGTATTTACGTTTATACTATATTAAAATGAATACATAGCGTTGTGACATTACATTACGCTCATTAGTCGGACGATAGCGTCGTAGCGGTGCGGTTCACTTCTTACACAAAACAGGTAAAGAAAAATAAACCTTACTCGTGCCACGTAAATTTCAAATTGAGTTTTCACACAAATACTGACACGTAAAAATAATGTGAGTAGACTATAACCACAGTAATTAATTATGCATTGACTGTATCATTACTCTCCTTAATTTTTATTGACAACTAAACTGTTTTAATTTCATTCTATCTGGTGTCAAACTGTTTACAATTTCATAGTCCAATACATGATTGCTCTGAAACTTAACATGGCAGGGTCTGTCCAGTGGCGTTTTAGGCTTCATGCCCTTGTAGGCAGACGAGTATACGGCCCACCTGATGGTGAGTGGTTACCGTCGCCCATGGACTTCAGCAATGCCTGGGGCAGACCCAAGTCACTGCCTACCATAAAAGCTATTATATTTTAAACAAGTTTTAAATTGAATTTTTGAAACATAATACCATAATATATAAAGTTTCACATGTTAATATCGATTATGTGTGTAAAACTATCTTGAAAAAACTATATGCCTTAAAATAATTATAATGTGTTTTAAATTATTTTATATTTCATGTGAATGAGTTTTTTTTACAACAAAAAAAAACAACGTATACATTATGCTTTCCAAGCTTTAACATAATAATTTTATTGCATATATTCTTTATCATGTGATTAACAACTCTTGTGTCCTTTACACAAAATCAAATTTATATATCAGCATGAATTTACCTTACTTTAAAGTTGAGGGATGTCAATGTTTATTGCTGTCTAAATGTTGACAGTTGATTTCTGTATTAAGTATTAAGAGGGGCCAGTACGCTAAGCTATTGCGTAGTTTCACAACTTAATCCTTTATTGTTTACAGTTTACAAAGATCCTGACACATTTTCATGGGAGAGCTACCTAGCAGAAACTGGTTCCTCTGAAGCACCACCTCGAGCCTTTAAACACCGTTTACCTCAAGGATTTGAACCGGGCATGAAACTAGAAGTAGTTGATAAAAGGGTAATAAAGATAATTCAAATTCTATAAATATATTACTATATTTATAACTGGATTGGATAAGTAAAATAGCACTAGTTACAAGTTGATTTGCATATTATTATCAAAAAACCTTAACTCCCCATTATGGAAAGTAAGTATTGCACAGCACCAAATATATTATCTCTATTACTTCATAAAATAAATAAATTAATGTGTAAAGTAGAACTGAATTGTAATTTTTTGGTCAGGGTCTGTAAATTACGTCTCATTGAATATAAAAATTGTATTTATTAACAGTTGTCAGTTTTTATAGTACTTCATTTTTTAACTATAAAATATGTATAGTAACCGGCAAACTTCTTGAGCAAATGACCTTGACTGCGCAGAACCGAATTTTAGATCACTTTGGTGGTGAGGGTGAGGCGCGACGGCAGGGGAAATCGTATCGAGCGCGTTATTGGTAGATCAGTCGAACCTTGCGTCCCGCACCGCGCCCTCATTCCGCTCGCTCCCAAAAGTACGCTTGCGTACAGTGAAAAGTCTATCGTTATTCATCGTTAAGTTATATTTTGTTATAATTGCTTGTTGACTTTGTTGCCATTGCTATTTGTTGAGTGTTTGTTGATTTTTTATAAAAAATACACTATGCCGCGACAAACTGGTGTAGTATTCAAAAGAAAGGGTAGAAAAATTGTGTACGACGTATATTGCTTCATTATAAAACAGGGGAAGAATGATATGGAAAAAGTAAAACAGACTTNATAATTGCTTGTTGACTTTGTTGCCATTGCTATTTGTTGAGTGTTTGTTGATTTTTTATAAAAAATACACTATGCCGCGACAAACTGGTGTAGTATTCAAAAGAAAGGGTAGAAAAATTGTGTACGACGTATATTGCTTCATTATAAAACAGGGGAAGAATGATATGGAAAAAGTAAAACAGACTTCGGAAGCAAGAAAAATATCAGTGAGTACTGTTAGGTGCATTATTAACGAAGCTAAAGGCTCTGGCTTGCTCGCCATGTTTCGGCCTCCGGGTAAGAAAAGATCAGGGAAGAAGAAAGTTACCGGAATGGATAGTTTCGTTCAATCTGTAATAAAAAGATGTAATCATAATAACTACTTATCAAGCAGCGAAACTCCGTATCGGAGAAAGGCTTCGAAAAATCTAAAGAAGATATAAATTTTAATGGCTCGGAATGAAGCTTACGACGAATTATGAAAGAGCTAGGCTTCAGATGGAAAAAAAAACAAAGTAATCGGAAGCTGGTAATTGAAAAAAGTAACATTCGATTACTACGAATCGAATATCTCCAAAAAATAATTAATTATAGACAAAAAAGAAGACCGAACCGACCGAGTTGTAAACTACACCAATGAGCCCTATGTCGACTCATCACGATGATAGCGACTCGGGTGATGAAAACAGTGATGATGATGATGGTCAAGATTAGGATAACGAAAAAAAAATTACAAATACCAGCTTCGCTTCAACTGAACCTGGCAACAGCTCTAGTTTTGACTTAATAGAAGGAATATCTATTTTACCCCAAGATTAAATTATTACAATTATTAACCTATATTTTTTGTTGATGTTCTAATAAATATATAAATAAATACATAATATGTTGATTTTGTTAATTTAATAGCATTATGACGCAGAGTAAATAATGTTTTTGCACGTGAGTGTACCATGCGCGAACTTACCCCCACTACGTCGACAAATGCTCAAGAAGTTTGCCGGCTATTATACTTGCAGTTTCATTTCAAATTATGAACATAAAAGCAAATGAAACATCTCATGTGTGCTTTAGTTCACATAAAAAATTGCCAACTTATCATCGTTTCTTGATTGTTCTATCAATCATCCAATGACCATTCAGTTTAACTTAAAGAAAATAATTGGGAAATGGTTGCTGGTTTCTAAGTTTATTTATCAATTAATATTTTTGGTTTTTCTCAGGTGCCATTCCTGATCCGTGTCGCCACGATAACGGCAGTGAAACGTCACCAAGTTCGAGTATCGTTCGATGGTTGGCCCGACGACTTGTCTTATTGGTTAGATGACGATTCACCCGATTTGCACCCGGTAGGATGGTGCCTTAAGACCGGACACCCACTCGAGCCACCACTCAGTAAGTTCAAATTATATTCAAAATTATAATGAAATTATGAAAAATAATAAAATATGTTGTATCAGTAATTTAACTGCTAAATTCTGGTGACGAAATTGAAATTGGCGTTCCCAGGTTTCAAACACTTTATACTTTCCATGGTGACTGACTTATGGAGGTTACTAAAATGTTCACTAAAAATGAAGTGTCCGTTATGCATTTAAGGTCCGGAAGAGCTAAGTATGAGAGGTCCGTGCGGCGTCGGCGGCTGCCGCGGGCTGGGCTCGGCGCACGGCGGCGCCCACAAGCAGCACGTGTCGGCGCACGCCTGTCCCTACGCGCGCCCCGCCGCCCTGCACGCGCCCCGCACCCCGCGCACACCCGACCTCGTGCTGCCCAGGGAGAGGAGGTACGTCTCGTAGCAGACATTGTGATTCAAGTGATAAACACATCCATATTACAATGCGAAGCAGACTGCAACTTTATGTCTCTTGCCTGGAATATGCCTTATGCCATTAAAAACATGTCATTGATTCATTGCTTACCACTGCTTACAGGGTTCTAGGGAAACCATTAAAGTCGAGACCTGCTAGCAGTCTGAACAACAACGCACCCAAAGATAGGTATGGATTTAAACTTACAAAATATAACAACAAAAAACTCTAGAAACTAGACTAGAAAATTATAAATTCTTTGAATATATTTTATGTGTTTTTTGTATTGTCTCAGGCCACGCGGAAGACCGCCAAAACACAAGCGGGTTGAAGAAGTTGTGAAGAATGATCCGGTAAGTGTACTTTATTATTTACAAAATACGCACTGTGATGTCACCTTCCTTAAGTTCGAACTTGTTACAGTTTACTAGCTCTAAAGCCTTGTTCGGACTAGGCGAGTATTTTAGTCGAGTACCGAGTAATCTAGTAGCTAAATGTGTCTGAACAGCAAAAATTTAGTCGAGTAGGTTAGTAAATAATTTAATGAAGTCAATCCATTTTGTTCTATTTTTATCGGGCGAGTAGCGCCTTCCACCACGCGTCTTTGCTCACTGGCTCACTGACTAAACAAGTCCGAACCTGTCGATTAGTCGAGTTCATTAGTGGCACTTCTCAAATGGGTATCTTTGCGCTGAATTTGAGAGTGTATTTTCGACAGAAAATTCACATAACTTTCAGACATTCTCAAACTATCGAAATATTCTTTGGGATCTCTTCCAATGCTAATTCCTTCAGAAGACTAGTAGCTCCTAGTTTATCTCTTCTATCGATCCATTTTCGTACCCATAACTTATTTTTCTTAATCACAGAAATTTCCTCATCCACCTCTTCTAAAATAGCCATTACCTTAATCAGTTTATTCACTCTATTGCGTTGCAGCCTGTTCATCTTGCAAAACACCACTCATTTGTGTACTCTACTGGACCGTAATCCGAACGATTTATGTGCAGTAGCAAGTAGTTTAGCCACTAAATTACTCGGTACTCGACTAAAATACTCGCCTAGTCCGAACAAGGTTTTAGAGTCGCTTTTTTAACCCTGGTCCATAAACTACCACTCCATTTACAGTAGAATCACGAACCAGCAAACATGCTGTCGTATTTATTATAGTAAATATACCCGCCTTTTTTTGCATCATGTTTTACAATTTACTATGACAAAATGAATCCTAACTTATGTTATTCCAGATTAAAAACTATTCTTGTGAGGAGAAATAGGATCCAAATTCGTTCAGTAATTTTTTGCGTGATTGAGTAACAATCAACTCCAACACAACTCAACTCAAACAACAACAACAACTTGCATATTAACATTAATATTATGAACTTCTATTTGACAGTATTAGTATGAACTTACCTTTATGTTCATAAAACGAAGAGCAAAATATTTGCACAGATCATAGTAAATCTGAAGAATTTTGGATCTGAGTAGTTCAAATATAACGCAAAAATGTTAAAAGTAACAAAGAATCCATCTAAAACCCAACAGATAAAGTATAGGTTGTTAAAAGTTGTTGGCATTGATCCTGCTGAAATGATAATAGGATTTAAAAAAACACTTTCTCTATTACGTCAGCAAGGTGTCTCTAGTAAGAACCAAATTCTAGATACAAACAACAAATCACTTTTACCAGTAAATTGACTAAATGTTTTTTGATAACATGATACAAAAAAAAGTAGTCAATAATGTTAACTAGTTTTACAGTATAGTATTGTGTGATGTCCTGGACGATTTTAAAGTATTTGAAACATCTGCAATNAAAAAACACTTTCTCTATTACGTCAGCAAGGTGTCTCTAGTAAGAACCAAATTCTAGATACAAACAACAAATCACTTTTACCAGTAAATTGACTAAATGTTTTTTGATAACATGATACAAAAAAAAGTAGTCAATAATGTTAACTAGTTTTACAGTATAGTATTGTGTGATGTCCTGGACGATTTTAAAGTATTTGAAACATCTGCAATAATAACATAAATTAATTAACATGAAATAAAACCATAAAAGGTTGTAGTTATTATGCCTATGGCTCGTAAAAATAAAAAATACTGAGCTATACTCAATTTTCAAAATGAATCTGAACTAGCCACGAATTCATTACAATACTTTAGAATCTGGGACTAAATTATATTATTGTATTATTATTATAATTATTGTTTTATAAAATGTACTAGCAGCTTTTGTTAATGCTGGTAAAATTTAAATTTCAGATGTCTGATGAGGATTCGATAGCGAGTAGCGGTTGCAAGCGATGGCGCGGCACGAACCAGGACAGCGAGTCCACGTGCCGCTCCCCCGCGCCCGCACTCACACCCGCACTCACGCCCGCACATGCTGTACGGATCAACGCGCATCTCACGCAGCTGGCTCTACCAGCCGACCCTGCGCTCTGGACGCAGGTACGACACAACCATACCTACTCCTATCTCAGCAATTACATTTTGTTACAATGTTATATTTTAAATTATTATTTATTTCAAGAAGAAAAAATTGTTACAAATTATATATTTCATAAATAGTAAACCACGTATAGGCGTACACAAAAATTAAATTAAATAATACATTTAAATTATAATAGGAAGCGATTAATAAAGTTCTCTAATGCTTTAAGTTTTTAGTGAGGATTGAGAAATAAGCCTTTGTTCATTTATATACCATTGCGCTTTAATACTAAAATACTTAGTTATCAGTAATCTCCTTCTCCTTCAATCGATTGCTCATTGCTGAGCATCGACCTGTGACCCTTTTTTGTGATTTGTAGCCACTTATGTCGGTCAGTGGTACAGTGGAAGTGCGTCGCTCAGTCTCGGGTCCAGGTGCTTGGACACTTGATGACTCGCATATTTTTCGTAATCTAACTAACATGTTATTCAGTCTTTAATTAAACAATATAAAAAAATCACCCAAAATGCCAACTGTTGTAGGTGTGAGCTATGAAATGTTTAGTCATCTTCGAAGCTCTGTGATTACATTGTTTAATCTACCATACAAATTGTGATTACATTGTCAATTTGAGACTCCTTGAAGTTTTCACTATATATTACAGAATAATTATATGTATTGTCTTTTATTTTATTAGGAAGAAGTTTCGGCTTTAGTGGCGCGAGTGGCAGGAAATACTGCAGGTGCTGCCACTGCAGCTGCTCAGATGGGTGGTGCTGAGCTTGTGATGGCCTCAAGGGAAGAACTTGTCGCCTGTCTTAAACTTCGACTAGGGCCAGCAGTCAAACTGTACGCAGTGCTCTTGCAACTTCGTCAGATATGTTCGGCTTTACCTTCGTGACCGAACACGTGTGTAATCATGACTATGTAATGTGTCAATGTGGCACAATGAACTGTGCTCCCCGTGATCAGTGGTATATTGTATGTGATTGTCTTTTATGTTGAAATAACTATTTTTCATCAATTTTCTATTTTACCAATATTAAAATGTTGAGCAATACTGTGGACGTATCATAAGACAATGATTCTCGAGTTAATGATATTAATGCATTGGAAATTTATTGCAAGTTACAAGAGAGACAAGTTGTTGAGAGAGACAATATGTGTCAATAATTGGTTACCAGTTAGTGCTTTAACAGCGTTTCTGTAGTTATTGAAAGAATACAAAAAGAAAAGTGCGTGATTATGTTTATTAACTAATTTGTTTTTGGACACAAAAATAGTGAAATGTAGAGTATTTTTCTTATCATTTTGATTGAGACAACATTGTTTGAAAGCTATGCTATGCTATTCAAATTCAATACAATCTCATTGTGACAATAAAAGTAAAAACAAAATAAAAGGTGTTGTGAAGTGACGTACGTACAAAGTATTCAATCAGTGTTTTATAAAATAAATTCTATATTTTGATGTCTGAAGTGATGGTTGAAAATCTATGATAAAAAATAAACTTTAGTGGAAGAAAAATCTGTGCTAAAGGGAATATAATGGACTTAATATATTTAATTTATTCATAGTATGAGTTTATGTAAGTCATTTGATTTTTTTAAAGGACTTTTGTTTATTTATTAAGATACAGTTTAAGTTCAGCAATATTTTTCGAGGCTATAAATAAGCACGCTTTTATTTTATGTTTGAATTAACCTTTAAGTTAGATTTAATTATTTAATGTGAACTTATGTTGGTGCATATAAATTTGACAGTGTTGTTATCAATGTTAATGAAAGGCCTACCAAAATAATATTATATAGGATGTTCTTAATCGTTTAGTCAAGAGAAATCATTTTCAACTAATACATTTCTTTGCTCTTTCATAAATTAGTTGTATGTATCCACATATAATCCTATAAGTCTCTCCAAAGAAGTGTCTAATGCACACACACCAGTATGTACCTACTTTTATATATTACACAATTTTCTTCATAATCTTAACATAAATACAGACCAGTTTGGTATTCAGAAATTTGAAAAAAAATCAGATGTTCAAGTAACATTATCAAAATACAATAAAAAATATTCTGTATTCAATTTTTAAACTTGACAGCATAATGTGTACTCTAGATTCTAGTATAGGTTTAACTCATTTACTAAAAACCTTCGCAGTTATATTATGCTAAAGAATATTTTTTGTCGACTTTATCGAACGTTTTCGTAACTTCACGAGCAAAAACCAGGTGATTCCGGACACGATTGTTCAATTTTGTGCACCCAATGTCATATAATATCAACAACTACCCAATAATCAACATAAACATTAGCTCCGGTGAGAGGCTTTAGCTCTTGATTGATGGTTCATTTTAAGGTAGTATTCCGATGTTGGCGACCAGGGCGACAGGCGACCGCTACCCTGGTCGGCTGTCGCCTGACGACCAGTGGCATTCCGATGTCAGCGACCGTGACCGACGGCCAGTCTGTCCGCAGTTTTTATTGCATACAGTTGTGTTCTAGTGCTCAGTACAATTATGTCGGAAAATTTGTCTGCAACTAGGAAAAGAGCTAGATGATACACACATTGTTGTTTGCCTTGCTTTCGGAAACAAGAGTTTTGCCAATTTCTTCACAAATATTGTCTCGAATAACATTATCTCGATATGAGCGGAGTGTCGAATCGTATATAGGTGGTTTTTAGACACTACATCTATTAATAATTCGTCATCATGTGTGGAAAATGATGCCATTTTGACGTACAACGTGGCGGGTCGCGCGGCGGCACTGCTCCAGTAGCAGTAGCGTCGCGCGACCACGGTCGCTTGCTAGCCACGCCCACAGGTCGCGCGACCGGGTCGCTTGTGTTGTTTAGGGTTCCATATAAATTCATACTAAGCAGTAAGTCGCGCGACCCGGTCGCGGTCGCCAACATCTGAACGCTACCATTACGATACACTATGTCGTTACTATACAGGGTGTAAAGAAGCCAACATTGAAATAAACCACAAATCTAACATGAACGAAAAACAATATTGATTGATTGAAATAATAACATTTATTAATCGCTCTGATAATCTCTGTTAAACAACCCAGAATAGGGTATGAAGGTAGCTAATTGGCAGGCACACTCGCGATACTTTGGAGGCGGTACATTTGGCACCTCATGAGTTGAATATGCGCATCTAACTGCACTGCTACAAAAAATAGTCAAATATTATTTGTAACAATCTTCCAAATCGCATTGTCTGCCGCCTCATTTTTATATAATATGCTTCTAAAATATCCTGTATAAATTTAAATGAAAAAATTAGGAATTTTGGTTCCTTTTCACCTATATCAACTGTACAACTATATCAAAATTTCTGTTTGGTTCATGGTTTTGCCGTCCTATAAGTAAACACACATATCCTTAGTCGGTATGATTTTTTTAAATTATAAATTTTAATATCATGACAAAAATTTTAAATCGAATCTAAACATGACTTTGAATGTAATTGAAAACGACCAAAAAATAATTTACAATTTAAAAGTCATATAATATACCTTTTCTGACAAAAATTCAAATTAGTAAATAGACTAGTGCTTTGATGAGATAAAATCCCTTTATCATGGTTTCATGAAATCGTTTAACAAAAATTATGCCTTTTGCGATATAATTATAATCCAATTTCAAAATCAATTAAATCCAATTTTAGTGTAAACGTGACTGAGCACAAATCATGCTTTAAATTGGGGTTGTGATTAGTTTTGACGGTGCGACGGTATCGCGATATTGTATGTCCTTAAATGTAAGCCTGTTCAATATTGAATACAACAAATCCTCAATGGAACGCTATTTGGTCTGATTTCCTGTTCTTGCTGATCATTTAGTTAGTAATATGACTACTCGACTCTTAAAGTACTTGAGACCCAGTTTGTCTCAAATATCGTTTGGAGATATTCTAAACTGATTATGTTCAAGCGAGTCACTCCCTTATTTCATGCTGGGATAGTCTCGTGTAAGTCTCACACTTATACCCTTAAGGGTCTTTCGTGTCATCCCCGAGTTCTACATCACAAGTCTTAATGTTGCTCACGTGAGTTAATATCAAAGTTTTTGAGCCTAAAGACATCTTAGTCTGGATAACCTTGACTGTCCACTCTTATACTTGCTGCTTATTAGACGGATCCACACCGGACGATCCAAAATGGATCGGCGATCCACGATCCAAGATCGTGATGCGTGGAGCGTGGATCATTCTAGGTCGATCCAACAGCAATCTTTTGCGATCCTGACGGGCTGCTCTAACACGCTCCTGCCGACCCATACTGAATCAGTTGAATTTTGTCTGGCTATGGAGTCACACGTGCAACGACGGCGACGAATAGCTGTAGCAGCAGCAAGCTACATTTTACTTGTATATTTACGGCAAAAATTACGAAAACGAAAAACACACTATTGGTTTAAAATAATTTTTAAAAACCGGTTGGAATATGGGACTCGTCTTTACAAAGAGTTAATTGATGATGGAGCTGAAGCTAATTTTGCACGAATGACTGCAAATCGAAACATTTATTCTCCCTATATAGGGAAATTAAACGGATACATTGCGAATCGTTCATAACGGCGGATCACGCGATTCTAAGTCGTCCAGACCGCGCGCGTCAAGCGACTGAGGCCACTTTGTGCGTGACCAAAAAACCGACAAATGGATCGTCCGCGATCGGAGCGCTTTGGATCGTTCGGTGTGGATCTGGCTATTGATACTTTTAACTTTCAATATCAATAAAAAAGCCAACTTGTCTGACTGTGAAACAAACCTATAACACAAACTATGGTAAACTTCACCAGAACTGGTGAAGTTTAATAATTTAATGTGAAGTTTACTATAGTAATATTAATAGGCAATGATGGTTGTAATTATTATGACGTGTGTATAAAAAGTATTCGTGATTCATTATAAACTTATAAAAAGTACTGAAAAATATTTAACTAAATGACTAAAATCATGCCGGAAATAAAAATCACAATATTCTCAATGATAAAGAAAAATGAAATATTTTTTTGAATAGTAAAAATATTCCTGGTTCAATTTAATAACGGTACAATTCCTATCGAGTCTCCTACGTCATGACCCACTTTATTAAAAAATGAAAGTTTGGCCTTTAGCTTTCAGTAAATGCTTTCCCCTCAGTGACCTCAAGGTAGATGGACCTAGGATAAATTCATGAAATGCCTGACTGAGAAATATTTCGTCCCCACATTACAACTTGTCAAATGTAATTCTTTTAATTTTACCATTTACCACTAATATAATAAATTGTTGACAGTTTGCTCTTTGGTGACCTTAAATATTATAAGTAATCTTATTTCAATTATGTTTTGTTTCAAGTAAGACTGCCTACATAATGGATTGTAGGAGAACAAGTAAGGAAACAATTTAGTGTTATACCTGTACATATTAAATTTTATAACCGTATTCTTACGCCAAGTCGATTGTAATATAATAATGTATATTAAAAAATGGCAAAAAATACGTAGTATTCTATTTTCAATGGCCGCAAAATACTTGTTCGTGTATTAACATTTTTTTGTTAATTCTTATGAATTCAATTAATTTTACAGTTTTTAAGTGTTGGCGACTTTTTGTTAGTGCATAATGTTTTAAACTTAATTTTATGCCTATGAAGTTATCGCCATATTTACTAATGATATTTAAATACCATGAGTCATTTCGAAGTTGTTACCTAAATATTGTTAAATGTAAATAACTCATAGGTTTCTCAATATATTTTTACAAGCTGTAGTCATGTACATATTATGTAGTTAGAAATATAAGAGTTTTATATTCTAGCGTGGGGCGCGCCATTTTATTGTCGTGAAATATAATAGCCGGCAAACTTCTTGAGCATTTGTCGACGTAGTGGGGGTAAGTTTGCGCATGGTACACTCACGTGCAAAAACATTATTTACTCTGCGTCATAATGCTATTAAATTATTAAAATCAACATATGTATTTATTTATATATTTATGAGAACATCAACAAAAAATATAGGTTAATAATTGTAATAATTTAATCTTGGGGTAAAATAGATATTCCTTCTATTAAGTCAAAACTAGAGCTGTTGCCAGGTCTTGGTTCAGTTGAAGCGAAGCTGGTATTTGTAATTTTTTTTTTCGTTATCATAATCTTGACCATCATCATCACTGTTTTTATCACCCGAGTTGCTATCATCGTGATGAGTCGACATAGGGATCATCGGTGTAGTTTACAACTCGGTCGGTTCGGTCTACTTTTTTGTCTATAATTAATTATTTTTTGAAGATATTCGATTCGTAGTAATCGAATGTAACTTTTTTCAATTACCAGCTTCCGATTATTTTCTGTTTTTTTTTCCATCTGAAGCCTAGCTCTTTCATAATTCGTCGTAAACTTCATACCGAGCCATTAAAATTTATATCTTCTTTAAATTTTTCGAAGCCTTTCTACGGTACGGAGTTTCGCTGCTAACAAGCAATAACTACATAACAATGTAGTTATTATGATTACATCTTTTTATTACAGATTGAACGAAACTATCCATTCCGGTAAATTTCTTCTTTCCTGATCTTTTCTTACCCGGAGTCCGAAACACGGCGAGCAAGCCAGAGCCTTTAGCTTCGTTAATAATGCACCTAACAGTACTCACGGATGTTTTTGTTGCTTCCGAAGTCTGTTTTACTTTTTCCATATCATTCTTCCCCTGTTTTATAATGAAGCAATATACGTCGTACACAACTTTTCTACCCTTTCTTTTGAATACTACACCAGTTTGTCGCGGCATAGTGTATTTTTTATAAAAAATCAACAAACACTCAACAAATAGCAATGGCAACAAAGTCAACAAACAATTATAACAAATAACTTAACGATTAAAAACGATAAACTTTTCACTGTACGCAAGCGTACTTTTGGGAGCAAGCGGAACGAGGGTGCGGTGCGGGACGCAAGGTTCGACTGATCTACCAATAACGCGCTCGATACGATTTCCCCTGCCGTCGCGCCTCACCCTCACCACCAAAGTGATCTAAAATTCGGTTCTGCGCAGTCAAGGTCATTTGCTCAAGAAGTTTGCCGGTTACTATANATAAACTTTTCACTGTACGCAAGCGTACTTTTGGGAGCAAGCGGAACGAGGGTGCGGTGCGGGACGCAAGGTTCGACTGATCTACCAATAACGCGCTCGATACGATTTCCCCTGCCGTCGCGCCTCACCCTCACCACCAAAGTGATCTAAAATTCGGTTCTGCGCAGTCAAGGTCATTTGCTCAAGAAGTTTGCCGGTTACTATACTAGAATGTTGTTCTTTATCTGTAAATAATAACAATAAATTGTCGATTTAAAGTTTTTACTGTGAGTTTTAATTTACATTCCATTTCTGTTGTCATCAGTGGTACGACTTATTTCGCGAAATTTTCGGGATATATTTTCTATTTGAAAAATTAAAAATACTTCAAACTTCAATCACAAAATTTTAGTCAACATTACTAAAAGAATTGTGTTCAATTCTTTCATTTTAGATGAAACATGTTTTCTTGCCACTAAAGTAAATCTCAATATGGCCCTTTACGACTATGAAATTCATATTACAATAATTACTTAACTTAAAAGTTCCAGAAACTTATTTTTTCATTACTGGCTTATTACTGGTGGTAGGACCTCTTGTGAGTCCGCACGGGTAGGTACCACCGCCCTGCCTATTTCTGCCGTGCAGTAGTAATGCGTTTCGGTTTGAAGGGTGGGGCAGCCGTTGTAACTATACTGAGACCTTGGAACTTATGTCTCAAGGTGGGTGGCGCATTTACGTTGTAGCTGTCTATGGGCTCCAGTAAGCACTTAACATCAGGTGGGCTGTAAGCTCGTCCACCCAAGCAATAAAAAAAATAAAGGAACCATAGATGAAACACTGAGAAACGGATTGGCAGTCTTAAGCTAAATTCAGTTTCTGTTTGAATATGCTACAGTAGGCAGCTTTTCCCCTGGCATTTCTGACGTACATGAGCGACAGTACCCACTCACCATCACGTGGGTTATGTGCTCGTCTGCCTACAAGGGCAATAAAAAAAACTTCAAAACCGATACTGAGGCAATGTGGTATGGAGTGTTTTTTTTTGGTCAGGAGGAAATCACCGGGATGGCGGGCGGGGCGGAATCGAACCGACTAAAACCTGTCGCTCAACAATCCACGTCCGAGTCTCACATAAGACAGAGCTCATGAAAAAGGCAAAGGGGGGGAGTGAAGCGTTTAGTGAGGAGCACATTTCTCCCATCACCCTCGGGACGCCGGGCCAGCGATCGTCGGCGCCACGACCATCAGCCCTCTCGGTCGGCAGGCTGTCCGAAGCCCGCCTAGATGGCACCGGTTTGAATGGGTTATCCTAAGAAATACCCCGCTGGGTCAGAACCAGCGTGGGTCGAGGATAGCCGGCCTTCTATCACCCGGATGCTCTTACGTAAAACGTGTGCAGAGCAGCTTGTACGTCGTGATCTTAGACCCCATTCTCCGGGCCCCAGACCGACATATGAGGGGGACCCGAAACACTTAGAGGGCCAGGGCTTGGGCCAGATCCGCATCCCTGGCCCCCGCTCGACGGCGGTGGGTTTGTGCGTCTCTCACGCGCCCCGCCGCCTCCTGCGAGATGGTGCACTCGCAGAAGTCGAGCATCGCCTTCCACGACTCGTCGTCGCCGAGCATCGATGCCACAACACTCGGCAACGACAAGTCGTTTCCTATTTTTGCAACGAGGACACGGCGCCACCCCTCCCATGCTGGGCAGGCAACGAGCGTGTGCTCCGCCGTGTCCAAATTGCAACCACAATGGTGGCAATCTGCCGTCGGCTCGGCTCCGATCCGGTGCAGGAACTCACCGAAGCAACCATGCCCAGTGAGCACCTGCGTGAGCCGGAAAGTGAGGCGTCCTCTGTCACGATTCACCCAATCCACAAGGACCGGGCGAATCGCCTCGACGGTCCTACGACTAGCCGAAAGATCAGCCAGCCGTCTGGACCATGACTCCAGCACCGACCGCCGAGATTGGGCCCTCCGCGCTCTGACCACACTGGGGCTGGGACGCGCCACGCCCTGGGCACGAAGGTCAGCCCACCACTGATAGTCAGCGACGAGCGCCTCCGCTTCCAGAACCCAAGGCGGCGTCCCATGCAGTACACACGCCGCCTCAAAGGAGATGGTGCGATAATCACGGATGAGTGGTATGGAGTGTAGAACTAATCCTCTTTACATTTAGGAGCTTATAAGATGTGTTAAATATGGATGTCAGCAACTTGAATTAATAAAAAAAAGAGCTTTATTGGAAATGGACAACCTAGAATATTGTGGGAAGTTAATAGAAATAATAAACGAAAGCATCAGATAGGTTTTTTTCTTAACAATTTAATATCTGCCAGGGAGCTTAAGCGGCGGTAAATCTAACACAATTGTAGTGTGGATGTTGTATTGTGTTAGATTCTTCTAAATAGTAGTTGTATAAATTCTCAGTAAATATCCACTATTTCGCGGACAGCTTATTTCATTTTTTACGGTTTGTCTCATGTCATTTAATTTTATTTTATTTTATTCAACTTCGTTTTGGTCTATTTCATTTTTAAACAGTAGATATGGCTTCAGTCTTTTTTACCAAGTGGTGAATGAGCTTCATTCCCATTGCCTCTCTAACGGTCGAATCAAATAAAAAAATATCTATGGCGGTCACAAAACTCAAAAAGCCTAGAGTCGAAAGTTGGAATGGTTTTGTTTGGTTCCATGTAATTTTACGGCTCCGTGCGGAATTTTCAAACCTTTAAAGTGATATCATAAGCAAAATGTCTCTCTATTGTGCGAGTAAGTTTTAAATTCAGTAAATTGTAAATTAAAGGAGCGAAACGTTTAAAGTGTGTTTATTTTGAACGGATGCGTACCTGCCGGGCTACATAAGTTTTTCATCAATTTTAGACAAAAGTTTTGATATTTGTATTTTAGAAGTCATTATTCCATTTCATAAGGATTATTTCGCTATTTTTATGAATATTAACAGTTTTATGAAAATTAACAGTTTATGTGAATAACCTAATTTATTAATTTAGTATCAAATGAAGTTCCCGAAGTACCAGTGGTATCACCTACGTCAGGAGCTGTGTTTGAAAGGAGAATCATTGAGAAGTACATAATAGAAAATGGCGTGGATCCTATTAACGGCAAGGAGTTGAGAGTTGAGGACCTTATTGAGATCAAAAGTGAGGAACCTTTCAATCATAAATGGCTTAAATTCCTCTAAAGGCTAAGAAGTAATAATTAAATTATATAATAAATTTAACAATATCTTATCTACTTCAATACATAAGATATTAATTTTGACGAGTATGATAGACTCTGTAACATAGTGAGACTGATTGTATTCATTTGTAGTCATCATAGCCCCAAGGCCACACTTTGTGTACTCATATTCAGCAAAGTAGCTATTCCAGTGTTAAAGTCCTGCAAACTTATGTTCAAACACTCCTTTTCCCAAAATAAATACAAAATGTGATATTAATTGGCATTTTGCCATTATGCATGGTACCAAGTTATTGTAAAAGGTATTGTAGAAGGTTTAATATAGGAACAGCTAAATTGCAAGATCAAGTTATATACATCATGCAACAAATAGTCACACAATTTTTTTTTAAACAATGTAATGTTGTGAAGATTAGTGTAATAATGCTATCTTATAATTCGTATGAGACAGCAAAACTTCACCTTAACAAAGCCTAAAACTAGTCTCAATGAAAACTCAAGAGATAGTAATGAATTATTCATTTCTCAAATAGCACCACCTATAGTAAAGCCAAAACCTCCAAGTGCCACATCAATCCCTGCCACACTGAAAAGCATGCAAGATGAGTGGGACGCCCTGATGTTACATGCCTTCACACAGAGACAGCAGTTGCAGACTGCTAGACAAGTTAGTAATCAATATTTTTTAAATGACAAAGCTCATGTGTGTGTTTCAAAGCTGTAGAACAATAAATTATGTTTACCAGTTAAACTATTATGCTTATTGCTTACATACAATATATTATGTATGTGACAGATTGGCTGGTTCCATGGGGTTTTTAAAATGATGATGTCAGCGTTTCTGACACCATTCTCTTCATTATTATCATTACCTTCCATAGTAACAGTAATTAAGACTCATTTTTCCAATGAATTCCATTTATTTAATTTCAAGTGTACAAGGATAACAGCAGAGAACTCTGCCTCGTTCAACAGCTTGAGCTGGAATGTTTTGTGCGACAATAATCACTCCTATTTATACTAGAATAGTGCGAGTAGCTTAGTCATGAATTCTCTTGAATACTGTCTTAAACAGTTGTTGATATGTGTAACATTGAGAATATAGTCAACTTCAACTATTTTTAGTTAACTAAACAGTGACTTTGCGCCGACATATATATTATAGCGGATAGAGCACAAAAGCAGGAATTTAATCTGATTTAAAGACATAATAGTTGAAATGGCTATGATATTTAGATTTCAACTTCATGTTTTTCTTTGAGCTTAATTATTTCGTAACTATCATGATCAAAAGATGAACTGTGATCTTGTCTGTCCAATAAATATAGTAAAAAATACATTCCTATTCATGTGCAATTGCGAATCCTTTATATGTTTGGACATATCATTCGTAATGAAAGCTCATTGGAATGTTTAGTGGTTCAAGGAAAAGTAGACGGTCAACGCTCTCGCGGCCGATCATCCATAAGGTGAACAGACTTGATTCATCTACGAAGTGTTTCCTTACTAAATGTACACGTACCACCACAAATAGAGAGAGATGGAGAAGTCTCTCAAAAGCCGCAACCAAACATTAAGACATACGTAACCACGACCACTGTGCCAGAAGTGTACGACTGAGAAGAATTCATTTTTACTTTATTGGTTTAGCTCCTATTATATGTCCGTCATGACTATTGATTGTGGCCCATCACATTCCTCACAGCATTTTAGAATTTTTAACATGGTTCTAAATCTTTGAACCAGTCAGCCCATCACGCTGCTGCTCAGCCACATGACAGTCATTATCACTCAACTGTAAATCTATAGTTTTGTTACCGTCATGTAAAATACACAAATTATTTCAGGACTCATTGTTTATGCCATTGCTATTAGGTCAATAATAATTTAATGCATATTAATATTTGTAGGAATTAAGTCATGCACTGTACCAACACGACGCAGCGTGTCGTGTGATAGCCCGACTCACAAAGGAGGTGACGGCGGCGCGAGAGGCCCTCGCCACACTGAAACCGCAGGCCGGCATTGCAGCACCCCAAGCACCACACCCCGTAAATATTGTTTATTCCATATATTTATTGTACACAAATATCTACTATTGTGTTTCACCACTAATATTGGTGTAGCCATATAAGTTGATGTTTGAATGTTCCTAGTAAAATAATTCCAACACAATTAATTTGTGGACGATGTGTTTTGACACATGAATAAAATGTCTTCTGTACATATTTGTATCATATCAATAGAACTGTTACTCTGATATAAAAACAATACTGGATGGAATTGAGCTGTTTCTGAAGCTGTTAGCTATTAATTAGTGGTGAAGCAATTTCTATTATGATTAATCATAGATTATCTAGTAATTATTTGGGTCCGAAGAAAGGAACAGATTGAAGCCCAGACAGCTAGTAAAGTAAGAAAAATAAAATAAAATTTATCACTCTTTGTTCAAACACGTCATGACTAACTATCTACATATATATTAATACGTGAAGCAAAAACTTTGTACCCCTTTTTAAGAAAATTGCGAGGACGGAGGAGTATGAAATTTCCCACACTTATAGAGAATATAGAGAAGAAGTGCAGAGTGCTAATTTTTTTTTTTATTATGCATAAAAATACATTAAATCAATAAGGAAAACATTACACACACTACCATGTATTTGACACACACAAATAAAATATACTCTTTGTTTATTGCTAATCTTTTGTTATGACTTAAAATCTGTAGTAAAATTTTGAATAGGTTCATATTGTTTATGTTTAATATTATTTGTCTATGGTCTAGTCTTGGCGAAATCTGTGATTATAGAAGTATAATAAATAGTCTTTGACAATAGAATCATAATAATGTTCAAACTTATAATTTCAATTAATTATAGTCGAATTTCGACTACTGCGGGACCACCAGTATAGACAAGTAGCTACCCTAATGTGTCACTGATTTTAGATGCATCATTTTAAATTAATTATTTTGTCCAGACGGAGGCGTCAGCAGGCAGTGCGGGAGCAACAGGCATGTCTGCGGACGTGGTGTCTCGTCTGCAGGAGCGCGCCACCGCACTCACGCAGGAACGGAAGCGCCGAGGCCGCACCCTGCCCGAGGGACTGCTGGCACCAGAGCAGATCAGAGCATTCCTCACTCTCGCATCGCATCCTGTATGTATCTAGCGCTGTGCAATAATAGCCTTACGAAATAAATAAACAATAGTTACCTCTAGAAATTATAATAGGGGGTCACAAATATAAGTGTGGGTGGTGAAATGCTAAAACACTCAGTGTACTCATATTGACTATGCTGAGGTGAAAGTTTCCTAACAGGTACCAATTTTTCTAAGAAAACACTTAAGTGTCCTAACATATGTACAGGAATTAATTGGATTAAGGGATAACATTATCGTGGTGGTCGCACTTATTGTAACACGACCCAACTGACTTCACCATGAATTAATGGGTATCAATTGGAAGTGTGGGACACTCTTTCTACTATAAAACTAAGACTTAGACCTCATATGTTTGTGTGGGTTGGCACCATTCATGTTGTGATATCCCATGCTCCAGTAACCACTTACACCAGTTGAGCCGTGAAATCGCAAATAAAATGTACAGAATTTGTAAAATTGCATATTTACTACTATATTGTGATCCAACAAACTTCTAGAAGGGACTTCAGTCATGCACTACAATTATCTAAAAGTAGGGCTGACATACTTTGATAATGGTTAAGTATTTTAATTTTTTTATATCATCTATGTTATTTTCAGGGTCTTCATTCAGCCAGTGTTCCTGGTATCCTATCTCTGGACATCAATCCATCCGATCACAGTAAACTTTTGACTGGAGGAAACGATCGTAACGCAACAGTCTTTAATAAGGATACTGAACAAGTTGTGGCCATTCTCAAAGGTCACACCAAGAAAGTCACCAGGGTTATATACCATCCGGATGAAGATACGGTCATCACAGCCTCACCAGATCATACCATACGGGTTTGGAATGTGCCAACGTGAGTATGGAGATACCAAAAGAATGATATGAAGAAAATTTTGCTTATTTACCTAAACTCCGTAAATGTAAAAAAATCAAAGGTCATGTTCATTACATAAAGGAAATCTGTGATTTTTTTATTATTTTTATTTACTACTGGGAATAGGCAATAATGGATTTTTTAATCTGTCTTGGGAATTAGCTTCTTAATCAACCATTGTAAATCAACAGCTAGGTGCTTACATTAAAATATTCAAAATAATTTCATTCAACTAAAATCAAATAACTATTACGTTATTTATTTATCTTGAAATTGTTTCAGATCTCAAACAACGGCAATACTACGTTCTCACGACGGTCCAGTGACCGGTCTGTCCCTGCATCCAACCGGAGACTATGTACTCTCAACCTCTTCAGACCAACACTGGGCGTTCTCAGACATTCGCACCGGACAACTTCTGACAAAAGTCAGTGACTTTTCTGGAGTGAGTCTCACAACTGCACAATTCCATCCGGACGGTCTCATTTTTGGTACTGGAACGGAAAACTCACAAGTGAAGATTTGGGATCTAAAGGAGCAAAGCAATGTAGCCAATTTCCCTGGTCACGTAGGACCAGTTACTTCCATTTCCTTCTCGGAGAATGGGTACTATTTAGCCACAGCTGCTGAAGACTCATGCGTTAAATTATGGGATTTGAGAAAACTAAAGAACTTTAAGACCATTCAGTTGGAAGAAAACTATGCTATCAAAGAGTTGTGTTTCGACCAAAGCGGTACATATTTAGCCATAGCCGGTACTGATGTGAGGGTCTACTTGTGCAGACAGTGGCAGGAATTGAAGGTGTTCAATGATCACACTGCTTCGGCCACCGGTGTCAGGTTCGGAAAGAACGCACAGTATCTCGCTTCCACCAGCATGGACCGGACGCTCAAACTTTACGGGATAGAATAAGAATAGATATAAGTTTAGATGGATGGCTCGCTTTTTAATTGCTGTAAAATGTGCATTTCAAATTAAAATGTAATAACTGGAATTAAAATCTTCAGATATTGTTTCTGTTTCCTTACATTGGGGTTCAACGCATCCATCACTCATGCTCTTGCAAACCTCACCTAAATTATATCAGCAGCAATCATGATTGCCTGAAAAAAAATAAAAGTTCAATTATGTTTTCAATGAAAAATAATAATTGAACAATCAGTGTGTTCAGCAACTACTCTACTCGTTCCTGAGCCCTTAATGTTAAGTGCTTTTATTGTGTTTATTGTTTCAACAGAACAAAGTACAAATTATACAAATACTGTTATGACTATTATACCGGTCACTCACATTCGCACGAATACGCAAACCCACAAGTGTAGGACGACATTTGCAAATTATTATGCAAAGTTTTCGCTGCATTCGTGGTTTTCGAAGCTGTGTCGGTTTTTAAAGGACATCAAAGCGCGCGAACTGCGATCCTTCGCGTAGTCTCCCACACATTCGTGTGACCATTTGTGCCCACGATTGCGAAGGTAACGGACGTTTCGCCATTTTCATAGTACGTGACGTCTACTGTGTAGCGCACCTTTATCATGGATTGGAACAACACCAAGGTGATGGAGTTCATTGAACTCCTGCAAAATGAATCGACCATATGGGACCCTCAAAAGAAATCCCATAAAAACAGCATGGCTGTTAATGATGTCTGGGAAAGAATTCAAAACTCTTTTTCTCTTCAATGTTCTATTGACGAATTGAAAAAGAAGAGAAATTCGTGAAACATTCGTAAACAAGTGTAGGAGGAAGCGCAAACGGGTTCGCAAATTGAATACCGAACCCATTTGCACAGCCGCTAAGTTTGCGAATGAATGTCTGACAGCCCTTTGCGCGCATGTGAGTGGCCGGCATTAGTGACGCGTATTCACAATCTAATATATTATGTATTGACAAAGATCAATTGCAGGCATCATTATTATAAACATAATTTCGAAATAATTTTAAAACGATATTCAGCATTATTATATCTGTAAATAGATTGAAATGTTAGATGAACATCCATCACGACTGGCAGATTCATAATTAACAGCTCAGCACGTAACGTAACGTGCTCAAAAGTCAGCTGTTTTTTTGCTTCTAGTGCCTAAAAGCACCGTTAATGGATCGGGAGGATCCATAACGACGTGCTTTGGGCGACGTCGACTGTTTACCATTCGGTCTACAGGAACGGGTATGTAGTTTCCAGCGGCCACGACAAGAGGGTTCTCACGTCTTCTCGAAGTGGCGCAATGATGCCGACTTGTCAGCTGATGTGGGGAGTACCTAAATGACCGCGATCTTATTTGTGGGCGCGGCCTCATTGTTCATACTAAATTGTTTTCCGTTACTGTTGCTGTAGATTCTGTAATTTTTTTTCTTTGAAAACAGTAACAGTGAGCCCTCCAGGCTGTTGTAAAACTACAAACGATTTAAATTTCGTAGTTTACACGTGGGCACGGAACGAACTTGTCATTGTGTAACATTGTTCCCAATTCTCAGTTACTAATTAATGTTTATTGGCAAAATGTTACTCTTTATGGTAACTGATTGGTGTTATGCCACTCAGTTACCATTCGGCCAGTTCGGCCAGTTCGGCCACTCACATGTGAAGGGCCGTCAAACATTCATTCGCAAAATTAGCAGCTGTGCAAATGGGTTCGCATACTCAATTTGCGAACCCGTTTGCGCTTCCTCCTACACTTGTTTACGAATGTCTCACGAATTTCTCCTCCTTTTTAATTCGTCAATAGAACATTGAAGAGAAAAAGAGTTTTGAATTCTTTCCCAGACATCATTAACAGCCATGCTGTTTTTATGGGATTTCTTTTGATGAAGATACGCTANATACTCAATTTGCGAACCCGTTTGCGCTTCCTCCTACACTTGTTTACGAATGTCTCACGAATTTCTCCTCCTTTTTAATTCGTCAATAGAACATTGAAGAGAAAAAGAGTTTTGAATTCTTTCCCAGACATCATTAACAGCCATGCTGTTTTTATGGGATTTCTTTTGATGAAGATACGCTACACAGTAGACGTCACGAATTATGAAAATGGCGATACGTCCGTTACCTTCGCAATCGTCGGCGCAACTGGGCAAACGAATGTGTGGGAGACTACGCGAAGGTTCGCGGTTCGCGCGCTTTGATGTCTGTTAAAAAACCGACACAGCTTGGAAAACCACGAATGCAGCGAAATCTTTGCATAATCATTTGCAAATGTCGTCCCACACTTGCGGGTTTGCGTATTCGTGCGCATGTGAGTGACCGGTATTAGAACATAAACACCGTCCCCTAGAGATGTGACGACGAAGTGACTTGTACTTTAATAACATAACCTACAAATCAGACGATGAACTGTTTTGCGGCAGAAATAGGCAAATTGTGGGTTTGGTACTGCGCAGCGGTCGTCTTGCAGGTCACTTGGCCACAATAATTGTAAGATAATTCACTCGTGAACGAATTTAAAGGAATGCAAAACAAAAATACCGTGTTCATTGTGGTGACAGTTAAATAACTTTGTGCGTATCATGTATTAAAAAGTTCAATTCTGACATAAAAAGACAAAGTTACAGGAAATATTACTTAACATTGGGTAACATTATTACTTATTTATTTATTTTATTTCTGCAAAACTAATTTGCAGAAATAAAATAAATAAATAAGTAAAACGCATAGGTACGTATTCTACGGGGGTTTATTATGTCTGGCGAGCGTAACGGCCAATAGCGTTGAATTCAACGTCTCGAAGGCCGCAGCCCCCCCCACCCCGCGCATTTTCATTACCAAAAATCAATTTCCTATGAAAAATGGTAATGCACCCATCTACTAATGTCTGTTACATATGGCGCCTCTGATAGTGACAATTTCCGTAAATGCCGCCATAGTAACACTCACCCACTAACCCTTCACCACATGTTTTTTCCGAATACGGTGCGCTAGGCGTGGCTCTCCACGAATAAATTCTTCCATCACCTGGCTTTAGGAATAATCTAGACGCATATGTCAATAGAACTTGACTTCAATTTTCGTCATTGAAATTTTATTGATTCCGCGCAAAATGAACTTGAGACCGACGGTACGTGGCGAGAAGGAACCCCGGGGCAGTCAAGTGAGACTATTCCCACCAATGCCAGTCTTCTTGTTGAAAATTGTTACATAGTTCCATTCACTCGGTGTATATATTCTGTACAATGGTAGCGACAGTGTGGAATAACAACTCTACAGCCGGAACTATTCAAAAAGGCTATTAAATGGTTTTAATGAATTGAATTACATTCAATATCAACAAAAGCTGTAATCGATTTCATCACAAACTTTAGACCATTCATTAAGAGCGGTTCAGGAATAGAGGCCATGCGGACAACATACTACAAACTTTCATTTTCATTACATACTTGTTAAAGTATCTTTCTTCAGTTTACACATTTCTCGTTAAGAATTCGCTTTCTTTTTTACAATATAAACTAAAATTGATTGCTATATTTGAAATATCGACTGGCCTAGTCAAAAGGCAATGCGTGTGTATGATGACTCAAGTGAACTGCGGAACGTAAACACTCCTCGCGTCTGTGGTGAACGAATTCATTTTACAAGCCATCGGAACGAATCACGATTTGCAAATGTCTCGTTCTTATTTTTGGAGCTCACTTCTTTGCGGCTTGTTAGCAAACGGCTTCGAATTTCTTGGAACCTCGTTCTACCTCTGATGTAAAGTTATGGTTTCTTAGCACGCTGGTAAGATGTAGTCTCTGGCCAACATTCAGTTTCCGACATGGTTCTGCGAGTTGGTCGGCTACTGCTGTTCAACGGTAACAACCCTAGCAGCATATCTGGCTATAACAATTCACACATAACCACGATAAATATGCATTCAAGGTCAACATTTAAATAAAAATCTAAATAAAAATCAAATCAATTGGCTACTATTCTTACAGCAGTAAATAATACAATGATAATGAAAATAAATGAAATTCGAAAAAGAACTTTAACTTCATTCACGTGCACCAAGTTGCACGCGGACCCTTTTTATAATTAATAATAATAATAATAATAAAGCCATTTAATCCAATTCTCACTCTCGATTTATAACACAATGATTGTTAGTAAGTTGTAGTTTAAAATTAAAAGGTTACATACTTATAATTAATTAATTATTTAATATTAGTACTATTTATGAGATTTGGACCCCTATCTGGGTAAAGGCCTCCTCCATCCTTTTCCATGACTCCTTGTCCTTGCCTGATTTTATCCAGTCGTTTCCTGCGACGTGTGTTATGTCATCGGCCCATCGTCTTAATTGTCGACCAACATTCCTTTTCCCCATTGGTCCTTTCCATCGTGTGGCTTCAATGGTCCATCTTTTGTCTGGGTATCGTGAGATGTGTCCGGCCCATCTCCACTTAAGTGAGAGTGCGTGGCTGAGAGCATCGGTAAGTTTAGTTTTTTGACGAATGCTTTCATTCTTAATTCTATGTATTCTTCTAATTTTCAACATGCTCCTTTCCATGGCTGTTTGACTGCATTTAATTTTTTGTTTTATTTTATTTGTAAATATCCACGTTTGGCAGCCATACAACAAGCAGGGTAACAGGCATGTATCAAATGTTGCCCTTTTCATACGCAAGCTGTAGTTCCCTTTTAGGATTTCTTTTAGTGCCCAGAATTTCTTCCAAGTTGCGTTGATTCTTCTTGTTACTTCTTCTTCGTTGCTTGTCGTTTTGAATGAGATTTGCTTCCCTAAGTAGATGTATTCGCTGACGTATTCTATATTGTTACCTTTTATCATTATCGGGCGTTCGTGATTGTTGGTTAATATCTTAGTTTTGCTTACATTCATTTCTAGGCCGATTTTTGAACTTTCGCAGTCCAGTGATCTCATCATTTCCTCTAGGTCTTTGGCAGTTTCAGCAATTATAACAACATCGTCAGCGAACCTCAGATGGTTTAGGTAGTGTCCGTTTATGTACACTCCCCTTTTTTTCCAATCTAGTTTTTGAAAAATAGTTTCAAGTACTGCTATGAACAGCTTCGGGGAAAGAGGATCTCCCTGTCTGACTCCTCGTTCTATTTTTATCTCGTCTCCTCTAGTTTCTAATTTAACTCTGCTCGTACTTTTTGTGTAGATATATTTCAAGATATTGATGTATTTATAGTTAACATTTGATTGTTGTAATGCGTTCCAGATTGAACAGTGACTGATGCTGTCGAAAGCTTTACTGTAGTCAATGAAGGCCACATACAGAGGTCTTTTATATTCTCTGTATTTTTCTATGACCTGCTCTAGTGTTTGTATGTGGTCCATTGTGCTAAAGCCTGATCTGAATCCCGCCTGCTCCTTTGGTTGCAGCTTGTCGATGTCGTCGGATATTCTCTTTAAAATTATGGATGAAAATAGGTTATATATGCTCGCCAGCAGGCTTATGGGTCTATAATTTCCTATATCTATAATTGTCTTCCTTTAAATTTGTGTAAAAGGATCGATATACAAAAAAAAAATACATTAAATATAATATATTTTACTAACAATCACGCCACGTTAACTGGTCCCGTGATAAGTTCGAAAAGAACTTGTGTTACAGGTACCAGATATCGGAAATAAATGTAAGATTTTTATTATACACATACATATATTTAATATACATCCATAACCCTGGAAAATACATTTATATTTATCATACAAATATCNATCGATATACAAAAAAAAAATACATTAAATATAATATATTTTACTAACAATCACGCCACGTTAACTGGTCCCGTGATAAGTTCGAAAAGAACTTGTGTTACAGGTACCAGATATCGGAAATAAATGTAAGATTTTTATTATACACATACATATATTTAATATACATCCATAACCCTGGAAAATACATTTATATTTATCATACAAATATCTTCCCTTGGCGGGATTCGAACCCGCAACCCCCTAGTGTAGTGACCATGTCACATACCACTACACCAGACGGACGTTAATTTGAGCTGCGTGTCGGAACTGGGTTCTTATTGAAACATTTAAAACGCATATTTTATGATATATGTACTGGATAGATTTTAATTCTTTTATTTTAATAAAGGCTATAATATTAAGTAGCGTATTTTATTGTTACGCAGTATTGTCACTAATCTTCAGTTTATTATGTTCAAATGTCTTTAGGATTATTCGATATTACTTTGTCTGAAGTAATACTTATTATCAGCTACTATCAGTTATATTTTACTGGTGGCAGGACCTCTTGCGAGTCCGCGCAAGTAGGTACCACTACCCCGCCTATTTCTGCCGTGAAGCAGTAATGCGTTTCGGTTTGAAGGGTAGGGTAGCCGTTAGAACTATACTTGAGACCTTAGAAGTTATATCTCAAGGTGGGTGGCGCGTTTACATTGTAGATGTTTATGGACTACAGTAACCACTCAACACCAGGTGGACTGTAAGCTCGTCCACCCATCTAAGCAATAAAAAAAAGTTTTAATTCAGTCAATCAGTGCTTTCACATTTTTCCTTGGGCGTACACAGGCACGATATAGAATAATCTGGTATAGTAAGCGGCACGTAAGTTGGCAAGGTTTTGGTGTAGTGGGGGTAATGTTGCGCATAGTGCACATTGCAACAAAAAAAGTGGTCATTTTTATGCCCGCATATAATTTAATTTAATTTTATCATATTTTTTATTTGCCATAATTTATTTTTAAGCCTGTGTTTAGAAGAAAGTTAAAGAAAAGAGAGGAATTCGTGAAGTGTATTAGGTGTTATAAAACAATAACACTCTTAACAAAAACTAAATTTAAAACAATAATAACAATTCGTAACAAAAACTCAATATAAACAAAGGGTTCCTACAAGTTTGTAGGCACATGTGTAACCGGGAGCGAACGGAACGTGGACGCGGTGCGGGAGGGGAGGGTCGACTGACTCACCAATCGCGCGCTCGGAACGGTGCTACGTCTTTCCCCGCGTCCCGCTTGACAACCAAAGAGACCTAAAAAACGACTTCTGCGCATCTAGCGACTCTTGCCAAGTTACGTGCCGGGGACTATAACGGGTGTTTGAGAGACCACGCGGCCGGCAGTTCGAGTGTACGGGCACGGGTAACCGCTTGCACGAGATGGGTCATCGCTCTCAGGTTGAACCCGTGAGTATTCAATCGAGCCGAGATTTGTAATTGTTGTTGACATTTAATATAAACTTTCTGCCTCAGTACCAAGTTAGCTATCTGCTATCTTTTATATCTTCAAAATTTTTTATTTTTTTATTGTATAGGTAGATGGACGAGCTCACGGCCCGCTTGCTGTCAAGTGGTAAACGGAGCCCATAGTCAACTCCAAAGTAAATGCCGCCACCCACCTTGAGTTAAGAGTTCTAATGTCTCAATTTTTAAAGTACAACTGCTGCCCTACCCTTCGAACCGAAACGCATGACTGCTTCACAGCAGAAATAAACAGGGTGGTGGTACCTAGGACTCACAAGAGATCCTACCACCAGTAAAAAGATGGCAGATGCAAGTTGTACTGAGGTCGTTATTATTCTTTTAATATATTATAATTTTTTTAAATTACGTCATCCGTAGTCTGGAATACTAAAATATTCGACTTGGGATTCAGAAATCAATAAAAGTCGAGAACATACCTTTAGACTTCATTTTTATAATGCTTATGTACATACTGTAAAATTTTAAGAAAAACGTCCTTAATAAATTATTTTATTTTATTTATTACAATAAAATGAACCTTCCCATTAAAATTTATGTACTTACAGCAAATACAATAACACAATAATAATATATACACGTTATATACACGAAAATATTATAATAACCATAGATTGACACGCACTACTTCAAAATATAGCGCAAATGTAGTTAATTAAATTACTGGCGTGATTAAATTCATTTTTGAAACCGTTAGACCTTTTTACTGTTTCCTAAACTTACTACATACTACTGTTTTTCAGGAGGTAATTTTCAGCGTTTCCACCAAAATACTTTTTTACGATCTACTACCATCTTTGGTACCACCCCCGCGCCAATTTGTGATGAGCAGCCATCAGCCCACCACACCACGAAGGCAACATCCCCACGGATGCCAAGCCGACCTCATTGAACTCACCATGAAGTTGTGGTGCCCAAAACTTTCCTTCGAAGGCGTCAATTCAACAAATTCCAACAATTGTAGAAAATTACCTTCTGATTTTACAAACATCAATGCACGTTAATTTTAACATTAAAATAAATTACATAATATGTATTTTATTATTATGAACTTTTAAAGGTTATCATAAAAAAAGGAATGTTGGTTCAATAGGAAAAAATACCAGGAATAATATTAGATTAGAACAGTGTACATACTTATTGCGGGTTTTTTTCTCCTAGCGGGAAACGAAGGGACACTTTTTCAACTCCATACAAATTTGAGTTAACTTTTACGCTATCGAGAACGTTAAAAACTCGCACTAAGCATACAGAATGGCGACAGTCCAATGATGTTTTATTTTTTAAATTTGTGTGTTGAAAAATGTGTACGGAGTTGAGAGCACTGTGCCGTGAACCTGCACGTTTCCAAAACAATACTCATATTGAGCACAGGTGAGCTTTACGGTATGTCATAGTCCTGGTTAGTGGATATTTATCGACATTACAACATTTGTGATGTCATTCTAACAGGCGTTCTGGTGGTGTTTTTTCTTATTTCATTTCTATGCGTCCACCTCACAAGCCACTCGGTGTTTAGTGCTCATCGGCGCTCACGGACGCCACTCGATCGCTGCTCGAGGCGTGAGGTCGAGCTCTCGAATTGTTTCGTGTTTGAACTGAACGCGATATTGAGCCGTAAATATTTTCGTTCACTCGTCAAACCTCAGAAATTAAATGATTTCTTTAAGCCAGTCAGAGTTTTTACGTAGCGGTTGTTATCTAACTAAAAACACCGAAATATATTTGATTTTTTTCTCAATAATCATCTGATTGTGTTAGTTAAAACTTCATTTATTCGTTTGGTTGCTACAGAGAATAGCTTTAGTGTTAACATTATGTTTTGTTATTTCTGACGTTTATAATACTCGTAACAATTTTTGTTCTATGTATTTTTATTTAACGCAATGTTAAAAACTGTGGGAAACATTCTGTATGCAAAACGGCGCAATTAATAAAATCAAATGATGAGATACGTGAGACTAAACCGTAGGTAAATTGTAAATGTTTTCATTTCGCACGGCTCGCGAATATACAAGAACATACGGAATATTTACATAAATGTTTTCGCTTTTCAGTTCTAGTCCAGATCCGCGCCGCATTAATACTCGCACAGAGATATCATCGCATCAAAAATATTTCGAACCAATACTACAAGGGTCATTGACCCTTTTCTCATTTGATTTAGTGTTATGGAAAAATTAAAAACGTTTACTATTGATAGCCACATTCAAATTGGTGGTCGATGATGATGAGACGCTATTGCTCTTTTTTAATTTGACAAAAAAAAATGCAACAAATTCGCAGATATCGTTCTCATCACATAAATATACAGATAAAAGGTTCGGTGTCTTTAATTAAATAACCACGACTTGATGTGTCACTGTCAACCAAACACTACCGTAGTCACAAGAATCAATTTTGAAAAGAACTTTACAAGTATCCTTCTATTAAATAAATGTTTACAGAGTTAATTAGTATTGTAACCTGGTGGCAGTACTTGCGGGCGGTCAGGCGAACACCAGCCACAGCACGAACAGGATCGCGACCCACAGGAATATCTTCGATAGGAACTGCTCTTCTTCGAACTGGGCTGTGCCGCGCGGCGCTGCGGACCAAACCGACACTCTACATCCGTCCGAGGGGGAGGACCCACCGGGCCATCCCTACCCCCTACCCCACCCCACCTCAACACTCCGCACTCACCCCTACCGACTCTAATTGCACAGCCAGAGGCGGACGGGTCTGGCATAAATTAATCTATACATATAAATAAAATTGGTGTGTGTGATTGTAATATTGAAATAACCACTTTCTACTACATACATATGAATACATACGGGTACATACACCAAAATAACATTTTTTACAATTATTGTCCGTCTGTCTGTTTGTTCCGGCTAATCTGTCCGTCAAAAACGGCTGGACCGATTTTGACTGATAGGTAGCTGATGATATAAGGAGTAATTTAGGCTACTTGTTTAGACTAGCTTCGTCCCGTGGCGTCACTCGCGGTACGACAATAACCGCGGGTAACATCGCGGGACTCAGCTATCAATAATAAAATTTAATATTTTCGAAACGAAGCGAGAGCGGGTCGCTAGTCTATCATAAAACTAAAAAATAATATAGAATCTATTAAAAACCCAATAATGCGTCATTAGTGTTGGATGTACCTAAGAGAACCAATATATATGGAGTCGACTCTCTTGGACCCCCAACTACACCTTCCATTGTCAAATGTTGATGTAAAATCTCAATGAACTTCGTGTGTTCTCAGGGCAGATCAAAAGAGCTCATATTTAAAGGTAGGGAAATACTTATAACAAATATACAAACCGGCGCTAGGCCTTGGATCACCAAAATTAAATGTCGAGGTGAAAATTCCAAACGGGAAGGCTCCTATCCCGAACGACATGTGGAATCCCTCGCCGAAGCCGAAACCTGGGAAGCCGCTCGTACTCTCCGGCTCCGTGCGCTGTCCTGCCGGCCGGGGGGGCACCTGCGCACAATACACGTCCAGGCTTTATTCCTGCTCTGATAACAAAACCTCTGAGTTGGGCAAAACCAAACTTTATATGAGCAGAAATCACTGATCAGTGGACCACAGGGTCCACTTGGTTTTAGATGCCTGTCAGTCTATATCACCAAGTAAGTGCCACGGACCACACTAAAGTGAGGTGAATGTATCAATACTATACTCAATAGTCACATATCTGGGCATGAAGTTAAGGTCTCAATTATAATGCTTCCAGCATTTTAATCGCCCTGCAACACTGCTTTGTAGCATAAGGGATACGACGGTAATACCAACTTGTGTGGGCTCTTATTACGACCAACCACCAGTAATGATGCAAATCATAAAAATGTGCGGATTTCATTTTTATCATACAATGTTAAGTATAGTCTTCAATATATAAATAATTAATGCTAGGATTTTTTTATCGGGTTGATTAGAACATTGGCATAATTGATTCAAATAAAATAGGAGTGATAAGCTTTAAGTTAATTTACAAAAAAAAAAGTATTTCTTCACTAGTTTCAAAAGCTAACAAAATACGCTTTTATAGAAAATCCAACTAAAAATAGAAAATAAATTTTAATAAATTTGAATTAAAAATAGTGTAAGAAAAAATGATTTTATTGTAAAAAAGCATGGGGTGCTTTTCAGGATATTATCAAAATAACCCTTCTACTCATATCTGTTCATAAAATATTTATAACTACTTGAACTAGTCGTTAAGCCGACGTTTTTAAGGTCAAAATCATGTTCAGAGATTCCGTTACTCACTAACATACATACATCTGAAGTTTAAAAAAGTTTCATCTGAAGTTAAAAAAGTTTCAACTGTGTTGTTGTTGACAATATTATGTTTCAGAAGTATAGAAACAACAAAAATGGTTTCTATAATTTTACATTCTTTTTGTTGTATTACTTACCTTGTTTCTTGGGTCTTCCTGCTTTGTGTTTCCTCTTCCATAGAGCGGGATCACTTTCTCTCTGCTGATGGCGGCCTTGCAAACGGGACAGACTTGCCGACTGGGTCTGGTTTCCAACCATTGATGTAAACATGGCCAGCTGCATTGTAAACAATATAGTCTCTTTGAAAAACAATAGTGCGCAATGAGTAGCAAGTGAACAGAAGATATGGTAAAACTCAGATCTTGTATTATAAATCATTTTATATAATAATAATAATAATAATAAATAATAAATAAAATATGCAAAGGTTCTCTAACAATTTAACAAGTTCAAGACCTCTCTGTTGCTAATCAGCTGACCTTTCTCCCATTTAATTTGTTTGGCATAAACGACTGGGAGGGTAAAAAGTTTATCACCAACCAACTCAATGTTTTGGCAATTATTGGAGAGTAAGTGGAAAAAGCTGGATACAGAATATTTCAGGAAATTTATTTTGCCTAGAGATATGTGTGAAGATAATTAAAAAAACACGAGGGACATTTCAATGAGGCTAAAGTTTAAGTAGGTAACTATTAATATTGTATGTTAAATTCTTATTTTGTTTAGTTTTTAATTTGACAATTTTTTATTAGACTTAACTTTGTTTGTTTCTAAACAGTGTTGTGTTTTTAAGTAGCTCCAAATATATAATATTAATTCAAACTTTTAGATGATAGTGTATATGAAATTTACTTTACAATACAGTATTTTCATAGACAGAACAATTTTTTTATGTACTGATTAACAGTAATACAAGTTTATGTTGAACAAGTTCTTATCTAGAAATTCAGTAACTTTTCTGTTAAAGTAGCTAAACTGATCTGAGCCCCTGTCTGAAGAGTGTGCATCACTATGGTCCAATAATTGGCCCTACCAGCTTGAGGATGCTTTACCAGTAGGTAAAGAGCTGTATTTACTTTTTACAATAGAGGAAAATTTATTTTATAGCCTTCTTTGGCTCTCCTTGACAAAACAAAACCATACAGTCTTGAGAGACCCTGACTATCAAATCAATCAAATCTGAGAAAACATCAGAGGGCTGATGCTAAAGAGAAAAAGCATTCAATTTTCAAATGTACATATTGTATGTCACCACCTTCTTGAGAGACCATGGCTCTACTAATCTATTTAATGTAAATCCTGATTTTAAAGATCTGTTTTAATATAGAATTAATTTTGATTAAAATAAATTGTCTTTTAACATTTTTAATAAATCAATAAATAGATAGATACAATTATGTTGTAGCACAAAGCACAGCTGTTCCCATTCATAGTTCATTCCATTCAGTGTATTGATTTTACTGCATTACAAGGTCAATGGTAAGTAATGAGAATGAATAATAATGAGCATAGTTTAATGCAAATTATTCAAATGATATTTTACCTTTTCAATTGTGTGAATATTCATAAAAAATCTTTCAGCCATTAGATTTAAATCTAATTATTTACTGTATTAATTACGACAATGAGCTCACCAGAAGAGGTGGCCGCACATACTGACGACTGCATCACGGGCTGTGTCCAGACAGATGTTGCATTCTAGCATTCTTTCGTCATGTTTGTCTTCTTCGCCACCAGCGTCGCCCCCAGGCGCCGAGGGGCTCGCTCGCGCTTGACTAGTCTCCGCCATTTCCCTACATTACGAAATATTTAATAATCACAACTTGACATTCTTTTTTGGAACTGAAATTTTCAATTTATGAAGCGTTATCACGATACTGGTGTAGTGACGTTCGCTTGGATGTTATTGTGACACGACAAAATATATTGAAATTATAAATTTATAACAAGTTATTGTTTGCAGAGAAAGGTCAATAACAATACAACACTTGCCACTTTAAATTTGATGTTTGAGTTTATTATTTCATATAGAAACTTGTTAATAAATAAATAAATCACATTTCCAATCCCGTGGTATGCTGATTGCTGATCTGTCAGTAGATGTCATTCAGCGTCAAAAAATCTTGATTGTCAATTGTCAGCTGTAAGGACAAGGGTCCTATGACAGTCGATGTTTATGGAAAATATTGGAACTCGCAGTACATATCTTTAATCTTTTCTACAGTATACGATATCTGATGTGGGAAGTAATTACAAAAAAAGCGATTAGGATTTATTTTATTTAAATTATTTTTTAAATAAGGAAAGATTTGTAATTATTTATTTCGTACCTTTACCAACGAATGGAAAATTATTAAAATTATGCCTCTTTAAAAATATAAGTATATTTCTAACACTGGGTAATACTAAATTAACCCTTAAGATCAGATGAGTTGGTTGTATAATAGAGTTATCTAATTATCTAGGGTAGGCCACACGCTGGTGTTTACACGCACTTTTTATTTATGTTGTCATAATTACTAAAACAGTACGAGTACATTTTGAAAACAAGATAAAAAACCACTTATTAGGTATATTAGTTTAATCAAATATAAAATTACTGAAAAAATTATGTTTTCATGAAAATAAGTTTCATTTATATCATAAAATATTTCAAAACACCTATGCATAAATTGTTATTCATATCTACGAAATGAAATTAAATGAAACGGGTTGAGAAGGGATGAAATCTCAATCGAATGGTGGTTATTTACGGAAACTTTTTCAGTCTACCTTTTATAAGAACCGAAGAAGCTACGTCCAGCAACTTTGTTTCATTTTCCTACATTTGTGCACGTTAACAGAGGATAAACAGTTAATAAATCATCTTTATTATACATCAAAACATGAAGAAACGTTAACACAAACACAATTCTATTCGCGCTCCCGTCAAAAACTACTCAAGAGTGAATTTTTCCCAACCAAAGACTTTTTTTTTGGTACAATTTTTCCTTAGGCCTAGGTCTTATATGATTTATATTATGTCCTGAAATAAAAAAATCATTATGGCCGAAGCCAAGACCTTTAAAATTTCTTCCTGAAATAAAATTTTTAATAAGGCCGCAGCCAAGTCTTGTATTATTCCAATCCTGGTACCAACCAAAGACAATAATAATCACTATATACCGTAAACAACCATTAATCTTTACTCTTTGCTATTAATCAATGAAATCAACGAGAACTAAAAGGAAAATGGTTGAACGATCGCTACTCTTAGCACCCATTCGCCAATAGGGAGAAATCCAGTTTTAAAACACTATCGTAATTCTTTATTTAAAACGTCTAATAGATAGTTTTGACTCTAAAAGTAAGTTTTTTTGAAATGAAGTGCAAAATATGTTGAAAAACAAGTGACGTCACGTCAAGAATCAGCTGAGGTGCGAGGGAAGTTCTTCATAAAGGTGGTGGTAGAAAAGAATCATTAAAAATGGGAGGTGCAGTGAGTTCAGGGCGTGATAATAATGAGTTGATTGACAACCTGATGAGAGGCAAATACATCCGTTCCGCGGAAGTGGAGAACGTATTCCGGGCACTCGATCGTGCCGATTACATGTCTTCAGAAGTACGGGATCAGGCGTATAAGGATCTTGCCTGGAGGAATGGATCTCTGCATATGTCAGCACCGTGTATTTACAGGTATGTTGAAGGTGGTGGAAAAACATTGTATTTATTTTCCTTTGTAATCAGAAATTAATAATTACTTTGGATTATTAAGTGCTGATGCAAGTCTAGTAATAATAAAAAAGATACATCAAAACAAAAAAAATACACGAAATAAAATAAAAATTCATTACAATACAAATTGTTAACAGCCATATTGTATGTAATTTAAACTTATCAGAATGTTTATCATGCTTGACCTGTATCTATCTAAATATGTTTATAACAATATTTCAACATAATTTTCACCAAGTCGTCACTTTGACCAATATGACACACTTGATCAAAGATAATATAATAATTTGAGTACTTTTTCGAAATATCTTAACTCAAATAACCAGAATAGAAAAAAACAAATCTTGTATTTTGTTTTTTTTCTTAGTTTGATTAGCTTTAATGTTCGTTTATATTTCTAATTTGAGCTACATACATACATGGATTGTTGTATAAATAATTTATAATATTACATTATGTTTGTAAAATATCTGCCAGAAATGGCTTATGATTACACTATTACATATACTATTATAAGTAATTTGGAATGCAATAAATGCAACTATCTCTCTGTATTGTGATAATTAGTATACTTTTATATTTTCAGTGAAGTAATGGAAGCCCTAGAACTGAAAACGGGCTTAACTTTCCTGAACGTCGGCTCTGGGACAGGTTACTTGAACACCTTGGTTGGTCTGATAATTGGAACCTCCGGCATAAATCACGGCATAGAAGTCAATTCTTTTGTCGTAGACTATTCCAACAAGAAACTTTCACATTTCATCGAGAACTCTCCAACTTTAGATGAATTTGACTTTTGCGAACCAAAGTTCTTTTGTGGTAAGTCTTTAATATTTGGTTGTTTGTTAATATGAACTGTTGCAATAAATAGTGGTTGATTTTTATACGTTTAAAACATTATGAACCAAGCCTAGACATATGGTACACAACCGCGTTATAATGATCTTCTTGTTGCATGATATACATTTAATCGTGTGAAAATGTCTGATTTAGTTACAATTAATCGTCATTTGTGAGAAGTGCTGTTTTTCCTTTTTCATTTGAAGAAAATTGCTCTGACTGAAATAATGTGTTGTGAAGTTGTAACCATTCATGACCATNAAAACATTATGAACCAAGCCTAGACATATGGTACACAACCGCGTTATAATGATCTTCTTGTTGCATGATATACATTTAATCGTGTGAAAATGTCTGATTTAGTTACAATTAATCGTCATTTGTGAGAAGTGCTGTTTTTCCTTTTTCATTTGAAGAAAATTGCTCTGACTGAAATAATGTGTTGTGAAGTTGTAACCATTCATGACCATCTGCATTAGGGAAAGCGAAAAATCTTTAAGGACTCTGAATTAGAGGAATTGCTTGATGCAGATCTGTGTCAATCAAAGATCAGTTTACTTCAGCGTTAAGAGTAACAGGCCAAGTTGTTTCCAAGCAATTGCACGCGTTGGGAATGATACAAAAGCACGGAACTTCGGTTCCTGAGTTGAAGACAAGAACTCTAGGGTGTTGTTTTTTCGTCCGTGGTGAACAAACATGTGCTCCAAACATTTACAAAAAAGGATTTTCTTCATGGTATCGTGAAAGATGATGAAAAATGGATTCAATGTGAACAATTGAAGCAACCTAAAGAAAACTTGGGAACAACTGATGTTTCTATATCATCAGCTTTACTGAATATTCACAATAAGGCTATGCTGTGTATTTGGTGGGAACAATTGTTTATTATGAGCTTTTGGAACGAAATGAAAATATCACTGGGGAATAGAATAGAAGTTAATGTGATTAAACCGAGCACTGCATGAAAAATGGTAACAATCCACTAGAGATATAGTAAAATGATTCTCCTGGAAGCCATCACTCAGCCTCATGTTGCCAACCCCATTGAAGCCTACTTGAAATGTTCAAATAAGACCTATTACTCTTCCTGCCGTATTCCGCAGATAATGCACCATACTATTATTATTTATTTCATTTCATGATACAAAATCAGAGTGATCTGCAGATCCAGTCATATACAGCTATCAAAGAATCGCTTAATTATTGCATAGCATCAAAATACAAACACTTCTACCCTTAAGGTAAATCTGTCAGAATCAGGAAAAAGCTGTAGCAATACTTTGAATGGTTCACTTGTAAGCATTTTTTTGATAATAGGGTTGTATTTTCATCAAAGAAGCAGTAAGGACTTTGTTGCAACCTTATGTATGAGTGTGTCAATCATTATCTCAAGAGAAATGAAGTCATCGTGGCCTAAAGGATTAGACGCCCGGTGAACGGTGTTCGAATCCGAAAAAAAAGATAAAGTACTTGGTTAAGATATTATTTTGTCGACTAGATAATTTGAATGCCATGTAGCTTATATAGCTATGACACTAATAGTGTCGTTAGTGCTGCAGAATTGCACAGATCTTTGACTTCTACAATCTGATAAGTACTTGAATCATAGTTAATAACGATAAATTTAACAGTGTTGGTAGTTTTAATTAATTATATTGAGTGAACTTGTTTGAAACAAAGCAGATTAAGTTTTTTTTTTGTTCTAACTCTGTTTCATTCGAAATGGACTACCACATTATACATATTTCGTACATACTAATGTACATATTTCTTACATATTTTATACACACACATATTTCGTACATACTAATGTATGAAATATGTATATTGTTCTACCTCAACAAATTGTCTCAATAACAAAAGATGCCTGATCATTAATTTGTAACTCTATGGATATAAACATGCCACCTGCAATGCTGACCAATTAGAGGAAGGGTAGTTCACAATGTCCCACGACATCATTAGTTCAGAAGTTTCAAGAAATAGATGGGTTTCAGATAATGCAATAAACACAGCATGACCTGATTTTGCTGGTACAATAATAGTATATTAATATCAATATAATTATAGTATCAATACAATTTTCGTTTACAATCTATAGTAGCAGAATGTCGAGCTATGTTAGCTGCAGTAGTCTAGTAGACGGAGTTAGTTACAATCCACACACATTTAGAGCCGCTGTTCTCTTGTGTAGTTAAAATCCGGAGTAGACATTTTTTTTAAACAATTTTTCTCCTGTATCTTCTCTGGTAACCTCCACAGTAATCAAATGAAGTTGAAACTGTACAGCTGTTAGATTTGTTTAATTGACGGATCAAGTTTTGATCAAGATTAGTTTAATTGACGGATTAAGCTTTGAGTCAGTAAATTTAAACAGACCGAGTTTATGTTGAGTTGAGCAAACTTCGACCACATATTACGTGCCACAAACGAGCGTACTCAACCACCCACCTAACAAATAATTATGTACTTCTCCACCTTCCTCCTTGCGTCGTTCTCCTCATTACTGAGGGTCGTGCTTCCCCTGCTGCATCGACCTCTTTTCTACGATTGTTCTCCATCTGCTTCGATCCTTGGCCTTGTGGAGGGCATCGTGGAGCTTGATTATGTACTGTGAATATAAAAAAATTTTAGTCTTTCATTTACCCAAAGAGGAAAACTTTGTATGTTCTTTGGCACTTCAGGTCTTGTTCCCTGTTTTGAAAGTGGCACCTGTGACCGACAAGCTGAGAAATGCGCGTTTGGGATGGTATGGACATGTGATGAGATGAAATAAAAGTGAGGTCTGTAAGAGAATGTTAACTATGAATGTGGAAGGATGTAGAGGAAGAGGTAGACCTAAGAAGAAATTGATGGATTGCGTGAAAGACGATATCGTCTTATATGTGTAAGAAGGGAGTGAGCAAAGAAATGGTATATGATAGAGGAGTATGGAAGGAGAAAACATGTTGCGCCGACCTCAGGTGACTGGGAAAAGGGCAGGAGAATGGTGATCTTGATCCCGGTTCAGTAGGTACTATTTACCGCTGAAGGATATATTACAATCCTTTGTCATATTAAGAATTTAGAAAGTGAATATAAATGATTCATTGTGGATTAATTTCGAAAACAGGTAACGGCTTGTGTCTGGCTCCACTTCAGTCCACGTACGATCGTGTGTACTGCGGGGCCGGGTGTCCCTATGAATATCAGAATTATTTCAAGCAGTTAATAAAGGTATGTTGGTTTATTTAAAAAAAAAAAAAGTACAAACGAAATACAGATTTTAATTAAATGGATAAATCGAGAAGGAATGGGAACGTATACCTGGAGATTTCGACGCTTATAAATCGACGGTGCCGTATGTCATCTCTGTAGTGATTCTAAAGACGTGCGCTCTTTATGACCCCAAGAAGGGTAACTGGTCGGATCCCTAGTCACAGGCAGCTATCGCGACAACTTCCTTGTTACCAGTTTACGGAATCCACGAGAGTCTGCAAGTTGTTCGCTTGTTTTTTCGGTGGACGAAAGATCAAAGTAGTCGTCGACGGCTGCTGTACCACAGCCATGTATGCGGGTGGTCTATAAGATCTAGTGCTGTCTCCCACGATTTTCAGCTGATATCAATAAATTGGTACTCATGATAACACGCGGGATGCGCGCTGGCCAGATCATCAGATGAGGGGGTCAAAATTTGTGCCTGAAGCGGAGAGCTCCCGGATTGGATCACGTAATGTCGGGAAAACAATTTAGTAGCTTGTGCGTTTACTGCACAGAAGAGTCCTTTCATTCACGACTCCATACTTCCAAGGAGCATACCTGAAAACTTTAGAGTGTATAGAATTCTTCAATCGGAGTCAACATTATTAAAACATTTCTCATTTCGAGTGCAACTACAGTACGGCCCGTCTGATGGTAATCACAGTCGTTCATGGACATCGATAATACCTAGGGCATAAACAAGCCGCTGCCAACTGCTGGGGAATCTCCTCGAACCTTTGAAACGAAATGCTTATGTCATGTGCTCGGGAAACGCCGCGGAGGAGAGTTGATTCCAAAGTCGGACGGTATGTGGGAAGAAAGATATTTGGAAACGCACTGTTGATGAAAGCAGCGATTTGAAGTAGAATGGGAAAACTCTTCTACCGTGGCGGGATATGCTATGGTAAAAAAGAGTTATAACAATTCCCCAGAGCACTCGCTAAGGAGTACGGTACAAAACACAGTGAGAACCGAAGTCCCTCCGTGGACCAAGAGATTCAAAAGAATCTGTGAGAACGTGTACAAACGGATACTCCTTGGAATAGCAGCCTCTTTACAAAGGGTCCTTTTCCGCAGTGAACGTGGAAACATTGTGTCTTCAATTTAACTAAATTCGATTCGCCTCACTCGGAGACTCGCCCCAGAGAGTTCTCCACTTATACACAAGTCTCGATCGCCTCTTCTGAACTATCGAATGAGAAAAACCCTATAGTTTGTAATATGCATATGTTTATGTTCAGGTGGGTGGTATACTTGTGATGCCACTAAATGATAACTTGATCCAAGTCAAGCGAGTCTCGCCAACTGAATGGACCACCAAGAACCTGCTTCACGTTTCGTTCGCGTCCCTGAAGGTGCCAACGAAGGAGGAGAGCACCGAACACGTCAAACTTGGTGAGCGGACGTCCATGGCGATCAAAACAACCACATTTTGTAGCTTTTTAGTTAAAGAATTTAGTTTTATAGATGCATGAAATTTCTCTCAATTGTAATCAATTTCATAGGTACAAATACTCAATATGTAGGAAGTGGTCGGAATCAGCAGTACGGTCACAGGTATATTTATATTACTACTATGACTACTTTCAGGATAATTGTTAGGGTAAATAATCTTGATATTAACATGTTTTAAACAGCTCTATCGAATTAATGTACTTGAATGAAATGGTAAACGACAGTAGGGTCTTCGATCTGTTAAAATATACAAAGAAATGTTGACTTTCTCATTTAAAATAAAATAGAGTGGATGAGAGTGTTTGGCAAATATGTACTCGAAAAGATTTACCTTTCATTGGGTTTCTTAGTGTAGAGGAAAGAGGTTTTTTAGGATCATTTAATAAATAATGTGTGTCAGGATTAATTATAATAGAAAGTTGTTTTGCACGGTGCGTCTTGTACACAGACGAGCTGTGCCCGGTCCGGCTGCAGGCGCTGTCCCGCGGCGCCGTCCGCAACACTGTCCGCGCCGTGCTGGTGCAGCGCCGCGCCGAGCTGCGCACCGTCAGCGCCGGGCCCCCGCCGCGCGGCCGCCGCGTGCCGCGCCGCATCCGCATCCCCTTCGACGACAGCGACGCAGGTACCCCAGAGCGTCACGACTATTCATTGAACAGTTGAGAGACTGCGGGTAGGCAGTATATCTTCGCGAGACTCGCGAAAAATCAAAACTAAACTTTTGTTAACTTAAATAACAATGTTGTTTTCCGGTCTTACTGAAGTAGAATATGTATACTAATATTATAAAGCTGAAGAGTTTGTTTGAACGCGCTAATCTCAGGAACTACTGGTCCGATTTGAAAAAGTCTTTCAGTATTAGATAGCCCATTTATTGAGGAAGGCTATAGACTATAACATCACGGTAAGACCAATACAAGTGGAGCACCAATAAAGAATGTTTCAAAATAAGGATTTAAATAGCTCCTTAACATTCTACAATTCAATTTTTTTTTACTTTCTACGTAAATGAAGTGGGGAGTAAAATTTTGCGTTATACCAAAGTAACTATTCCACGCGGACGGAGTCACTGGCAAAAGCTAGTCTCGAATAAATATTTTAGCCTTGTTTGTGTAAATTGGGAGTCAGTGGTCCCACTGGAAATGTCCGCGGAACGGGTCGTCTCAAAGCTAAGCTGGGTCTTAGCTCGCGCCGCCGCAGCGCCTGGAGTAGGAAGTAAGTGACTGTTCTCGTCATACTTCACGCAGAGTTTAACTTGTAGTCGAAATAACAATATTTTTATGCAGATACTTGTTTTAATTGAGAATAAGTCTTTCTGTCTCGCTCTAAGACCGTAACCGTCACTTGAGTGAGTCTGGGACTTCTGTTGTTGTTCTGAAGGTCTCTCAATTCAATACTTTCATTACTGACTTATTTAATTGGAAGTCAGTTAAGTACGACAAGATTGCGCCTAAATGAGTATACCATACCGTTGTACCAATGCAATCGAGACTACCATATTGTGTTTCGATGTGGGCAGTGACGCTCACGTAGTGGTCCCTATGGGCTGCTGGAAGCTGTCATCACATCACTTTCCATAGTCCTTAAAATGGTTTGAACACGAGGCTACGCTCAATTAATACAGTAGCGCTCGAAAGTATTATATTACGACAGCATAAAATTCGTAAATATTTCTTAGAACATTAAAATAGATAAAGGCAAGTGTCAGTGTAGTGGGGAGCTTTATCACTGCGAGTATTTAAACAATTGCTATAGAAAAGCCGTCATGAATGCGCTTAAAGCAAACAGAAACAAACCTAAATTGATCGTATTTTTAAAGATAGGAATTATGTGTTAAAATCTATTTTTTCAACAATGTCAAAATAATTTTGCACCTCCATTTTCTTTATTTAAAAAAACATGTATGTTTTCAACATGGTATAGTGGTCATTATTTTGTGGAACATTGAATATCCATTAATAAAAAGAATCTTTTAATATGTTATACATTTGTTTCTAGTTAGTTGAAATAATGTTTGTCAAAATACTTTTGAGCGCTACTGTACATGAGAAATTACTTAGAAGACATTTGAGTGATGCACGCAATGTTTATTTCTCTCAGTCCCGATAATACTATCTAACATTTTTCATTCCAAATTGTTTAATGACTCTTATTTATAAATCTCGGTTGTTTTAAAGTCTACTCTTTTGTGTCGCAGAGGAACTGAACAGTCTTCACGACTTGGACCGCGAGAGCGGAGCCAACGAAATGAACGCTCTGCTCAATTTAGTTCTGAGCATGGGACAGAACCGCGTGGCCGGAGCCCTCCGGTTCGACTCGATCGACGCCTCCAACACTTCCGAAGAGGAAGGGGACCGGCGGGCGAGCGGCCGGTCGGGGGGGGAGGAGGACAGCGGGGAGAACGAGCAGAGGGCGGAGGGCAATGAACAAGGAGATGAGCCGCCAGCGGAGGGGCAGCCGTCGCAGCTCGAGCTGTGCCGGGAAATTGTCATGTTCCAGTTCCGCGGCTCCCGGGCCAGGGCGCCGGCTGTAGGTGAGCTCACAGCCGCCGACGTGACGTCACTGCTTGTCGCGACGGAGGTGGACGCTTGCATGACTTCGTATTACGCCATTATTGTTAAACACTAAATTTACAAAACAAAATAATCACATAACTTCAAATTCGAAGTCCGTCCGTGGGCCGTGAGGCCCGACGCGCGCTTCGACGTCTCTTCTTCCAACACAATAAGCTATTGCCATCGCTGTCTACTATTTAGATCAATTAAATACTATAAAACACACAATGCTCGACAAATATGTATAGTAAGCGGCACGTAAGTTGGCAAGGTTTTGGTGTAGTGGGGGTAATGTCGCGCATAGTGCACATTGCAACAAAAAAATTGTCACTTTTATTGCCCGCATATAATTTAATTTTATTTTATTAAATTTTTTATTTGTCATATATTATTTTTAAGCCTGTGTGTTTAGAAGAAAGTTAAAGAATAGAGAGGAATTCGTGAAATGTATTAGGTGTTATAAATAAAATACAATTAAAAGTTAAGAACCTTATTTAAAAAAATATACTTAATATTAAAAATTATGTGTCGCCGTCGTCACTATCATTTTCTAATAGTGCTACCCCTTGGATTAAATTTATGGTAGCATCTGAGCTGGTGGAAGGAGTTGGCTCCTCATCGTTGACATAACGAAGAGTCGCTGTCGTCACTGGCGTAAATAATAAAACGCTCAGTGACTGAATCGACTATATGGTCATTGGTATTTGGTCCTGGCATTGCAAACAAACTTAAAACAATAACACTCGTAACAAAAACTAAATTTAAAACAATAATAACAACTCGTAACAAAAACTCAATATAAACAAAGGGTTTCTACAACTTTAGTAGGCGCATGTGTAACGGGAGCGAACGGAACGTGAACGCGGTGCGGGAGGGGAGGGTCGACTGACTCACCAATCGCGCGCTCGGAACGGTGCTACGTCTTTTCCCGCGTCCCGCTTGACAACCAAAGAGACCTAAAAAACGACTTCTGCGCATCTAGCGACTCTTGCCAGTTACATGCCAGGGACTATACCTAACATTAGTTTAACGCACAACCGTATTCGCAGATTCGACTCAAGCTCGCCGATCATCCAGCCGCTCCAACTCCAGCGACAGAGCGTCAGACTCCGGCGGAAACAACGAGAACGATGCCGGGAACCAGAAACCCAACCCTAGTCCAGAGAAAACGAAGGAGTCCAAATTCAAGAAGCTCCGAACCGGGAGCGGGACCTCGGACGCGGAGCCCGAGCCGGGGACGTCCCAGACCGTCCAGACTGAGAGCGCAAAGACTGAAGCTGCTAAAACTGATGAAGAGTCCAGCACGAAACAGGAAAAAATTGAAAATTCGGTTTCGCATTCGAGCGATGCAGACGAAAGCCTGGTGAAGGATTCCCTTAGCACTGAGATGGAGTGGGAGGAGGGGGGTAAAGATGGGTCCAGCGATGAAGAAGACACTTCGAAGGACTTCGACAAGAAACGACAGAAACTGGACAGCGGAATAGGAGAGGAGAACTCGCCCGGGGGATCGTCCCCGGAGAAGACTGAGCCCAGGAGCGACGGCTCCGATGCTGTGCAGTCCGACAGGAGCCTCGAGGAAGACGATGATCATCAACGAGGTAATGTTTATTTCTAACTCATGCTCGTTCTAGTCACATTGTCAGTTTGTTATTCACGTGCGCGACCCCTCTGTCCGCGGAACATTGAAACGAAGTTTTTTGTAAATTCATGTTCAGAAATCTTTAATTTTTTACTGGTGGTAGGACCTCTTGTGAGTCCGCGCGGGTAGGTACCATCGCCCTGCCTGTTTCTGCCGTGAAACAGTAATGCGTTTCGGTTTGAAGGGTGGGGCAGCTGTTGTTACTATACTGAGATCTTAGAACTCAACTCATATCTCAAGGTGGTTGGCGCATTAGCGTTGTAGATGTCTATGGGCTCCAGTAACCACTTAACAACAGGTGGGTTGTGAGCTCGTCCAACCATATAAGCAATTAAAAAAAAAAAAATTTTCAGCGCGACCTCGCAGACCCAAGCGCAGCCATCGCGACGTAGAAACTAGGTCGTCGTCTTCGTCCTCGTCCTCCGAGGAAGAGATCCCGCGGAAGGTGGACCGCGCCACGAAGAAGAAGCGTCGCGCGTGCCACGCCGCGCTGGACGTGCGGCGGCTGCGGCTGTCGCTGCTGCTGCGGCGCGAGCTGTACGCGCTGCCGCTGCCGCCCGCGCTGCGCCACTACGTCAACTACGGCCGCACGCCGCCCGCATGAACCACGGAGGCCCTCCGCAAGCTGGCGTACCTGCAACGCAGCCTGCGCGAGGGCGAGGCCGTCATCACCGACGACGCCTTCGAGTGGCTGTTCTAAGGGCCCCCCCCCCACTCGACACAACCTGTAAATAATATTATAGTAGCGTTTGGGATTTATTTGGTGCTTTTTGTACTGATAAACTCATTTAATGTCGTGTATATTAGAGCAGTAGAATTTGAAGTTTTATGGAATTTCGATTACGTAATAATATTGTGGTGAACTTGTCCCGCTCGTCCTTTGTACGTCAATGATTTACGTTAAGTTACATTGTAGATTTTTTAATTGTTACTTCTACTAGAATTAGATCTTGAATTCAGTTAATATTAATGGCATTAACATTGCCGACAGACTGCCAATATTTCTAGGTAATGACGGGATTAATTATTCAACTTTTCAAGTTTAATATTCAATTAGAGAAAACGTAGAATAAATGTTGTATTAAGATTTTTGCGCCACATAGTTTCACCCTGGCCCCCAGACCCTCGACCCTGACGTTCTACAGGGCATTGTCCGAATTTGCTGAGTGCGATTGATTTTGTTAGTTTGTATTACTCATTACATCAACTATCACCCACCCACTAAGTTCTTTAAAGGAGCGATAAGCTAATTGAACTGGGACATAAAAACAAATTCTTAACTATCCTACACAATGAAATACCGGACGGCTGTTATCGCGGGCGTTCAAAGCTGTAATGATTAAAGAAACACGTGATTAAACGGTAATAATATTTCTAATCATGTTTGCTTTGTAAAACTTGGAAAAGCTCAAATAAATACTAATACTCGCATCGGTGGGTAGTTCGTGTACGTGCAAGTTCATTAAACCTATGAAAGTGCGTTCTAAAGTTGAATACTACCGTCACCGACGTCACCCTTACATGGCTGGTACAGTAAACGCGAGAAATAATGTAAAATGGTTATATGTAATGTGTATGAGTTTAATAATTTTATTTCATCACACTTGTTCAAGCCAATGTCGAATTGCATATTGTCTTCTGTACTGTCTAACTTAATGTGTTTGTTTAATGTAAATGTTAGTTTATGTAAATTTAATTATTGTTATTATTAAATGTTATTTGTAAACTTTTTTATTAATACATTTTTTATTTAACCGTAATACTGTTATATGACGTCACGTGCAGTCCATTACTTTAATTAGTTTAAAGAGCAATAGATAAAGATGCTCACAGTGTCGATGCCCTCCGTGGCCCAGCTTAGCGATGAGGTGTTATAAGGAAGAGAATTAAAATTATAAAATAAAAGATGATGTGAGCGTCGCGCCGGGCGCCAGAACTGGACTGGTAGCGTGGCCTGTAAGGCAGTGCTTTGTGAGCTTAGCGCGAGTTTTTTAACGTTCTCGATCGCGTAAAAGTTAACTCAAATTTGTATGGAGTTGGAACAGCGCCCCTAGCGGCAAACGAAGGGAACACTTTTATGGAGTGGAAACAGCTTTTACGCGATCGAGAACGTTAAAAATCTTGCATTTAGCACGCTGAAGTGTGTTCACGATTGCTCAGGGTTAGCAGTATTACTGTTATTCAATTTGTAGCTTTAACAAACTAACATAAACATATATAACACATCTCACACTGGCTCACTCTGGTCCAGCGACGGCACCGCGTATGTGACTGTAGTTCATTTGCAATTTTCTTGTGAACGCTACACATCTTAGTACTTTCTCTGACACCGTATTTCCGAATCGTAGTTTTTTTGCCATAAACTAAAAGACATGCAATTTTAATTATAAACACATAGTGTTTCTGGTATTTTTATTTATATTAGAACGCACTGCATTTTGTTTGACAGTGTGCTACAAAGTTTTGGTCGATCAAATTTATACGGACATTAATATCCTTTTTTTAACTGTGGCGCAAGTATATATTAACTGTAGATTTTAGCTATGTCTCGTACGAATATAAAAAATAATAATACAGTAAGTAGGAATATATTATAATCGTCTAGTTTTTGTCACGATGCCACGCCATCATCTTATCTTATAAACTATAAAATGTTGTATTTCGATGATGTTTAGCTGTAAGTTGCCATTACTGTCGGAGTGACATTGCTGCGATATAATACATTATCCAATTCAATAAACAGTACGTGGTCAAAAAGATCTGTATGGTTTTATGAGTATACAGACGTACTGATGTATCTTGATGCGCTCAGAGGCTCACGTCTAGTGAAGCGTTCCGCAGCGAATTTAGTAATGTTTAAGTAATGGCACGATAGTTGTAAGCCCTTTACCCTTGAGCCCTTCCTTCCTATGTGTTGTATCGGATAGTCAAATGAGGAATTCGACTTTGAAATTTTCGAATGTCTATAGGTTAATAAAACGCCCGTCTAGCTCGGCGGCTAGCTCATTACTGATTCATAAATAATACACATAATATTTTACCGATCTATTTATTATAATTAGCCAAGAATTAGAATTGCACACATGCTCATTCAATTTGCAAAGTCGAATTGTCATTTATCGATATTCTTAATCGTCTAATGATAAAAAAAATATTAATTGTATAAGGTCAATGTGCGCACGCGTTCGAAAACCCTTTGCATTTTTTTTATCTGTGTCAAAACGATGCGACCATTGAGCCCACGCGCGGAACAAACTCGTCACATGACGCCGCGTGACTTGGACGGCCAGTGTTACCAGATTACATTCAGCGGATTGCAACTATTCAACGTGCGACAAGTAAACACGACATTGGGAGCGTAGCATCGCATCGCATCTCACACCGCAGTTGGAGCTCAACCTGTCTCTTTCTTTAAATAAGTCGTTGTATTTTTGGGGAAAAGTCTTTTGTGTTTAGTCGAGTGTGCGCACACAAGCTTCGGAAAGTTGCGTATAATCGTTACTAATTGGTGTAAATATTATTGTATTTTTAATTGTTTTGTTGTATACTCAATGCATAAATAAACATAATATGATATTCGGAATGTATTTTTCTTTATAATTCCATTAGACCGGCTTACGGTTCACCCGGTATAAGTGCTTATCGAAGCCCAACAGATATGAGGTCTATGTCTCAATTTTGTTGGATGATCCCAGTAGAGCCATTGAAATGGGCACACATGATGGCTTCGCTGCAGAAATAGAGTCGTGGTTATGTCTGTACGGATCCAGCCTTCCAATAGTACATGCAATCGTAATATTATATTGGCAGAGTACTCTTTAGAGAAGGGTGGTATAATGCTAGGTCACACCAAGCAGTCATCAGCCATTTCCGTACCTACTTTTTATTTATTGCTTATGTAGGTGGATGAGCTCACGGCCCACCTGTTTAAGTGGTTACCGGAGTCCATAGACATATACAACGTAAATGCCGCCACCTACCTTGAGATATAAATTCTAAGCTTTCAGTATAGTTACAACGACTGCCCCACCCTTCAAATCGAAACGCATCATTGCTTCACGGCAGAAATAGGCGGGGTGGTGGTACCTACCCGTGCGGACTCAACACATCCTACCACCAGTAAACTTAATTACTGTTATACTTCTAGTACTTACTGCTTTACTACCGGCTGGAACCTACGACTGCTTCGCATTACAAATAGGCAGAAAGGTGTTTGTTCCCTGGCTACCAACTCATAGATATGGGTTTAACCAAACAAATACTAACAAATAAAAAAAAGCAGGGAGATCTTTAATATACTAAAACAGTTCATACAATTTTCTTCAAGTTCAGGTTGTTATTTAATAAAGCGTGTTTTTTGTTTTTAAACTAGTCTACGTGTTACGTCCGTTAGTTACTGTAACGACTTACTATCTGGTGGAATCAAAGAATGGTAGCTTAATAAAAAATATATGATTTTATAAAAATATTTGTTTTATTTACATAAAAATAAAATTATCAAAAATATTTATAGTAAATTAATTGATTAATGCGGTGGGTGCACGTGTATTTACATTATTGTCTTTAAAGAAATACATTTTCGTAGTTTTTATTTATCTATGGAAATTACAAGGGAATAGTAAATAATTCGAGAAAATGCATTTTTAGATGCCCATTTCTCCCGACCCTTCTTACTCTGTTATTCGCACAATTTTGATGTTGGTTGGTTATTAGTCTTCATTTCTTTTGTGACTCTTGATGTGTGTACTGGAGTACTTGAGCTCACGGCAATCTCGGGTCAAAGGCTACTAGAGCATACGTACATCACAATGTCCCACTTTAGTACCAACTTTGTGCAATATTTAGTTACAAATTCTAACGCTTAAATTGATTCGACTGATTCAAATATACTTTTACATTAATATTTTGNTGGTTGGTTGTTAGTCTTCATTTCTTTTGTGACTCTTGATGTGTGTACTGGAGTACTTGAGCTCACGGCAATCTCGGGTCAAAGGCTACTAGAGCATACGTACATCACAATGTCCCACTTTAGTACCAACTTTGTGCAATATTTAGTTACAAATTCTAACGCTTAAATTGATTCGACTGATTCAAATATACTTTTACATTAATATTTTGAATGAAATTATCACGATTTTTATCGTTTGATACGTCGACCGTGAACTGTTCAATTTGCTTTTAATATCGTAATTCTGTGTGCATTTACAGAATTTAAATTAACAATATTTAGCCTCAACGTAATTTACAAAGTTAAAATATTTATACAAAAATAAAACTACTTAAAAAAACTGGCAGTAGTAATAACATTCTAACTGCTTATTTTATTTTTTCTCTTCAAAGCCGTCCCACTCTGACACAACCCGGTGAGCACTGGTCTGTATATTCTGATCATCCTTCCAAAATTTCTAGGCTATATCTTTTCTTGTGTGAATGCCAACATTAAAACCAAATATTCAGCTCGACACAATGACTTCTAGTTTGTCATTGATCATCATCACCCGCTCGAACCTGTGTCCAGTTCGATATGCGAGTGCCGCCCTGCAGACTTCCTGGTGAGCAATTTAATTGTTAACATGGCGCATAGTAACTTATGCAGAATTTAATTCTATCTGTATATAATCTTTCTTTCTTGATTTACAAGAGGCAAGCGCTAATAAATTCCGACTGTTTTACTTAAATCGACAATATCACACAAATATATGCTCTCTTTCAAAACTTGCCATGTATAATAATACAATGTTAGGATTCTTATTATCTATGCAAGTATTAGCACCATTTAGATTGACTCATCCCGCTCATTCGCCCCGGCATGGAGTCTTCGGGGTAGAAGTCATCAGCTGCTGGAGTATCACGCGGTGACAATCCATTCATTAGTTTCCGCGTTGGTCTGGGAGTAGCCCTACTGGGATCTCTCAGCCTCTCCTTGGCCCACTTGTCAGCCGCATGTGTTCTTTTCACTGGTCTCTTGGTGCAGTCCGTCGCCAGATGTCTGATTTCCGAAGGTGGTCTCTGTTGGCTCGACGTCTCAGTTCCGCTTCCATTCATCAACGAATGAGCGCTGCGTGCTTTGTGCAACGACAGCCGCAGCGGCTTCCTCGGAGGAGTTGGTCTTGATTTCTGTTCTCCGTTCTTTCCGTCCTCATTCTTCTTATAATGACTCATCCTGGTAGAGCAAGTCTCGGAGCCGTAGTCTATCCGCGGGGAACTGCTATACATGTCACCGTTCGGAAAATCCGAACATTCAGACTCGAATTCTGAAGACTTGGCACTCCGGGAATGTATCTTAGATGTTCTGCGACTGGACTTGTGCGCGTTCTCCAGCACCTTGCCGTCTATCCGACTGTACATGTAGTGCTTTTCTGTTTCTACTTGGACGTCTTCTACACTGTCGTTCTTTTTCATCTTTCGCAAGCGTTGCGATCTTTTGAGCTGCTCGATAATGGATAGAGTTTTTCTCTCGGCCCAGTTGGTTTTCTTGATGCTTTCTTCGATTCTATCAGTTGCCTTCTTGATTTCTATATTTCGGGGATCCCGACTGGAGGTGGAACGCGTGTCTCTTAGATCTAAGTCGCTATCAGATCGAAGGTATTCTTCTCTTGACCTGCTCAGTCTTTCTGCCTTCATGCGTTGCTTTTCGATGTGTCTTTGGTTTCTCTCGATCATTCGTATAGCTGCGTCGGTTTCTGCGCTGTAATCTATACCTCCATGGATGCAGTGGTGGGATAAAGAATGGCGCATCTTCCCCGCTCTGTGTTCCAGGCTGTGGGAGCTATGAGACCTGTGGTTTGGGGGTGGAGAGGCTCTAGGTGATATCGCAGTTCTGGACGAAGCACCGGATGCGTTAGACCTGGGTCTCATTAGAGGAAGATTGGTTTCAATGCCGTCTAAACCGGGTAGTTTGGCGACGATGGCGGTGATGTCGGGACCTTTTTGAAAAACTTGTACTTCTGACTTCGGATTTTTACCATTGGGTTGAGGTTCTGTGGTGATGTTGATGTTTGTCACATTCTTTTTAGTTTTGTTAACCGTTATACAGCTGTCGTTACTGCTGGTTGATTGAAGCTGAAAATAAGGATTTATTGTTATTACAAAATTCTTCAAGAGATTTTATGTTTATATTAATTTCATTTATTAAGTGAATGAATTCAGTTGTTTAGGATGGTCAAAATATCGTTTATTAAAGCACCATTGAAGTGTCGTAAGAAGCATTCAGACAGACCTTTGAATGTTCAAAAGTTAAGCGATTACGGAAATCGCGTTGCTCTATAGATAACTTTAGGAATTAATAAAGGTGATTTTTTTATCTCGCTGCCGATGTAACCTTTTGACGGATTCCGACATATGAGGTGTGTTTAGATTCGTCTCAACAGTGAGAGTGACATATTATGGTGCATTATTTCAATACTTAGACTGCATTAAAAATACCAACTTAAACGCGATATTCTAGTTTTTTGCATTTAAACTTTTTAATGCATACTTTAGGTACTGGTTTCATTCGATAATTTCGATTTTTCGATTTTTCATTCGATTTTCGACATTAGATTTTTTTAAACTGTATATAAAAGTAAGGATAATTTATATTGAAACACTAACCGGAGAATGCCTTGCAAGTAGCTCGGCGACCTGTTCCTCCAAGTAGGAGATGCGATGTGTGAGCCGCGTGTTGTCAGACCGGAGCCCCTCCTTGGCCTTCTCGGCCTCTTCAGCCGCGGTCCTCAGCGAAGCTAGTTCTGATCTTAAAGTTGCCGCTTCATTCTGTAAATTTATTAAAATATATTGGATAGAAAGTGTATTTGTAAAGTCGCGTGGGTTGAAAAGTCAATGAAGTCGTTGTGACCTAAAGGATAAGACGTCCGGTGCATTCGTATGTACCGATGCACCGGTGTTCGAATCCCGCGGCGGGTACCAATTTTTCTAATAAAATACGTACTTAACAAATGTTCACGATTGACTTCCACGGTGAAGGAATAACATCGTGTAATAAAAATCAAACCTGCAAAATTATAATTTGCGTAATCACTGGTGGTAGGACCTCTTGTGAGTTCGGACGGGTAGATACCACCCCCCTGCCTATTTCTGCCGTGAAGCAGTAATGCGTTTCGGTTTGAAAGGTAGGACAGCCGTTGTAACTATACTTGAGAACATAGAACTTATATCTCAAGGCGGGTGGCGTATTTACGCCGTAGATGTATATAGGCTCCAGTAACTACTTAGCACCAGGTGGGCTGTGAGCACGTCCACCCATCTAAGCAACAAAAAATAATGAAAAAAATGAACTTTAGCTATTAGATGAGCTTAGACAGCGGTAGCATACAGGGTGTTAGAAATACGGTAGTATATCGTGTTGTAGTTTAGTTTTACCTGTGTGAAGGCAGCTGTGGGATGCGAGGGTAGTGAAGTTGTCTGCGATCGAAGCACCACCAGTCTGACTGGACTGGCGGCGTTGACTGCACGCTGGAGCTCCTCTTGACTGTGACATGATATCACCAACGTACCGTTAACTTCGATCAACCTGGAAATAGATTTAGTTATGATAATTATTAATGCCAAGACGGATAAACTCGATCAACGTAAATAACTCTATAATAATGATATTTAAGATATACAATGACGTCATCAGAACGTGTATGAGACCAAAAATTACGTTCAGGAAAAGGAGAGAGTGTAATTGTTTCATTAGGTACAAATAGACATTGCTTATTTTTGGCAAGACCGTTACTAATGTAATAAAATTAGAATAGGACCTGTCTCCGATTCGAAGCGGAGAGCCCTCAGCGGTCCAGTCGAGTAGGAGGCCTGCGCCGCGGGGAGCTGCGCCCCACGAGTTGTCGCGCGCTTCGATCGCCACAAACGTAGCGTTACCGCCACATTCGCGTACTGCACTGTTTTGATCAGAAAACTTGAGAATTATTATTTCTTAAGTAAATCAAATTAAGTCAAGCCCGTGAATATGGTCTTGTGGCCTATCTCTGTTCCAAAGCTATCATATCTTTCTGTTTAAAGATTGTTTGTTATTCCGTAAGCTTGTCTGCCCGAAAAACGGTAAAAACGAACTCAAGATGGTAGACAAATTAAAACGACTACGTTTTTTACGAGCTCGATGGCGGCCGAGCGCCACTTGATGGGAAGTGCTCATCGACGCTCATGAAACATCAATAATATCAGAACAACTGCACCTCAGTTGCCCATCGCTGTGGAGCTTTAAGCCTTCAAGCAAATCAATTTTGCATATCGCATCATATGAATATGAGTTTAAACGATATGGAATGAACAGAAAGACTTAATTAAATAAAATAATTTGCCCTCTTTCCGTTGCTCGTCGTGATCGGAGGTCCAGAGTGACCGCGGCGTGTGTTCGCTTCAGTAAAATAAAATGATTTCTTGTTCACGGTTCAGGGATCACGTGTCGGCCGCTGACCGCGTGCAGTCCACGCGTTTAAGGAATACAGGATAAGTCCTGTGATTTGCGCAATGTGTTCAATAAGTCTGTCAGTATATCGTCCGGGTTTCAACGGAAACTTTCGAACAAAAACGTCGTATGTGTGTTTTTGTGGGTGACTCACATGTATTTATACAACGTTAAACCGTCGGGCTGTGCCTATGCGTTGGCAAGTACATCGAGCCGACTAAAACTCCTGAGGTTCAATTGCCCGCATTTGAATCAACCAATCACCATAACCATCGTGAATCTTGGTCAGCGGATTTATTAATTAAGAGTATCGGACCCGCACCGCGATCCTTCAATCAAGTGCGATTTATTCATCATTCTGTATAGCAGTCTCCTCATCTAAGGTATATTTAACACCCTAATGTTTTAAGCTAAGCTAAGCCCGCAATTTTTATCTGCGCATATCATTGGTACCACCAAAATCAAAGTCCGTTGTTTCACTTAGCATAAAGTAGGACATAAGCTCATATTTTGTTCTTGTTAAACAAAAAACTACTATCGGAACTGATACGTGGCCACTATCGCATATACTCACCACAAAGATATACGGCAAAACGGTAATAGATATTTGATTACAGTAAGTTTCCCGACATTAAGTTTCAAACGTTCCTTCTGTGTTTACTCACATCAAATCAATCAATATAGATATCTTTTTATAGATATCTTTATCTTTTTTTTACTGTTGATAGGACCTCTTGAGTCCGCACGGGTAGGCACCATCACCGCGGCTATTTCTTCCGTGCAGCAGTAATGCGTTTCGGTTTGAAGGGTGGGGCAGCCGTTGTAACTATACTGAGACCTTAGAACTGATATCCCAAGGTGGGTGGCGCATTTACGTTGTAGATGTGTATGGGCTCCAGTAACCACTTAACACCAGGTGGGCTGTGAGCTCGTCCATCCATCGAAGCATAAAAAAAAAGACCAAAGTCGTCAGAGATTTATTTTACACTCAGGCATACCCTGAACGCATAGATTTTAATTTTAAGAATATTACTCGCACTTTAAGCCTACGTATAAATAAGAACAGACATTTCGCAATAGCGTCCGATTAGACCATTGGAATAAATATTGAGTTTCCAGTGATCATATCCACCCCAGCAGGTAAGCATGAGTATGGAGGTCATGGGACTCGCACCTACGCCCTGCGCTTGCGCATACTTCTCTGATTGCCCTTTCCTGGGCCGCATTCAGTGGATAATATATTGAAATTCTAGCTGATACTCTGTAATTCACTAAAATTTATAGGCATTAAATGATTGAATCGAATTTTTTGTATGCGGTAAGTTTAGTAGTAGCAATATGGTTTAATTTTGTTTAATTTAAAGATGCTGTTAGTGGAAACTGTACTGTTGGTGGTGGAAACTGCACTGGTATGTTCGTTGGCCTCCCTAACATTTTAACACCTGCTACAATTCTACAGCTGGATGGGGGACGTATCCTTACAGAAACTTAAGAAGCGAGATTAAATTCTCAATTGTATCGATCTAGGTTAGATTGACTTTTGGATTCTTTATTTCCTGCTAAGCTTTTGGAATGCCTTCGTAAGCCATAAAACTAATCTAACTGTTCAGCGGTACAGGTTAATTGATTTACTCTTTAACTAGCTTCGGACTTCGTCCGCGTGGAATAGTTACTTTGGCATAACGCAAAATTTTACTCGCCTCTTCATTTACGTAGAAAGTGAAAATATTTTACTTTAACCTCTCAAAAGAGAAAAATACCCCGATTTTGAAACATTTTTTACTGGTGCTCCGCTTGCATTGGTCTTAGCGTGATGTTATATAGCCTGTAGCCTTCCTCAATAAATTAACAATCTGACACTGAAAGAATTTTTCAAATCGGACCAGTAGTTCCTGAGATTAGCGCGTTCAAACAAACAAACAAACTCATCAGCTTTATAATATTAGTATAGAGAATCATGACGTAAATAATGTAACAAATTTTGCGGGAAATGAGTATTGTGAATATCGCAAAATTAAACAGACAAAACAGTATGAACAAAATCACGTTTTTCTCTTATGCTCTGCGCGATATAGGGCTTGGCATGTACAGAAATGATAATAATTTAATTTAAATATTCGATCATTATTTATTTTACTAAGAGACTACCTTCTTATAGTAGTAATGCACTGCTTTGGTCGTCACTGATGTCCACAAACAAACGATCATCATTTATAATCAGGTGGGCCCGAAGCTACCTATGCCTTTATCCCAATTCATTGTTATGAAACTGGCGCATTGTTACCCAAATTATCGTTTATTATATCTTCGTGTTCTCGGAAGACGTTAATGTGAGAATAATGGGTTCACGCTGTTCACGAAAGCCTTCCACGATAGAGGAACAACATCGAGTTATTAAATGAAAGTTATAAAATTTGTATTTAATAACTTATTTGTTTGTACTATTGGGCTGTCTATGTATTTTTTTTCCAGTTTCACCAGGACAGGTGGGCGAGTAAAGGCTCAGCCAGTAAGGAAGGGGTTTGCTAAGAGCTGTCCGAGCGCCTCCGATGGAGACCTAACAACTCAATGGCAGTTGCTTCGCGAATGAATCTACTACCGGATCGGCATCGCGACCCGCTGAAAATCACGCTGAGAAACTCAACGGGCTGATGCACGGGTTAGGTTTCACGTCGGACTTTTTGCCGAGTTCGACGAGTACGCTTACCAGGGTCCTTGAGCCCGCTCCTATTGTTAGAGTGTAATGCAAGGGTTATTGGATCTGATGGATCCGTAAGGACGTGTATGTCCATGTGTACCGCTACATGGGTTTCGGACGGAGCGGTAGGTTAGTTACAAGTATTATAGTTAACTAGGACAGCAAAGAGAACCAATGTGTCTATCTTAGAACANTGCCGAGTTCGACGAGTACGCTTACCAGGGTCCTTGAGCCCGCTCCTATTGTTAGAGTGTAATGCAAGGGTTATTGGATCTGATGGATCCGTAAGGACGTGTATGTCCATGTGTACCGCTACATGGGTTTCGGACGGAGCGGTAGGTTAGTTACAAGTATTATAGTTAACTAGGACAGCAAAGAGAACCAATGTGTCTATCTTAGAACATCTGCTATCATATTGCTCCGAAAACACCTAATAGCTTAGAAAGACTGTTCGTGACAGGGAAGATCGAGGGAAAGAGATCGTGCGGGCGCAGTACGACAAGGTAGTTGGATGAAATCCGCACCACACTAGAAATACCTTTCCCCGAAGCCCTTCACGCGGCCAATGATCGTAAGCAGTGGAGCTATATTACAAAAAGTAAAATGCTGTTGAAACATGATGGTCACGACCCGCAGCAGTGAGGAAACGCCGCGAGGAGGAGGAGAGTCAACGGCTTCAGACCAGGATGAAAATACAACCATAGTTCAACAGACTTCGTTCGTCTCCTCAAATAAACTACTACATAGAAGTACCGACTTGGCTCCGATATCGCGGCGTCAACGAGCCACGGTGACTACTTACGGTCCGCACGCTCGTCTAACTATTCATATGGAAACAAAGTAGATGCTTCTGAAGAGAAACATCTGCCTGGAACGATTAAATACAGCTTTGTATGGAAGTAGTCATTCTTACAATCGTCAAAAAGTTAATGAGTCGTCTAAACAATTTTCAATATAATTCAATCGTCCATTAGCGTCACTCTTGCATTTCTTTTCGTGGGAATAAACAAAACAAACTGCTTTTCGAGTGAGAAATATGAATATAAAAGCGAAATTACAGTGAAAGCGTCCGAGGTAACAGCTGCCGATAGTTTTTACAAGTTTTTATTTAACTTGCCTGTTTGTGTGGTCAAATCTTGCAAGTTAAATTACGAGTAGAATCACTACCAATTTTTTTTTTTTTTAACGATCACGCCACGTTAACTGTTCCCGTGATAAGTTCGTAAAGAACTTGTGTTACAGGTACCAGATAACGGAAATAAATGTAAGATTTTTATTATACACATACATATATTTAATATACATCCATAACCCTGGAATAGACATTTATATTTATCATACAAATATCTTCCCTTGGTGGGATTCGAACCCGCGACCCCCTTATGTAGTGACCATGTCATTTACCACTTACCACTACACCAGACGGCCGTAAATTATCCGTCAGATTCACTTTTTCATGTGTTGCCTTAATATCGATGACAATACATTTTTATGGTAAGTGTGTTCGGAAGAATCAAATTCAAGAATTAAATGCAATGAATGAACTAATTGACGGTCAATAGTACAGACATAAAATATTGCGTACGTGTTTTGATATGTTAAAAAAGTGTTTTTAAGTTTTGTCATGACATGGATTCAGGGTTGATTGGCTTATTGTTATTTATATAATTTGTTAAAATATCCGTCATTAGGATTAGTTTTTAAACTATTTATAAGTAAGAAATAAGTTATACCTCAAATAAATGATACATACCTCTGAGTACCTAAGTCACGAT